CGATCTATTTTCGAATGTATGCACATTTTAAAACTTTATTTGCAAATCATACTTAGTCAGCAAATCACGCGAGAGTATAACACTTAACGTCCTATTGTTTATGCAAAGCGACTGAGCTTGCAAATGTCACATAGCATATAAAGTAACATTACTGTATTTATTTTAATAACTGTATTATCATGAAAAACTGTTACAATGTAAATCTAAACTGCTGATTGGTAATAAGGCATGTTTTTCTACATTTATTATCTAACTTAAAGCAGCGTTAAAATGTGTCTCAAGTTTCTTTTGGTTACTGTTATTTTATCAAATTGTTGACCATCGTTTATCTTAAGATGGACGCGACCGTAAGTCAGGAGAATTTTTTCTAAAAATATATAAAAATAAATATCCTATACTTACTTTACTTCGCACTGGACTTTCTAAAAATCTCTAATATATAATTTTTATAACTGGACTTATGAAACGCCAAAAAGAAAGTTGATTTTGTTTTTATAGAGCATGTCGTTAGTAAATAGTATATCATACATATGTTATTGATATATCTGTAGTAATATTATAAAGTTGAAGAGCTTATTTGCTTGCTTACTAACTTCAACATGCTAATCTCCGAAACTTCTGATTCGAATTGACCAATAATGTTTGTGTTGGTTAGTCCAATTATCTAGGAAGGATATAAAACATCACGCTACGACCAACAGAAGCCGATCGGCGGGTGAATCCGCGTTAGTAATATATAATTTAATTTCATCAATAGTACTGCTTAATTTTTCGAATACATCTAAAAGAGTATGGTAAGTACAACAAAATAGGTGTCTTAAAATATCGTCTTTTTTAGAGCGTATTGTACTAATTACTAAATAATTTATTCTTTCATCTTTTATGTACTCAAGTAATTTGTAAACGGGGCCAGTAAAACACAATAGTCCGTATCACATACATATTTACGTGTTCAAGAAAATCCTAGGAATTGGTCAGCACATATTATTCACACTAGCAATAAAAGTAAGCCAGTAATTAAAGTTTGAAGCAAATAAAACTAACGAGGATAACCTAATTACTTTGTTTATTAAGTATAAGTTTTGCTTGTGGCTTTGCTTGTAGGTAACGATATTTTCTAATGTATGTAAACCTATATATAATAGGAATAAAAGTATTTAAAAATAAAGAAAGTCTCATTGATACATTCGGTTGTCAGCTTAGTTTTACTATTTTTCTTGCCAATTCAAAAGCAATATGTTTAAATTTGACGGAAAAAATATAACATTACGGATTGTTAATGTCAACCCAGCGAACCTATTGTTGTTGGCATTTCAAAAAAGTATTGAATTTGATTAGTTCTTACTATGCCTGTTATGTAGGCATATATGCAATTGTTTGCATAATATACATACGGCTTAGAATTAAATTATCTTGTTAAGGATTTCAAAACAGAAACAACAACGAAGGAGGAGCGACTATTTATAGGAATAATTTATTTCAATAAAAATAATCATTCGTTATTTTCATTGAAATAACTTAATCAATCTTGAATCTCCAAAACTTACCTTTTATGTAGACGGATATATACGTGTTGCTTTGCTATATATACCATTTCTATGTAGATTACTTTATGGTTCATATTTACTAGAATGAAGTGTAATAATTATAGTGAGTACGGTCCTTTATAGTATTAAGTGTGTTAACTCCCTTATGTAGTGCTGAGTTGCATTATACCGTGTATCTTATAGTAATATGTCTTTTAGTCATTAAATAGTTCTCAAGTAATGTGGTTGTCTCTTTTAAGCAACACCTTTAGGAACCCCAACATTTCAAGAAGCTGTTTAATAAAATTGAAACAGATACTGCAGTAGCTTTAACTGTATACAATATAGAGAAAGCAAAACATAATATAGAATAGTGGGTAAATGTTTTGGCACGATCTGCATGCACGTTTGGATGTTTACCGTATTCACGAAGGATATTACTATAGCTGCAAGAAATTATTTTTAAGGGAGTTAGTAGGGTAGTTTATTTTTTTGTAATTTCATACTTTTTACGAAATATGTAAGGTACAGAATGTGCTGCGAATTTGTCAGTGAAATACGCTTTCAAACAGAAAAATTTATCATCAACATGGGTTAATAGATGATAATGTTACCAGCATACATTTATAGATATGGAAGAATTAAGAAAGTCTTTTGTGGAAGTTAATATAAAAACAAAAGAATATCTATTTTAATGATTGAATAGACAATTCATTTGAATAAAACCTGCAATAACATAACCTTTATTTTAACCTGAATAAAGAGAATGACAAAACATTAAATAATATTATACGTAGTTTTGTAACAGTTATTACCAATAGTTATGTTTTTATTATACAAAAAAGCACACCGTCATGAATTTAATATCCGGATTTTAACACATCATTTAAAAGTAGAGCACCCATTTTCTATTACGCAACAATATTAATAGTATATAGATGTATATGTATAATGTAATTTAAAAACACGTAATTGGGACATAAAGCGAAACATTCCCCAAAGCTAGAGGTGAAAAAATATAGTCTTAACCTACATAAACACGACGCTACGATATGCTTCGTTGACCGGCGGGTAACTCGTGTGCGACGAGACGCCTGGACCATCGGAAAATTCGAAAATGTTTATGGTATAAATAAGACATAAACTTTTCTTTTTATACTTGTAATGAATTCATTATACAGGACGACTCACATATGAGATGTGAATCGTCCTTTTTATTCTCGTATTTTTAAGAAAGTCTCGTATTTTTTTAAATTAATTATTTTATATATAATTATATTGTACAAATAAATTAATGAACACAACTAGTTTGAAGCTACGAACCAAATGTCAAGAAATTCTTACGTACGCAGAGAACGTACCGTAGCATGCGGCTACGCAGAAGAGCTTGCTACGCCGTAGCAAAAAACAACACAAAACTTTTCTATTTTGGTGACTAGAAAGATTTTGTGTTTTGTGTTTTTCCACATGCAATAACTATATGTATATTTTGAGTACTGTCATTACTGAAGAAATACAGATCATATTATCTATTAAATATAATTACGTCTTAATGCTTAGATTGACTGTTTAAGGTTAAAAATATGTTCCTATATCTCAAATAAAAATATAATATAAATTATAAAATTAGATTTAAATCCTGAATATTCGTGTCCTAGATAGTTTATCGATTAACATAACACTAAGTCCGGCTGTATCCGCGCACACGGGTGCGCTGGCCGCTGGCCGCCGGTGCCGCCCATTCGAACAGCCGTCACTCTGTTCCGTTAACAAAACATAACCGGACGACTACCACATTCACAACAAAAACAACCAAACACTTTAATAAACATCATTTAAATTTTTAACTACCACAAAGACTTTAAGTTAAACTCAAATAAAAAAAAAGACGTTTTCAAAATATATCGTCGCGAACCTTTTCGTAATTTAAACATCGAATGTTTTTACCCGGAAGTTACGTCGTACGTTGAGGCGAGCTCGTGAATTGTAATTCTAAATTTGAATATTTCAACTGGATTTTAGTGCTTGTGATTGGTTGTGTTTTTAAAATAGGTTCTTGTTATTAAAATGGCGACCGAGGAAGCTGTGCCAGCGAATGCTGTGGTAAGATTAGATTTTTATAATAATTTTAACTAAAATACTTTCCCAATATTTATATTTCACCATGTTACAGACTTAGAGACGATATTTAATAGATAACCTGTCGATACAGCTTTTAAATGCATTGTTTCAAATATCTTCTTCGTTAATAACTTTTGTACAAAGTCCCTAACATTCCATGTTTAACTGGTAGCTGTAAAAGCTCATTATGTAGATTTAGTGAGCTATATAGCTTCATTATTAGAGCTATGCTTAAAAGGAACTATACAATAAACGAATGATTACATATACTTGTATTATTTTTAATAACTTATAACGCTTTATAACGCTATTAATTTGACTGTTTAATCTAAAAGTGCATAGAATAAAGGCGAGTAGCTAGGCAGTAATCTTATAAAGACAGGCTAGTGTGTGTGTGGTATTTAATACTGAACAAACTCATCAAATATTAAGTAGATAGGTATATAGCAAAAAGTATAACACTAAAATATATAAAAGAAATAATCTTTGCAAATATCAACAACTTCACCAAAAGTCTGAATCATAATAATTGATATAATCATCTACACGCTAAAATAATGACTATAGGTACAGCGATAAAGTCCATAATTACATGGTGACTAACTTACAAATATTACTTCTAGCTAGCTGATTCATTTTATAAGTTATAAGTTTTAAGTTAGCGTCCACTCGGTCGTGACTACGGTTACTTAGTCACGCAGCGAGCTGACTCGTTAACTGTTATCTTAAAGAACATCTAACTATTGACCATACCTCAGGTTAAACTTTAACAAATCATTAGTAACTGCGAACACACAGTCAAGGTTTCACGTCCTAACCATGAATTTTGTTGTTCTGGATTATGATGTAAGTTTTATTTCATTGATTGACTTAATTGAATGATCAATTCCAGTCATCGTTTTCGGTCGTTTTTAAATACCTTGATTGTTTTTTGCAGTTTGCTTTATGCACACATACTTAAATTATTTCCAAATTACACATGAATACGTTCGGTTATTTTATTGCAAAGACGTTTTTATTCCTCATTACTATAACGGCTATTTTCCAATAGCAAACAAACTAAGAGTGTTGTTAGTTCACTAGATTGTTATCTCTTTGAACTTTTAGCAGATATTATCACAGTAGAGCTGGCAATGTGGCCTTTGGTCGTAACATTACGATTAGGTTGTTAGTCCCTAACAACTTCGCTAAGTGCACCCTTAGGTTAAGTGATCTCGCCTACTCCCAATCAATCAACCACGTGGCCGGCATGAATCGTCAGTTCATGAATGAACATGGACAGTGGTATCAGTTGATTGGAAGTAGGTGGGTGGCCGGGGCGCGCGGCAGTCCGCGGCCGGGCCGGACCGAGGTATGTCGCGTCGGCCGCACCCCCGGCCGCGCCTACTGACGCGTCCCTGTCGCCAGGCTGCACCAGAACCCACGCCAGCGCCAGAGCCAACCCCTCAGCAGCCTCCCGACCAGCAATCTGACGACGAGCGCGAACCTGGCGACTGGCGGCCTTCCCGCCCCGCAACACCACCGCAGCGCACCGACGACATCTCTGAAGGCTCCGAAGCCACTGCTAGACCCACTAGAGCAGAACCAGCAAGTCGATACGCCAACCTCAACTACTGGAAAGCTAGAAGAGTTACCTTCTACAGAAATGGGGACCCATTTCACCCCGGTGTTGAGTTCCGGTTCAAGCCGGGCAGAGATCTGGCGTCAATGGATGCCCTTCTCGACAGGCTCTCAGAAAGACTGGAACTGCCACGAGGAGCGAGGTTCATCTTCGGTATGGACGGTGACAGAAAGTACAGGCTTGAGGAGTTGGAGGACGGAGCCTCGTACGTTGTATCATCTTATAAAACGTTTAAGGTAAGCACCCGTTTGTTATTTCTGTCATGCAACGTAATCGACAACTTTTGATAATTAAAATAGGTAACAGCTTCATTTACGTAGAAAATAGGAGTTAAGAACTAAATAAGGGAACGGAATTAGGATTTCGCGGATCGGTCCTGGCCAATGACATCGATTAGGTATCCTATTATTTGTCCATCCATATTTATGAAAATCAAGTCCATCCATATTTAGTAAAATATTTTTATGATGAAAGGTCTTCATAATAAGAGCAGTTTTCCTATGTACAACACCGTAAGGGACAAACATATACTTGCGTGTGTTTTTCTGTTGTAAATTAAAGCTGTGCTTAAAATCCTTACTTCCACGAAATAATTATAGAGTCTAGACGACAAAACCTGCAAGGTACAATTAACACCTGCCCCACTTCTAAACGCAAAAATATTCAATTACAAGCATTTATTTATGAAACAATTATGGGTTTCGTGAACGCCAAAATGTCGTAGGACCAACCTTGGAGATGTGGGTCATAGGATAAGGGCCACGCACCACAACTTTTATTTGCATTTTGATTACATACAACTTTGTTTTGTAACATCGATAACATTAATTGCAAATAAATTACGTTTGGACTAAACACTGCTAATTTAGGGTCCGGAAATTGGTGGGAAACCAAAGGGTTTCCCGAAGTCGTAAGTTTTGATTTGCGTGATCGCTAATTTCTTTTGCAATCGTATTTACTTTTGTGATTCCAGATATTGTTTTTAAATTTTAACCATCATTATGTATCTTAGTACTATTTGTTATGTAAATTAACTTATGAGGTAAGTATTTATAAAAAGGGGTTGAGTAGATAAAATTTATAACTTCCTCTGGCTCGACTCATACTTTTATTTTAGTTTAGTATGCTAAGGTGAATCAATCGAATCAGTTAATCAAGAGAATACAATTAAAATAACGAATAACTGGTCTGTATTTTTATACACCTACAGTTATTCCATAGAAAATCAACATTTATGTAACAGACATTACTTTCAAATTCAAATTCAGAACATTCTAAAATAACAAATTAAAAACTATAACGATAATATTCAAATAATTTCTAACTCTAGTGTTTTTTTTTCACAATGGCGGCCATGTCAAATGCCTACGACCGCTAGCCGCAGACTGGCAACGACATCTACAGGGCATTGCACTTTGCACTTAATATGCACCAAGGCAACGCGTGAATTACCCACCATTAACATTCGAGACTGGCTGTCGACGGCGCCACACGTGTTATCTCGACATAAAGAAACACGTTTCCCCTGGTATATGTTTGGCTTAGACAACTTAAGATTAGGACAAGGAGTTTTTAAAAACGTGGTTACCTTTCTTTTAACTTTGATACTGTATTAGCATTTTAATTTTTCAGGATAAATATCTTGTTTTTGGGTTTCGGGTATATGATCAGACTTTATGATTACATACCTAATAATAATAGGTTTGCGTACCATTTCATTTAGATTAAAATTGTCTTCAGGGCCTCTGCGCAGTTGACTTCGGCCCTTCGTACGCCTCCCAAATGATCGAGACCCTGTGGTCTCGTAATTGGTGTATACATAATATATATATATATATATAATATAATTATTATATATATAATTACCGAAAATATTATTTCATAAGAGTGTGCGTTGTTTTTATGTGCCTCCACAAATCGACTATGATTTCCTGAATGTAATCAAAAAGCATATACATTTGCATATATTGAATAGTTGTACTTGTATAAAAAGGAATAACTGTACGTTAGTCACTCTAAAACTCGAGAACAGCTGGTCCTATTCGGAAAATTTTTGTCTCAAAATAATTAATAGAAGTTTAGGCAGAACCTACGGTGTTTGCTTGGTTACCTACTAAGATACAAAAGTTATAACTATATATATACATATATAGGAAAATTGGTGAAAATGTATAATGAAATGAAATTAGACATATTTATTTCGGTGAATGCCAATGACAAGATTAGTAGTATATGTTTTTTACACAAAAACGGCTGGACCGATTTAGTTGAAAATGTTTATGCAGATAGGTGATAAGTACTCTAGAAATCATAGGCTGGTTTTTATCAACATATCACGCAGGTCTAGTCGCTGGCTGAGGTTAATCTACTATAATACATTTACTAAATACTATAATCATAAAGTAGGGTCAAAATTCACATACACACTACGCATAATGTTACAATAAAAACATTTAATAGGCACTTGTCCAACTCCAAGGACGTTATAGACCCAAGCTGCTTATTATTCAGTGCGTCGCTTCATGTAATCAGTCTTCCTTTCATTTCATATCTTCGTATTTACATATTGACCTGGAAAATCAAAGTTATGTTGAACAGCTCGTGTCTTGCAGTTCTTTGTACTGATAAGCGTTGAATATCTACCTACTGTTCTATGTAAAGTCTATTGTACTCAAAGGTTTAAATGTAATTTAGGGATAGGAATCCTTATTAATTTTTTTAATTTTCCAACAACACCCCTATGACTGCTCTGTGTTGTTTTCTGATTGCTTACCATCAGGTAATCTGTTTGCGCGTTTGCACAGACGGATTACAACAGAGAAAAAAGCAAGAAAAGCTCTTACACAGATTCGTTTCGGTTTACAACAATAGAGGGCGCTAGTGTGGCTAATATTAACATTTTTTACATTTAAGTTAAATATGAGAGAACCAAGCTTCGGCACAAATGGGTCGGCTCGACCGAAGTAATACCACGGCCTCACAGAAAACCGATGTGACAAAACCACAGCATTGTGTTTTGCCGTGTGAGTGAGGTTACCTGAGGCCCAATCCTTAAATATCTAAAATCCCTTATCCCTAAAAGGCCAGCAATGCACTCATAACTCCTTTGTTGTTGCGGGTATCCATGGGCCGCGTTGATTGCTTACGATCAGGTAATCCGTCAGCTCATTTGCCGAATTATACCATAAAAAATACAACATTACTAAAATGTGCCTTACTTCTTTTATGAATGGAATTAGGTAGATTGTAGTTCCTACTAAAAACTAGCATCGTGGCGTGCCTATTGTTGTAAAAGCGTTAAAAAAAGGATTCATTAAAAAGCAACTCAGTAAAAGAGTTCAATTTCGAATTCGTTACGCCCTTACCGTGTCAAAATTATAAGGACCTGCGTGTTGACGATCAAGAACGTCATCTTAAAATTACAATAATATTATAGCAACTTAGCAAATGTAAATCAGATTTAATAAGTATATAAAATCTTTATTCCAAAATGAAACTCATTTTCTCTAATCATGGCACCACGCGTGTGCTGTCTTTGCTAAGATAACAGAAGTTTCACATGGGTGTGGGAGTGCCTGAGCCCGGAATCATAACACGGGCTTATTATCACTCCAGTGCAGGAAACCGGCGTAAAACAACCATACGTTGTGTTTCGCCGTGTGAGTGAGGTTACCGGAGGCTCATCATTGACCAATCCCTAAAAAATAAAAACCTCAATCTCAATCCTTAATCTCAAGGCAACCTGGTAACTCCTCTGGTCTTATTAATGTCCGTGGGTGGCTCCGAGGCCTGGCGAATGCATACCATCAGGTATTCAGGTTGCTCGTTTCCCGACCTATTACAAAAAATTTAAATAGCAGAAACTATTTTATTATATACCGTGTCGGTTCGCTAGCGAAATAAATGACTGATATTAAACCAGCTGCTACGCTGCTCCGCTAGGGTAGATGGACCTTGTAAAAGAGACCTTATAGAAACGTGTACAATATAATTAAGACTACTTTGAAGGACAAACAAAGACTTATGAAAAATCTTAAACCATATAGGACTAATTTGTCTCAGTGCCCCACTTTTAATGTTTTCCGGGTCGTTAGTTAACGCTGTTATAATTATTATTACTCATACTAGCTAATTGTAATGCATACATCATTTTGAAAAATATCGTATAAGTTTAACCTAATTATAATACTATTAACGTCTATATAGGCTGGTTGAAATAAAATAGAATTCTGAAATCAAAATTACAAAACAAAACAAAAGACTAGCAACACATTTATGGTTTTACATGACCGATGCCAATCATTTACCATCAGGGGATTCATATATTCATTTACGCCTCTCTCTTTTCTAAAGGGGAACATATTTAAGTGGACTTCTCCCGCTTTTCTTGTTCCCGGAACGAGAGGGAGTGTCAGACTCTTACTAACTAACAATCATCCTGATTCTTCTCCTACTTCAAACCGGAGCCGCTATACGTTATTGCGCTTTTACCAGACACCCCATAACCAATAAAAAAACTGAATAGCTCTAAACATCAAGTTACTTGAAAATAAATTAAAGAGATACCATCAGTTTTTTTTACAACTTGTCTCTGCTTTGTTCTCACATAAGGGTACAATAATGTTTAAAAAGAGTAACGACGGAGTTTCTTGCTCGTTCTTCTCCATTCGAATCTACAATTTGGAATGAGCGCATAGCTTCACTGACGAACAGACTGCCAGACTACTATTATATTTTGACGTTTCAAAAGTACCTATTTATGGTTTTGTTGGAAAAAATGATTATAACTTTGACTTTGACTTATAAATATGCGCGTCGTGTTACGAAAAGTCAAATTGTTTTCTGATAATACAGCTCTGCTCTGGAAATTCCATTATTAGTGAAAAACATTATTTTGTAAGAAACTGCTTAAAAATGATCAAATCTAAACAAAATCCTTGGAGACATATCAATCACGGGCCTCAAAAAACAAACTGTCATCAACACTATTGATAAGGGTTGAATAAATGAATAATAAATAAATAAAATAACAGTTGGTCGGTCACAGTACAGCACAACATATAATGTATACTTACATGTAAGAAAGTACCGGACGAGTACATGGAGCACGCGATTCACAATTAATAACTACTTTTTTTTGTATTTTTAACGATCTCTATCGCAAAATGTGGCGTAAATAATTCAATTTATTATGTACTTCACTGGCGTGTTGTGTAAGCTTGACTTAAATTGTGGTTTTATTGAGATTCTTGTCGTTTGATTACCTAAGTGAGATTTTGCTTACTGATCCAGGTGGTCGAGGTCGCGAATGTCGGAATAAATTTTGACTCTATTTGGCTGGGTTAGGTATGCGTACTGGATTTTCTGATTGTAATTAGGTCAAAGTGGGTTTATAGGTATGGATTTATTCTGATTACACATTCATCCTTGGTCACCTTTAAAATGAATGTCAACTAAGAAGTGCAGCTTCTCGATATCAATATTGAAATATTCGATTTTTGACTTTAAGAAGTAGAACTTTCGACCTAATTCAGTTCCTCACAAAATATCACTCTAACGTACCTAATTCTTAAATTGAACGTGACTTCTACAACTTTCCATAATCACGCTTGTAACCCTACGTCCCATTACGCAGTCAAGGCATTAAGTAAATACTTCATGATTAAATTGAATTAAAGACGATGACTGGTAAAATTGTAATCAACCTCAAGTGTTTCTGCAAGAACATTGTTTCATAGTGCTAATACAATACTGCGGGTGCCTAACGACTTGGGCGCGGTTCGTACAGTCACCGTCACTAAATTACTCATATACGGACTTACGAGAATTATTGTGGAATACTTGCATTGTAAATAATGTTGATGTTTTAATGCGTTTCTGCCATAGAAGGTAACAGTATTAACTAATAACTTTTGGTGAAAAACTTTTACGTAGGCCCTGCTACAACTGCTACGCGCGTAGCCCTACATAACCAGCCGCTACGGTCGTCCGTAGCACATTGACATAGGTTACGATCTATGCGCAAAATTTTAAAATGCATGTTTTTTAAGAATGAATTTTTAATATCATGCGGTGGTATTTAGGAAAAGTAAGTTTATAAAACTGTTCAAGTGTAAGTGTAAGTTATTAAAGAAATTGCTAGGCGAGGTAATTTTCGATAAAAGTATTGCATTAAAGGTTTGAAACGGTACAAAATTGTAGGTTACTATGAGAGATTGCACAAATTGTAGGCAAATTGTATTTTGACCAAAAACGAACTATCGGTATCTTCAACTGAGAAAGTGTTAAAATAACATTAAACAAACTTTATTAAAACGAACGCAGATCCTGAAAATGATATTATGTATAGGCCTATTATAACAAAGTCATAAAAAAGAACAAATTCCGAACCTCTAATAAACTTTAGCATTTTTATACCCACCTGTACTTTTGAAGGAAATGTCTAAATTGCACTTTTGTTCCGCCGTACTTCGTTCGTGATTTCAGTTTAGCGTATCGAAACAGTGTAAACTTGCCTTTACATCGAGTGGCGAGTGGTGAACTGCTCACAAAATCGGGGATGTGGGTCAGTGAGTGGGTACCTTAATAGCTTATTGTAACGTAACATGAATTTGTGCGACGTTTTCAAGTGTTTTGCAAAGATGTGCTGTGTCATGATACTTGTATTATTCCTCGCTGTCATATTCAACACTAAAGCTCAGTTTTTATTAGTCACTATTTTATTTAGTAAGAAGGTTTTATTCAATCCCTGCTTTCTCGATGGACTGGCCAAACCAGACCTGCATGTCAAAAGCAATAAATTATTTAAAGAAATGCAAAGCTCTATAACATTTGCATATTTCTCATAAAAGCAACATTTTCCTCTCAGACATGCGAAGGATCCAATAATAGAAAGTATATTAAAGAAAAAATACAAAACAATTATAATTGCAACAAATTAAGCGTGCGATCTGACACACTTTGCAAAAATTTATTTCGATGTAACGTTCAATTAAGTATTAGCTACAAAGAAATTTATTATTACGTAAAATTAGTACCAAAAAATTGGATCAAGGTTGACAACAATAAGTGACCCTTGTTGTTTACGTTATATTTAATGAGTGAACCGAAATTCTTATCGGTTGCGTGCTTTCGTCCCCAAATAGCCCACGAGTGAGCATAACAGCTCGTAATTGCTTCTCGTGGTAAAATAAAAGCAGCTTAGCGCGACGTCTGAGTTGATTCGTATCTGACTGTACTTCACATTGCGTGGAATCTATTGAGAGTGACCTTGGCGCCCCCCGCCCGACTCCAACCCTCTACCGACAAATAAAATTTCGAATAGTCTGCTTCATCCAACCGTCGTAATCGTACCTCCAGCATTCGTTGTAATATACAGCCCTATTACGTTGGTATAGGGTATCATCTCGCGTGTCCTTCGCGTGTTTTGAACCGTTTCGCTGTTGCGATGGGCTTTTGTTTTGTTGGTGCTACAAATTAGTCAGCTGTTGCGAGTGGGTCTAGTACCATATATGGTGGCTGCGAATCAAGACGTGCCTGCTTATTGAGTGAATTTGTATCCGGGAATACATTGACTTTATTCAGAGATTTAATACTATCTAGAAACAGTTGTTGTGCATCCAAAGTGACGTGGCCTTATCAAAACATTTCATGTTTTCAAGTTTATCGAAATAGAATCGATCTCTTATGACCTAGTTTGTATTTGTTGGCTGAATCTGAAATTAACGATTACTTAGGTACGCAAATGAAGTTACTCACAGTGATGCAGTTATAACTACGACTGCAGATGATATTATTACGTTAATATGTGTTTCATTAAACTTACACAAATCTAATTTTATACAGTGAAACTTTTGTCTCAACTTATTTACTTACATAGTTTGTAAAAACATTTCTTATTAAATGTAAACAAATCGTTTGACAAATAATTTTTAACACTGCCTCCATTCGATTCACTATGAAAGCTCTGAAAGTAATTACAACCTTTGGTTTATGAGGATGACCATTCTTAATTTTAAGTCCAAAACTTTTGTTACAGTTGTCCTAAAAAGTATAGAACTTATGACATAGCTTGTATAACAGCCAACTTTATAGCCACACTATTTTGCTACAAAAACAACTACATTTACTCATAAGGGCTTACACTGCACAATAAACTCATATGTAATCAGAAAATAAATAAAAAAATGCTGCTTGCTGTAGGTTATTAAGTATGGAGATCACGCCAACATAATCGCTTTAAGACTTTTTACTTTATGGTCATATAAAGCGCATAGTGTTGTTCGCGTGCTTGAGATTCGATCTCTGTTGACAGAGCGGGAACGACGTGAACACCATAGCGAATTAAAAAAAAAACTTTTTTTCTGTGCCCACGTGACCGCAGTATTTTATAGGTCGTGCATTTGCATTCGAAGAGCCATAGAAAAGCCGTCCGCTAAGTGCTCATGTATAATTTTCATTTAATTTTTTAAACGCGCCGTGAACAGTGCAAGTTTCATTTTATTGCTCAAAAATTAGGTGGCAGTACAGGTAAACGAAAATTACTTATTTTTATTTTAAATAAAGATTTTAATTACTCTATTTTTCTATGTTAATAAATGGAAAAATAATTAGTTAATACCTACTGAATTTCTAAACTGACTCATTCCATTTAAACACAAAAGACACATGAAAATCGCTGCATTTTTCCAACATACCAAAACATAAAGATTATCAACAAAAAGCATTTACGGTGAATAACTAGAGACGTGCAATTCGCGTATCTTTAATGTAAGTATATGCAAATGTATGACCGTAGCGACCGGACAGACGTCACCCACTATACGTTACGGCTATCACTGTATGTAAAGTAAAACTGCGAGTTGACACGAAGACACGCGTCCACCAGTAGGTACTTGAACTTGACTCGAGGTGTTGAACGCAAGTGACATTTACAATCACATCAAACTCTTTCACTCGTCTACCTTCATGAATGAACTCGTGAAATGTTTTATTAGGCCAGTTACATCGTAAATATTACCTAGGCAATTGTTACGTCACGTCATAAGTTTTTAATGAGCGTTAGTGAGCGTTGAGTCGTGTTGTCGTGAGGGTATCCACAAGCTACGAAGGTGTGGCGTCCAAGCAGGTACCGGTGGCTGTCAGCTGCTGACAGCTCGATGCTGGACAGCGAAGAGGACTCGCCCTTCGTCGTCGTATCGCTGCCGGTGTACTCTACTGAGCCATTTGTGAGTTCTTTTGTTTACTCTTTACATGTACTCTTGGCATGTAATAGAATGTAGAAATTTTCTGCTTGATCGAAAGCTGCTGAGACATTTGCAACACAACACAAGATGCAGAATTGAGAGAAGTAAGTAATGTAGTGACATTCCATGTAAAAGTGAACTTTAAGCTCTTCAGAAAATGTACTACTACTTTCATGTAATGGAATGACGAGAGAGGATCTGTTAATATTTTGATTTAAGTAATTTTCGCAGTATCTTGCACGTAACTGTAGCGTCATAGTATCATAAGCACGTCTCTAAAAACCCCATCTCGAAACTTCGGCTTAAATTTTATTCGAATCAAATGTCCCGTTCCATTGGTTTTTATAGGTAAGTATATCATAATAACTGTAGCTTCAATTATAATGCGTAAAAAACCGAGTTGTATTTATACGCATTGCAATTGCCCAAAACTCATTAAAAAAAGTTAAAGAACAAATATATTTTTAAGGTATAAAAAAGTCAATTTACGAGGAAACGGAACAGCCTATACCCTCTTATCAATTACATAATCCGTTGTTTTCCTTGAGTATTCAAATGAATTGCGTGATTCGGGCACGCTTGCCGAAACCCGCACGTCAAAACTAAGGTTATGTCACAAATGGCTTAATGAATGCGTAGTATTTAAATCATTCCTAGTGTTTGTTATTGCTAATGTAGATTTTGAGTTCAGGGTAAAAGCCGTGGTAATGTTTTTAAGAAAGCTGGAGCAAGGTTTTTGTGGGACCTTAAAATTGACATGATCTTGAGACCTTGGTCTGTTGAAGTGAAATCTAGATTAGTTCGAAACGTAAATTCTAAATATTTAAGGACAGTTAGCGTCGCCTGCTATACATTAGGTACTCGTATATAGAATAAATAACACATCTGTACTAATTACTTATGTAAAACTTTCGCAAAGCCCTTCAAATCCAACTTCCTTATGGACACGAAATACAATTTTCCACGTAAACGACAAAATGACTAACATTTTCAGACATATTAATTTCAAACGCCGCAGTCGACTAGTTATGCAGCAATTTGAGACGTGACCTCGGCGAAGCGTGCTCCCCACACGTGGTGAACGATACGTGTGTACAGACCACCCAAACTAGACCCCCGAACTATCACTTATTACCTCAAGATTTGCGTGAATGCAGTACTTTCGCGAGGGGGTGGAGGTCAATTCGTTGGTACTTTTGTACGTTATTCTAATTGCACGCACAGACTTGCGATAAGGGTGTCCTTGGAAGACGGTCAGTACCACTGGCCAAGGACATTGGAATAATTTGGATGAAGCAGGGTTTTTGTTTACACGGTCAGTGGTTGGTTGGACGCCGTTGGTGACTGTCTACGGCGGTGACGCGGTTAATTCACGTGACAAAATACCACGACTTAGGATTCGGTATTGCGGGAAGAGCGACGAAGATTTGAGGGTATCTATCATGGTGAGCACTCTAACATTATATCAATATTAAATGTCAATAATTAAGTTTTTCTTGAGAATTTTTAAGCGATATAATGTTCTTGATATACGGTGAAGCAACTGTTACACTGAGATTATGTTGCCATTTGCTATAGTAACAGAAAAAAGGTTTATATGGTAGATTTATTACTATATTCAATCTCAAAGATTGTTAAATTCTTATTTATTGGATAACTTCTGTTTAACGCACTAATTTCTTTTCGATGGGTACCAACTTCTTTTTCTAAGACCTACGTAGAGACAGAGAAATAGTTTCAACACAAAACTAGGTTAAAGTTGTATTCGTAGTAAGGTAAAAAATAACGGTCAACCACAACAGAACGGAAGCGAGGGAATTTACCAAAGAACCATAAAATTCTGAATAAATCCACTTTACTTGTAACATTCCCCACACATCGGCCATTGAAAAAACGTTAAAATGTTAACGTTGGAATAAAGTAACGTTGCAATAATTTTTATCGGACGGTGTCAAATAATTCAGTTGTTTTTATTTTAATGCATTTATGCAATACAATATTTCGCATTTTTTTGACGAGTTATGCGAAATCGTAAGCATTAAGTGCTAAGGTTTATTTTGCAGCATTAGTTTTTATCTTTTTATGTAAAATCCTATGTCGAATGAAGTCGGTTGCCGTACCTAAGCAATGTACTTAGTCAAAGGCAACCAACCTAGACAGGAATGTACACTGCATGCTCTTAAGTATTTAGTATACAAAGGGCATGTTCAACTTTATGTGATTAATTGATATGATATTGATTCAATAATTTTAATTAAAACTATTCGTCTCTTACTGCCTGTTTCACCATCTATAAACACGTATTCGACAAACTTACACTACACACTTATAATGTACGGCGTCCCGGCTCGGAGTAGGAGAAGGAACAGGGTGGTTTTTAGTCAGAAAGAATTTGAAATCCCAGTTAACCCCACCCAATAAAAATTAAACAGGTTCTTAAAGATAAAAAAACTCTTGCGTGTTTACCGATGAACACTTCATCGGTAAATCAATTTTTTTTGTCAGTCATTTAAGTGTTGAGATAGCAAAACGATTTTTGATTTTCTACTTCTTTTATTTATTTATTAAGTATTAGGCACACATATGTTTGAACATAGGCGGACTTCATACAGTAGGCATTTTCTACCAGTCTTTTATTGCATTTATTGTTGACTTTAGCTTTAGTAGATTTTGAATGCCAACAAGGATTTGACGAAGTCAATTCCAATACATTTTGAAATAGGACCTACAGAAACGGATGTACTTAGTGTCCAAGAATAACCATTTTAAATAGTAATCAAATTACTATAATGACCAAATAGACTACGTGCAAATTTCAAAACATAAAACGATTTAAAAAAATAGCTTTGCATTAAAAGATACAAATTAAGATAATCGTTTAAAATCATAAGTATTGCAGTTCTTTCCGTTTGCATGTCAGTGGATATTCGTTGGTCAGTTTGCACATTCATCAAACAATGGAATCGTGTCAGGGGCACGAAGCTTCATAGTTTTAGGTCGGGGCGCTTTTATACCGAAATAGCTGAAAATACATACTTCTAATGACGTCACTGAAAGCCTATTAAAAGTACTTGAAGACTAAATTCGGAGGAATGTCGAAGTTTTCGTTCGACTGAAAGAAACACGGACTCCATTGACCTAAATCGTTTTATTTTATTATTTTTACGGTATTTAGTACGTAAATGGTATGCCAAGCATGCTGAACGGTAAACTTAATACTACATAATGAGCCAGTCATTTAATTACAGTAACTAATTATAGTAGGTTGACGTAGGTACATTTAACTTAAATAAAATAATTAGGTTACTAAGACGATACCTTTCCTGATTTTCATCTCAAAAAAACTTCTTTTTTATAACAGAAAAATTCTTACCTTGCCGTCGCAACGGTACCGAGTGAAAAGAAACAAACGAATAAGGTAATTAATAAAACTGAAGCATGTAAACTCATTAGGTTGTAGGCAAGCTATGAAAACTGCACTGGAGTTTTTCAAGGAGCCACAGACTATCCGCAATATGATTTCTTCATAAAAGTTTGCACTTGTCATTTAGGCACGAGCTATGTAACATTTCTCCTTCTTACTGCGCTCTTCTCTTATATCTGGGATCTGCCAACAGCTAAAGGTCTAACGTAAGTATAGCTATAATTAATCTATCTATCTAATTGCATTGTAGCACATCTTCAAGAAACTTTGTACTTTTAAGCGCTCAGCACTGAATTATGTCTTCAACTTGAATAGTTTTAGTGTCCTATTTAATTAAAACTTTACTGTTTAACCCCCTGTTATCTGTAACAACTATATCTCATCTAAAAGTAACGGTTTTGGTATTGGCTTTGCTCTTGAATTTCAGATTTAACGTTTTTTATTTGTCACAAATTAATTACCTATTGTCTCGGACAAAAATCTAATGTTACTACTAATATAAACACCTCCATAAACTTTTGCGGATATTAAAAAACTTAATGTAATTTTTGATATTTATTATTAACAATTTGTTGTTTTGCTAACAGGCGGCGAGCTACGGCAAAAAGAACGGCATGTGGTACGGAGGCACCACGACGGGTACCAGTGCTTGGTCCCGAGCTGGTACTCGTAAGCAGTCGGTCGCGGAATCCGATGCTCCTCCTCCAGGAGGTGGCAAGCCAGCCAGTGGCCGCGTCATCAGGATCATCAATAATATGGACCATTCTATACAGGTAACTGGGTTAACAAAAAACTGTTTTTTTCTATTTGCAGTTGATCTTAAATTGTTGTCAATGTATGTAGGTCTTGGTGGACCCAAGGTTAAGGTGCCCGCTTCTCAGAAAGTTCGAAACCTGACAAGTACCAATATGACTGTTTCCGAGTCATATGAGAAAAATATTGTGAGGGAACCAAAACTATTCCTACTATACTAACAATCACTTCATAAATTATAAGTTTGAAATCGTAAATCCGCCTTGAACAAACGTGGTGATTACGGCTCAAACTTAGTGATACATTTAGATAGGTGATAAATTAACAACATTATATTTACGCGGAAAATTATAATTTGAATACCTGCTTGTGACCACGACCTGTGCAACCGGGTCGAAACGTCAAGCCTACCAAGGTATTCAAATTATAATTTTCCGCGTTAATACCCGTGTAAATATAATGTTGTTAAGATGAAACGCGAAAGTTTAAAAGGTGATAAATTTAAAAAAAATCTGTAGTATTTGGGGTTATAGATAATTTTCACGATCATAAGAAATATTTCAGTGGCTTAACAATTTACACGAGTCTTCGTGTCTACAGTGTTAAACACGAGGTTCTTATAAAAACAATATCAAACCTATTTAAAACGTTCAAGAGCGACTGTACATTTACATTATTTCTAAGAACTGGTCATTAAGTACTTAAACAAAAATCATAATAATTTTCTATGTATGTAAATTTTATTCAAATCAAAAGTAAAATATTCGCCCTATTACGTTGCTAAGCGGAACGTTGTAATGTTAAACCTGTATTTATTCTTGCCTATATTTTGTGTGTAGTTATAGCTATGTGACTGTAAACTACACACTAGACTGGCAGTAGGTCAAACTCTCCAATCTTTGTAATTTCTTTATCCGATTTTAATATTCAAAGTTTTGTAATAAAGTTCAAAATTTTTAAGATATTTGAGGAATTGGAATATTGATGTACAGCATTGAAGGTAATAGTGAATAGAATCATGGCTATGTTTTGTAATAATAATACGCTTTCAGTGAAGGCCTTGGGTAGTAAACAGTGATCGCTGAAGAAGGCTTTGCGAAATTTACTCGAGGCCGGCCGGTCATAAGTGGCTATCCACGTATTAGAGAAAGCTACATATTACGGTGATTCACTAAGTATTGGGTGCTGCCAAGATTCTAAAGGGCATCTTGAAAATATCTTAAGGCTAAGGTTACTGGATATAACTGGCAATATAATCAATATTTATGCCTTTTTGCCTACAACTGAGTTTATTTTGGAGACCAAAAGACAGGCAAGTTTTTATTAGATGTGTAACATTACTTCGTTTGTTTACAGTGTCGTGTATTATTGAATTTACGCACAACACAGCCTTTTGAAGAAGTTTTAGAAGATTTAGGTCAAGTTCTGAAGATGAGCGGAGCTAAGAGAATGTACACAAGCACCGGGCAAGAGGTAAAACCAATTAACCAATTAATTACTAACTAATGAAATAATTATGTTTTTGGGTATGTAGATATCTCTACGATTTGACTTATGATCCCTTGCTTCTTATGTTGAGATGTAATTTTGTGGTTTATACTGGTTTAGACTTTTGATACATATTTTAATTAATTAATATGTATAACAACTTACGAATAAACATTGATGCTCGTGAATATGAGCCCCAAGCGTGGTTTGAAACTAATCGAGTTCCTCGTCAAACTGTTAACGAGTAAGCCGTTAGTAAGCCGCTGAGTATAATAAATAATTCATCAAACTCCAAGCTAACGCCGGCGTTCGTGTACCTATTGTTCTTCTACATATTGTGTCCCGACTCGAATTAAGTTAATCGAACGGTTAATTAAAGGTCTGCCTGAAATACTCTATACGAGTGCTTATGAAGGTAAAAATAATAATTTCTTGGTACTTATTTGTAATTGAAATGTTTATAATCGTAGGTGAGGAGTTTCTCTCAGCTGCGGAACGAGTTCGCTGATGTGGAGACGTTTTACTTGGGCTCCTTAATTGTGGCCCCCGCCTTGAGCCCTGGTATCAGTGCTCCGCTACCCATTGAGTCACCTATCAGAAGGTAATCTGAACGAAACCGTATTACTATTGTTATACGTTTCTAAGTTTAAAATTTACGCCAATTAAAGAAAAAATCCCTAAAATAAAAATGTAATAAATAATAACCAAAATAGTTTAAATCTTTACTTACTTCTAACACGTATAAATGCTTTTAAGGTTTTAAAATTATTCACCTACCAGATCGATCCAGGTTTCATTATACCGAGGTTGCTCCTTGAACACTGAATCGTACTTGTTCTAGAAATAGCAACTACTATAATATTTGTGATTTGTAGATCTCGATCACGAGGGAACGTTGCGGCTGCGCCGATGGCTGCCGAAGACATGCGCGGGAGACGAGCGAGGAGCAAAAGTCGACCGCGTGTACTGTATGCACCTGAAGGAGAAATCGTTCGTAATTCAGGTAAACTCGTAGTTTTCAACAATTTAATTTTAATCTTCCGTTTTTCAAATTAAAAAGCCGTATTTGGTCGTAAAGGCCGGCAACACACTTGAATCTCTTGGGTGTTGCGGGTGTCCATGGGCGAGGTTTTCGATTCCGTCCGATTGGAGAGGGTTATTGGGCCTCCGGTAACATCACGCACACGGAGAAATACGGCGCTATGGTTGTTTCACGCTTGTTTCTGTTGTGTTAGCTGTTCCATCGACCACAGACTTTTGTGTTAGCTGTTCCATCGACACATCCTGGTCGCTACAATCCATTCGTGCCGTAGCTTGTCTCCTCCACTTAACTGGTACTTATAATTAAATATCTTTAATACAGATTACACTTTGCTGGAAGTGTTAAAAGAGGAGCCGATCAGAGTCACAATCAGAGGTCTTCGGCGCACATTCTACCCTCCGATACACCACGCACCCATCGACAACTCCCCACCGGATAAGAAATTACAATTAGATTGGGTGTAAGTACAGGAGATTATAAAACTATTTTTCTCTCCAATAATATCAATAATTATCTGCTTAAAGATGTTCTATGGAATTACCATTTCATGTTCCAATATTTAAGTCCTCATAGTCCATGTTTAGATCGTATGTTGTTTGTACCTATATATGAAGTTAAATTCAATACTTTGAAATACTACTTTCATTGAAACGTCGAAAACGTAATCAATTTGTATAAATGTTGTATGAAATTACTAAATTGTAAATCCTTGTAAAAGGAGTTGTTAATCGAGATTACATACCTATACCTATAGTTACTTTAATATATTTTTTTTATTTTTGAGTGAGACATTATCCCTGCTGCATACTGCAGTGGTTTCTACTGATCACACATCATGTAGACTGTTATATTAAAATAATGAACTCCCAAACAGTTACGGCTATCGTGGATCGGATTCCCGTCGCAACCTGTGGGTGTTACCGACTGGCGAACTGCTTTATTACGTGGCTGCGGTCGCCATAATGTATGACAGAGACGAAGAGTCCCAGCGACACTACATTGGACACACGGAAGACATACAATGGTGAAGATACACAATTCGTAGTTAATAATTTCGTTTAAAGACACACAAACTCCCGTATGTTAAATAATGTGCCAATTCATGTCTTTTTATAACACTACGATGTTTTAGGTTGTCGATTCGGTCAATAGAAAAGTTGTTGGAAAAATTCAGCTTGGTCGAACTTTTTATTATGGGGAAAATCGTCAAATGACTTCAGAGACGTCATGTGTGAGGAGAGAAAGTGTCAGACTCCTACTTAATAAAAACCACACCATTCCTTTTCCTGTTCTAAGACGGTGCTGCCGTAGATCTTGGCTGCTGATCTCTGACGTTGACCTGGGCTTGTAAAGTTATTTGATGATTTTCAACTCAAAAAAGATAAACATTTAATAGGTTACTAGGGGAGTGATAGAAGGCAAATATGATTGCCAGGGCCATAGAGGAGCATATAATTGTCTTCAAAAATTTTCTGTACACTGTCAAATGTTAAAATTTCTAAAGTTATATTTTCCAACCAGCATGGAACTGCACCCGTCGCGAGAGTTGGTGGCCAGTGGGCAGCGCGCAGGTCGCGGCAGGAGAGCGCAGGCGCACGTTCGCATCTGGAGCACCGACACCTTACAGACATTACACGTTTTCGGTATGGCCGAGTTCGAAGCTGGGGTCTCTGCTGTCGCATTTTCGCAACTTGTAAGTACTTTGGAACATTAATTTGGTCCAGAAGAACTAGGTAATTTAAATTTCTCGTTATTCGACCAAGAAACTTGGTAAAATATGCATAAAATAATGTCTGAGAATTTCATTATCAAAGGTTAAAATGTATGTAGTATTGAGAGTCCAGTGTCCTATTCATCTGTCTGTTGTATGCCAGCAAGCCTCATTAATCGTTGTCGTTTGGGAGTTGAAATTTTCAGTATATGTATAATGATGTAAGTAATTATGCCAAAATAAATTAATTACGTTGAGTGTTTTGTGCCGTTTTAATAAGAAATGGTACGAAACTGCAGCCAACAAAGAAATCATTAACCTTTTTGATTGATAATTGTGTTTGTGTAGAACGGAGGCAGCTACGTGCTAGCGGTGGACGCTGGTCGCGAAAGCATCCTCTCTGTATGGCAGTGGCAGTGGGGGCATTTACTAGGAAAAGTTGCGGTAAGTTTACAATTTTTATATATTCTTCGACTCTTAACTGAAAAACTGATTTTTCGGGAAACCTAATATTGTTTTTATCGGACCCTCGAGGCTGGTTCCAGCTTCGCACGGGTGAGCATAAGTTTTTTAGAAATAGCCTTTGTTACTCAGGGCGAATATAGTTTTCAAATGGTGAAAGTATTTCGGAAATCAATACCTACAATACTTTATGGATTGATACATTATAAACAAACACACACATACTTAAATCCAATTTTTTTACTCTTTATGTGTTATGTTATGTATATACATAACGTTTTTTTTTAAATTGCAAGCTCATTTCAAAGAAGTCATTTTAAAAGTTAGTTTTAAAAACACATATTTATTTTATAGGTAAAAATTTTTAAAGCACAGAGTTTAGTACGTAATCCAAGAATGATTTATGAATTCCGAAAATTAACCTTGAGATATAAATACATAAGTACTTAAACTAAACTTATCTGCATTCAGGTATTCGTGAAGTACCTAATATGTAGTTACGATAAATAAAATCAAGATAAACGGTGAATGTACAATGTTTGTATGACGTAGTGTCTGCGACCTTGTGACCCCAAGGTTGGACACCACATTAAGATGTGGCGACATGTGCACCCCGATAGCGGCATGCAGGTAAACTTTGTGTTAAAACTGTCCACATACTGAGTTCAGTCAACTTTAAGGAATGGGAGGATTCCATGCTGATTCTTATTCAGAGAACAGATTTGTAGTAAAACTTGGAACTATATGAGGTGGTAAAATTCGACATCATCTCATATTTTTGACAATTTCACATCCCACTACTGCTTTACTACATACTTTTAAACCGTCATCATTATAAGGTACATACTGTAAAACAAAGTTGCTTTCCCTGCACTTATATCCATATAAGTAAGCTTAAATCTTTAAAACTACGCAACGGATTTTGATGCCACTTTTTTAGTGTAGATAGAGTGACTGAAGAGGATTTTTTAAATCATCATCATTATACTATAACATCCATTAAATAGTGGTGACATTTTGTAACAGCATTGCACCCGGTCAAATTCTCTTTTTTTGGTGATGGGAAAATCATCAAATGACTTCTCCCGCCCAGCGAAAACCCGAGGCCCATGCTTTGGGCCGAGGTCGCGGTGCCTCATTGCGCTTACCCCGCAACCCCGGCTGAACATCAGCCCTATAGGGCCCTGTCTGAGGACCGTAACGACTTGTGTTTGTTAATCTTTGTTCTACTGCTACTGAAACAATCTGAATAAAATTTGCCATAGATATAGTCTGAAACAACACACGGACTTTTAACCTGGTACTTCAGAAGCTAGTTTAGCGTAAAGTTTAACAAAGAGTATATAGCCCCAAGTGTGACCTCACCTTTACAATTGCAACGCGAACGCGATATTCTTCCAACAATGGTGACGTGTTTAAACCTTCCCCGCTTTTTAATTTAAAGAAGTGATAGGATCTAAGATATATCACTAGTACAATACATTTATTTCACGGGCTGTCGTCGAGGACATTCTTAGAAATTCAGGTTTTAGTGTTTTAGTAACAATTTGGTTCTTACCTATGTGGATAGGTCATGGCTAAGTACATACAGTACTATTTTATTGGTAATGCAATCGTAATTTTTTAACATTTCAACTTTCAACTGTCATTTTTGCTTCAACTTACTTTAAACACAGTCCATAATTTAATTATTGTCCAATTAGGCAATGTTACATGTGTTCATTGCCTTTGATTAAATGTGCATCATAAAGATTATTTTAGAAGTTTCATAACTATAGTTTAGGGAGACAAGATATCTATATTCCTCGATTCAATTAATAGTCCCGATGGAGGTAAGTAACACCTCCTTAGTTTATTATACGTTGATTACCTAAAGTAAAAAAAAAAACAATGAACAGAAACAATTTTTGCGTTTCTAAAGAAACTATAAAAGTCTATCCATAGATTACGATAAGGCGCGCAAATGAAACTCACAGAAAACATTAATCAGTTCGTAGCGTTGTTGGTTGCAAGTTCAACACACTCACACGTAGCCACGCCCCTTGGCTACGAAATTGCTACGAAATGGCTACGAAAAGCGACAGACACGGCGTACCTACAACCTTACCTAAACCTAGTAAATTTTTTTTTGTTTCCTAATCGATTTGCTTTGTTTTAAATAAATGAATATTTTATCATAATTGCAAACTGGTCATTACGTGGTTGTGAAGGGAAATAATTTATTAAACTGTGCTAATTATATAGTGTTTTAAAACTTGGTACGAAACTCTTGGTTTAGTCATAATTTAAAAGTAATGTGCCCTTATTACTAAACCCAATATTTTTTCTGCAGCATTACGACTAGGTACATATTATGAGCACTAATTTCTTTTAACAACGTTACGGTTAATAAAGTATTAGATACGTATAATAGTAAAATACTTTGCGAGACAAAAGTAAAGCTCGTAAAATTTGCAATCGACCCAAACGGGTGCAAGTGGCGGGTTATCAATCGATGTGGAACACTAGGGGGGAGGCCTATGTTGATGATGATTATGCTTATCACATTATATGTCGATTGCACAATTACGAAATAAATGGATAATATTCTACAAACTTAATTACACTGAGAAACTGTAGAAAACAATCTGATAATTCTTACTGGATGTTACCTACCTGCTTATTGTCTTTATAGTGTTTACTTTATACTCCTGAGGGTTCAATAGGTCGATATGGCAGTGGCTTAATACAAAGAGGTGAAAATCAAGTCCAATGACGTTTTTATGCGTATACTAATGGGTAGACATGTGTTTAGCAGTAAATGTACAGGGGCTAATGCTGCTGATACTTTTGAAAATTAAAGACATGGTTGTAATGATCATAGAGCCGTAATGCGACGGATAATAATTGCATCAGTCGTATAAATCAATAACATACCGAGACTATAGTCAGTAAGACGCTGACGCTCCTTATCGCGGACCTACTGCAGGAGAAATCATTAGATGATTTCCCCCATTAAAAAATTATAATGTTTTTTCCAACAGTGTTATATACCTACTGCGAATCGTTATGACCCTCTTAGCATGACGAGTCATAGAACCAGGTAATATTTAATATGCCATGTAACGTACCACTCAATCATTGTTAATGACCATAACGTTGATCTCAAGTAACACCTATTTTTATACAAGAAAATATTTTTCTCGCTGACCAAGTAATAATTCTTCATAATTGTCAAGCTACATCTTATCGGTCACGCGACCTCGGTCTTGTACGTGCTGGAAAAAAACTGTACAGCATAACTAGGTACTTAAAACAACACTTTACTTGCACCTTAGTGTGGGAGTAAGGTTCTAAGTGTGGGAGAGCCATGCTTCAGCACGAATGGGTCCGCTCGACCGGAGTGATACCACGGCCTCACAGAAAACCGGCGTGAAATAACCACAGCATTGTGTTTCGCCGTGTGAGTGAGGTTACCGGGGGCCCAATCCTTCCCCTTTCCGGACCCTTCCCCAATCCCTAAATCTCCAAATCCCTAATCCCTAAAAGGTCGGCAACGCACTCGTAACTCCTCCGTTGCGGGTGTCCATGGGCGGCGTTGATTGCTTACCATCAGGTAATCCGTCTGCTAGTTTGCCGGCTTATTACATTAAAAAAAACCTATCCGTTTGGTACTTAGGTATATTTTACCGTGTTTTATTTAAGATATAGGTCAGCAAACGAGCAAAATGATCACCCATAGACCCGCAACACCAAGTGTTGCCGACATTTTGCGACCTAATTCACATGGCGGTTTCTTGTGAGGTCGTGGTATAACTTCGCTCGAGCCGGTCCTTTCGTGCCAAAGCAGGACTCTCCCACTCTCCCACATTTTTTAAACATTGCATTTACTCCCACATGTTTTGCAAAATGCGGGTAAGCGCATAACTCAACAACGCCCGGACAATAATTATGCCAATCCTTTTCATTGTTTGTCATTATCAAGAAGCTACCATGAAAGAAAATTTTAGAAAAACAATGATTTTATAAGTAAATTGGTATAGGTAGGTAACATAAAACAACATTCGATTTAAAAAAACGGCACACCTAAGCACGCTTGAATAAATCGTATGACACACGTTTTTTTTTTTTTTTTTTTTTTTTTTTTTTTTTTGTGAGGGGAAAATCATCAAATGACTTCTCCCGCCCAGGGCCGGGCAGGAGGGAGTGTCAGACTCTTACTGACTAAAAACCCCCCTGTTCCTTCTCCTGCTCTGTGCCGAGGTCACGGTACCTCATTGCGCTTACCCCGCAACCCCGGCTGAACATCAGCCCTTTAGGGCCCCGTCTGTGGTGGTCTATTGGCTCTTTGAGGCGCGCGCGGAACGCTACGCGCCGTACGCTCGGGCCTGGTTCTGGTCGGGCGGCGAGCTGCCCTTACTCGCCGACCGCAGGCCCGTACTTACGGTGACCGGAGATCGTCCCTCGATCCCCGACGCCCGTAGTGTCGCCAGTTGCGGCTGCTGGGGCGTGAGGAGGAGGATTGCTCCCTCACGCGGGCCGCCTCTCTCTTTGCGAGCATGACTGCTTCACAAAAGGAGGAGACGGCGTCCCAGTTCCTCTCACTCCGCACCATGGCCTCGACTAAGGCCGGGCGCGAGAGGTCGCCGCCGCCGATCACTTCCCTGAGGATACGGCGGTGCTCAGCCCAGGCAGGGCATACCGCTACCGTATGCTCCACCGTATCCTCTAGGTGGTCCTCACAATGACGACACTCGGGCGTTTCCTCCCGCTGAATCCGAAACAGGAACCTACCGAAGCTGCCGTGCCCGGTAAGCACCTGCGTCAGACGGAAGGTGAGGACGCCGTGGCGTCTCTCAAGCCACTCCTCAAAGAGGGGTCTTACCGCTGCTATGGTAGCGTGCCCGGTATGACACACGTTAAAGTGGGATGGCATGGTTCAATAATTGCGAGTGAAAAAGAGACAAATATGAAAAAGTGTGGCCACATTTTAATGTGGCTAATAAAATGTGGCTAATACACCTTTATACTTATAATAGCTATCATTGTAGAAAAAGATATGTGGTTAGATATTGGGCAACAGCAAATAGCGATCCGTTCGTCGCTAGCGAGGTACTTAATTTGACACCCATGCGAAGAGCAGCCTCTTGCAGCCGATAAAAACTGAAAACTATACTCGGAATTTTAATTCCATTCCAGGTTTGACAATTTCAGTGTTGCAACGTTATGACTGTAATAAATAGTGACGTTGCGAAATTAATCGATATGGAATTCGAATATTTCTGAATCGATTCCTCTAGTTTATAAATTTACTCTCATAAGCTAAGTTTATCAGGAAATAAAATATTTCTGAACCGATAATTTAGTTTTGACAATTATTTAACGATCTGAGACTTTTCTATTGTAATTGTGTGTGAAATTAATAAAAATGTGACATTTTATAAGTTGTCGCGTCATCGCTATCGCTATCGCTGTTACTTTCTGTAACATTTATTATGAATTGTGTCTGTGATATTTATTGTCAATTAACATATCTAGCTTACTCATTTTTCCTCTTCTTTGACAACATTTTGGGATGGGATACGCATTTAGACCATTCGGTAGCCGTAAATTTTTGAATGCCTTCCTGAAACTGATTCACTGATTGTATATCGATTTTTGTGTTCATCACTACACTGATAAATGTGGTATCATTATTTCACAAAATGACAGCAGGTCATGTCAAATCAGGAATCGAATTAAAATTCTGACTATAAATGAAAAATTTCTAACAGCTTATAGGTCACGTCATCGCTATCGCTATCGCCCTACTATGTACTTACCCTATGTACTTACTAATTTGCTTGTAAATTATTGACAGACTTTGCAAGAAGAACTAACTGGTGCCGCGTTCCATCCACTTGACGATAACTTGCTGATCACTCACGGAAAAGGACATCTAGCCTTCTGGAATCGTAGAAAAGATGGATTCTTTGAACGCACTGATATCATCAAACCGGTTAGTAAAACTTATTTAGTTAAGTAAATCTATTTGAAATTAAATAATTTTAATGCTTGATTGCTTAATTTGTGCATTATATCCTTGGTCAGCTATGGAACGCGCGAGTGTTTTCCCGCGTAAGTCGTAGAGTGAAGTTAAAGACCAAAAACCGATTAATTACGGTTTATTTAATTAACTTAAATTTTTACAGCCATCGCGTACTCATGTGACCGCGTTGCAGTTTGAACAAGACGGTGATGTTGTAACAGCTGACAGTGATGGCTTTATCACAATATACAGCGTCGATAGCGATGGAGCTTACTTTGTACGCATGGAATTTGAGGTATAATAACATATTACTAATACTAAAAAAGTGTACAGGTATGAAAAAAAAGTATAAAGTCTATATCTTAAATTTTACAGGCGCACATTAAAGGCATTAGTTCATTGGTAATGCTTTCGGAAGGTACTTTAATATCCGGAGGAGAAAAGGATAGAAAAATAGCTGCATGGGATTCTCTTCAAAATTATAAGAGAATAACAGAAACGAAGGTTTGTGTCGATTCCTTTGTTTATTCCTGTTAGTTTATATGGTATAGAATAAACACCTCATTTTTCTTATTTTCAGTTGCCTGAATCTGTAGGAGGGGTACGTAGTATTTACCCACAGAGACCTGGCAGAAACGATGGTAACATTTATGTTGGCACCACACGCAACAATATTATGGAAGGATCTTTGCAAAGAAGATTTAATCAGGTACTTATATATAAGTACTGATATTTTTTTAATGCCTACCATATTTTGTATATAGGTCTGTAACGTGTTGGCAAGGAGGATAAAGCGCCCGCTTTTCCTGCATGAAGGGGCGGATTCGAAACCTCATAAGTACCAACGTGCCTTTTTCTGAGCTATGTTTCTGTTATTTTTTAGACATTACGGCGAAGTGAAACGTCGTTAGAAAACCTGGACTTATAATTTATAATTACAAGTTTAAAATCGCCAAACCACCTTGAGCAAGCGTGGTAATTAATAGTTGAACCTTTTCTGTTTGAAAAGAGGCCTTTGGCAACAGTGGGCACTTATACGCTGATGATGTGATGTGTGTCTGTATCGCAACAACTTCATTCTGCCATGACTTAAAAATCATTGGTTACAGGTGGTATTTGGACATCACAAACAGTTGATGGGTCTAGCTGTTCACCCTGATGATGAAATGTTTGCTACTGCGGGCCATGACAAAAATATTGCCCTTTGGAAGGGTCATAAACTTGTATTTGCTACACAGGTAAATTACGTTAAACTATGTATTTAAAATTATAACTACGATTATAAGCGTGTTATAGAATGAAAAGCTCGATGGTTTCTTCTCTTAAAAGTATTTTTTTATCATTTGCAGGTTGGATATGAGTGCGTATCTCTGGCGTGGCATCCAAGTGGTGGAGCTCTAGCGGCAGGTAGCACTGAAGGTCATCTCGTAGTTCTTAATGCAGATGCTGGGGCCCATGTCGCGACATTACGAGTTTGCGGCTCACCACTCAGTTGCTTGGCATATAACTCTGGTGAGATTTTTAATTGTTATTATTATGTTATTGTGGCCAGATATTAATTCTCTTAAAGTAGGCCCACCTTCTTTAAGAGAATTAATATCTAGCCACCACTCGAGGTCTGGCAATAATATCTACAGAAATATTTTGAGTTTAGCTATGGAAAGTTGAGTTTAACTACAAATTATTATATTAACTTTTCAGCGGGTGACACTTTAGCCATAGGATCACAAAACGGTAGCATTTATTTGTTCCGTGTATCTCGAGATGGGTTTTCTTACAAGAAATCGAATAAAATACGAGGAGCTCAAGCTCTCGTGCAACTTGACTGGAGTTTAGACGGCAATTACTTGCAGACTGTGACCGCTGATTACGATCTGGCCTTTTGTAAGTTCATTTTCATTACCTGTACCTACATTTCATTATCAAAGTGCTTGTACCTACCTTATTTTCTCTTTGGCTTACAGGGGATATTAAGTCTTTGTCGCCAGAAAAGAGTCCAATCGCCATGAAGGATGTCAAATGGTCTACTTACAACTCTACAGTTGGATTCCTGGTATCGGGTAAGATTATTTTTAATGAAATCACTTCGATCTAACATTAATTGTCTACTTAATTCTAATAAAATATTCTTATGTTTAGGAATGTGGAACAATAGATTCTACCCCATGACAACTTTAATATCAACGGCAAGTCGATCTGCTGCTCATGATCTCCTTGTAAGCGGTGATCTGGATGGATACGTGCGATTGTTCAGGTACGTTAAGTACCAACACATGATATTTATAAATGTTATATAATATTACTACATTTAATGCTCATTCTATTTGACTTCAGGTATCCTTGTGCTAGCCCAAAAGCAGAATACAATGAAATGAAGGTATACAGCGGTGCGATATACAGCGCACGCTTCTTGTTTAATGATCGCTGCATGATCAGCGCTGGAGGAACTGATGCTGCCTTAATGCTGTGGGACCTTGTGGATGATTAGCATAAAGTGGCGCCGGGTCTACGGCCGCCCGCGGTTGTGGTAGCTCCTCCCACGCCCTCGCCGCCGCCCCACGCGCTTATCTCCCATCCCACTTTCAAAGTGCTGGATTTTGATGAACTGGATTGAACCCATTGTGGAACGTCCCATGGGTTTTACAGATATTAAGGTTTTAGACTTAAAACCAATGAATTTCAGAATTGCAATGATAACGTATTTTAGAAATGCGTAACAAGAAATGAATTGAGATTTTGCAGAGTTTCCAGAAATGTTACAAAACACGACACTTTTATCTACTTTATCACAAAACATATCAAAGGTTACATGAGAATTTGTCTATTATAATTTAGTTAGGTAGGTACATGACTCACTGCCATTTTAACGTTGCATATAATATTATAGATGCGTAGTATTAATCACGCTACAATGTTAAGAAACATAATGTAAGTATTGGTCTGTTAGTGAAAATTTGGCACAAATTAGGATTAAATCTTCATATTTTATCGGAAAAATTACAATATCTAAAATTTATTAGTAACCAATGTTATTTGGTGCAAACATATGATATGATCATTGAATAAAAAAAATTATGTATGTGCAATTTCATATTTTTTATGATTCATCAAAACGGAGCTTGAGTTGGAATCTAAGCTAAGCACTGCATAAAACTAATTGAATACAATATACAAAGCATACATTAAGTAATTGTTGTAGGCAAGAGCACTATTTACATAGTAGGTATACAACATAATTGCTAAGTATAAACATATATATCACGAGGACTTCCGGAATGTGGCAGGCCACAAACAAAAATTTTGTATGTTAAATATCTCCTCTTATAATTTGACATTTTTACAACAAATATTGTAAATTAATTCATGATTTTACAATAAATAAATAAAATATGTCTGGAGCAGAAGATGATTATCTCTTTGTAATTAAGTATTATGTATACAAAAACACATGGATTCTACAGTAATTACGAACAATCTGAATGTGGCACTACATTGACCCAAATCTCAATAAATAATAATATACATAATTTGATTTTGTCTAAAAATTTTAATTTATTGAAATTTTTCGATAGTTCAAGAAAACCTTCTGCTCTGAGTACTTTGTTTTATTTGGGTTAATGTAGTGAAGTTAAACTTTAAGAATTTTATTAAAGAAAAAAATATATAATGGATAATTATCTTATCTAGTTGTTGTATCTTAACTTAATTTATATTTTAACGCTCTAGCAAAACTAAAATCTTCTAAATGATATTAACGCATTTCACGAAGAAAAGCTTCTCGATCACTATAAGTATACTTTTAATATAGTACTAGCTTTCAAGTTATAATGAGTATTTTATAGTTATAGACATTAATTTAATCATGTTAAAATGATTTTATTTGTTTAATGTTGTCCAAGACAACTAATATTTTTACATTATATAATTTCCAACAGGGTACCAGAAAAACATTTTTATATTTAATTTATCGTCAAATTCTTAAAGACTTAATAATGATTTCTTTTTAAAAATATTAATATTATTGTTTCTAAAATCTTGCTAAGTGTCATGCGTAAAACTTATTTTACTCAATATTTCGAAAAGGCAACCTGTTTTTATATACATAATAATTAAAGAATGAATAAAATTACTATCAGTTATTATTTTGAGTGTTTTATTTAAAATCCCACTTCTTTTACCTATTTTAAAAAACAAACAGACACTCCAAAATTTACTTAGTTTACATTATTACTAAACTCTTACAATTTTTTAAATGAAATGTTATAGAACTAGTATAGAATGGAAAAAACGGATGGTTTTTTTCAGTATTTAAAAGTATAGTTATTTGGAAACGTAATTTTATGCTTTTACAAAAACCGTAAATATCACTTTGACATTAACGGTTCTATGTCTTGAAGTTTGACTCTATTTTGATCTAATGACCATTGAGATAGAAAATATATAGAGGCGCCGTGTTACTATAGAAGTATACATGCTTATACAAATATCAGGGAAATATGAAACAAACTATGAAATATCATTTTTTCTCACTCTTTCTAAGGCAATAATTGTATTAGACAAAAGAGACAACAATATTTAAGTTGTTGCTTAATATGGAAACAAATCATTTTGACATTAGCAAAGTTGTAGGTAAGTGCCATGTCCGCCATCTTAAGCGCTCAGAGTACCTGAGTTTCATGGTAGTTGTCCTGTCAAACGGTTGTTTATGTTTTAAATTATTGCGGTTATTCAGTAAATTACAAAGAACCATTTTTTTAAACTTCAAATATATATAGTGAAACAAAAAAACAATATGCCTGTGTGTTGTATTGTGCAGTGTGGTACAAAAAAGAACGAAAATCAACCTCAATTGTCTTTGTATAGGTTAGTAAACAGTTTTCATCAAATATTACTTAGAATAATCCACATAGATAGAAAAAAATGTCACGGATACTTTAATCTATTGCCAAAGTATATATATTTACTTTTATTTCTGTCTGTGAGACAGTTTTAGTAAAAAATTGTTGTTTACAATAATATGTCAATATGGCATAGTTACGTACCATTTCACAAAAGTATCGATATAATCTCTAATTTAAAATTCAACATATATTATACTAAATAATCTATTTTAAGAATGGATGTTTCCGCAGTTTTGTGTAACGCTAAAGTAAGACGTCAATATTTTGGTATTGGTTTTAGTTACATAAGTAGAAGTTCAAATTATCATGTTTTATAATTATACGGGCGCGATTGACAGAGCGGCGTTGGCGACGATCCCATTTAACAAACACTATCTTTTTCTATTTCACCATTCTTCATAAACACAGTCCTATTTTTTTAAAAGACGCTTTACGTAGAATTATATGAATACAAATTCGACTTGAGAAAATCATTAGCCAATCAAGAGACCAAGTTAACCCCGGGTTCCGGGTTCTAGCTAGGCCGACGGCAAAGTAGGAACAGGAGTTGATTTTAGTCAGTAACGGTCTGTCCCGAAAAAGGCCGGAGATGACATTAGATGATTTCCCATAAAAAAATACCGTTAATTAGCTGGCTAATCCCTAAAACTATACCTACGTAGAACTTTTACTCAAATTGTATCGATACTCGTTTAATACTTAGTCGGCACAACCCTAGCAACGGCAGCCATCTTATGCGACATTTTGGATTGTAGGTAGGCACCTTCTTTTCGTAGGTAGGTATTTCAAGTCCATATATTTCCTATGTCAATGCTAATGACAGACAGGCACAACACCAGTTTTGTCAGTGTCAAAGTCAGTATTGGTCGCCACGGAGGATCGTGAAATTAGTCGGATGGTTTTATAAATTCGACTGTTTGTATTAACAATCATTGTGAAACAATGACTAAGCCTCGGCCATGTGGTTGCAAAGGTTGTAGAACATGTTTAATATGTGAAACACAATATGGAGCCGAAAACTTGAAACTACAGCTGGAACTGGATAAGAGTAAGGGTTATGTTTATTGTCCTTTTTGCAATAAGGCTTGGAGAGGCTGGGACTTGAACGCTTACAAACAACATCCTAATCATGAAGGAGACTCTATAGAATATCCTGGTGTATATATCCAGTTGAATTTTATATCGGAGGAAGAAGAAAGAGATTTGATGACAAACATCGATGAGGTGCCATGGGACATATCTCAAAGCGGTCGAAGAAAGCAAAATTATGGCCCAAAAACTAATTTTAAAAAGAAAAAAGTTGTAGTGGGTAAATTTGAAGGTTTTCCAGCATTTTCGAAATATTTGCAGGAGAGATTTGCTACTATTGATTTGTTGAAAGACTACTATGTGATTGAGCAATGTTCTTTGGAATATGACCCGAGTAAGGGAGCTTCTATTGATCCTCATATAGATGACTGCTGGATATGGGGTGAGAGGATTATCACAGTCAACTGTTTATCAGACACCGCACTGACAATGACTGCATTCAAAGGTGATTTGAAGAAATACAATCTGTATTGTGCTGAAGAATATGGTCCAGTGGTTAGTGCTGATGGTAGCATACTTAAAGGCCATAAAGAGGAGAAATCAATGTTAGAAGCATGCAAGTCTGCACTTCCCGATGATGTTATAATTAGGATACCTATGCCAAGGTAATATTATCTTGATTAATTATTTTTATTCTTGTAACATTATGTTAAATACCAACTAAGTAAATAAATCAAAAAGATTTTGAAGTTGACAAAAAATCTATAATCTATTTCAAAATATTCTAGTACCATATTGCACAATGATAATGTTAAATCATGAAAATAGTAAAATGTTGTGCAATATTTGGTGAGTCTATGACATACTTGTGATTGTAGGCAAGGTCATACAAGTACTACATTTAGTACATGTCTTTTAGCCTTGTAACTGGCAACATTTCATATTGTATTGTGATATCTAACCTTTCCATGATGCAACCTTCTTTGTACCCATATTATGACCCCTAAAATCAGTATCAGTAAGTTTGTCACTTCAATCATCTATTTACTGGTTGTTAATATACATTTATGTATGCCTATTTCCATATATTCAAATTGCCGAGAAAGACTTATGATGTCTTTTACACATTGTTTCGGTAGATTAGAAATATAAAACTTTTCTTTGTTGTGTATTTTAATTGGTTTTGTCTTACCTTTCCAGGAGGTCTTTAATAATTATTTATGGAGAAGCTCGATACCACTGGGAACACAGTGTTCTTCGAGAAGACATCGCATCTCGGAGGGTGTGCATAGCATACAGGGAATTTACCCCGCCATACCTAAACGGTGATCAGCAAGAAATTGGCAATACCATCAGAAAAATAGGCCAAAATTTCTGGGACCACAAAGGTAAAAAATATAATAGCATAGAACCTCAAATTCCCAATGATAAAATGGGAGTAATGGATATTATTAAATCTCCAGGAATTTCTCCGTTGATTGGGCAAAACAAAAAGGTTGAAAACCAAATAGCCTAGAATTATTCCATTCTGGATCACTGAAAGTTAGTATTTGTTACCACTAGACAAATTACGGAATTTTAGTTTTAGTTCATATTTAATTTATTTGGTATTTTATTTAGTAGTTAAAGCAAGGGCATTATTTGATCATCTCAGAACTTACATGTCTTCTACACATTATGTCAAACTATTTTAGCACCTGTATTTAAAATATGTTGAACCTATTCCTGAAATACAACTCGCTACTTATAACATATCATGACATAAATGCTTGAAACAAATAAGTAGCAAATTAGGATATTTTTCAGGCTTCTGGATGTTGAAATAAGCCCTAAACAGGCTTTCTAAGCTTCTTTGTTGTATGAACAAAGAACTTTTTATTTTTTAAATTACTAGATTTGAGCATAGTATTAGATAGCACAGCTTATGGAATGCATCACCAAAATGTTTTAGTTATGTAAACTATTTAAAAAGTAAATTACAACCATATTCAGCCACAAAATTATATGCTTGCCTTATATGATAGATATAATGGCGAAGCCATAGAAAATATCTTAATTTTTTAGTCATTGGACTATACTAGAATTATCTCTTGTGTTGTATTTGCTTTTACAAACATGCAATTCCACATACACAACACACCCAGCCCCGAAACAACAATTTGTGGATCATAGATGTCAGATGCCTATTGCACCAACCATGCAGATAATATCAACTTATTTTGGTAAAACAATTTGTGGTTGAATTATTCATATAATTTTCTATTAATTGTGATAATAGTAGTTGACAATTATTAGCATTGAAAATGTGTATACTAAACACACAAAAGTATTTTATAGTTTCTTGTAGTTTAAAAATCGCTAGATCCTATTATTTTTAACGTAATTTGATCCTATTTTTATGAATTATGATTTAGATTGTAGCATGGATTATGTATTTTTTATGTTTGAGCTATGTGGTGTTTTTGGAAAATTTAGAGCTATGTAGATGTAGTTTAGAATTATAGAATCCAGTGGGCACATACAATGTTTTTGTTTTATACTTTTATATAAAATACAGTACGGCCGCTGTATCTTCGCGAGTCTGAAGTTAGCCGTTTGTCTGCGCAATAGATCTTTTAGGAACAAAATTGTGTATTGCGCAGCTAATCGGCTAACTTCAGACTCGCCAAGATACGTCGGCGGTATTGTACAGAGGAGAGGACCCCTTTAATATATAATCATCGTCATCACAAGACATCTGAATGTGCCCAAGACTTACAATGAACATAGCCATGACTTGTAATGATCCAATGACTTTCAAATCAGTGAGTTAGAAGGTATCCATATCCTAAATGTGTCATCGCTGTATGACAAAATCTCAAAATCTTAATAATTTATTGCTATATTTAAATATAGGTAGCTCTAATTACAATGTTATTTATTTACCAGCAATTAGCAATATTATCTATAATTGTATTGACATTTGACTTTTATGTGTACGGGTTTTAGTAACTAAGTGGTTTTGGGTGGGGTGAAGTTGAATCGAATCGCATTTAATTTGTAACCACTACGACTTTAATTAGAAAATGTCTTGATGTTTCCGAAATTTCATTTGAAGAAATAAGATTAGCTTCAGTTAGATTATGAAGACGTTGTTCGTTAGAAGTAGGGCTCTATTCTCTTTCGTCATTCAGATAAGATATGTGTGTGATAATATCATAGTACTTTATCTTCCAGTCTGGTAATAAAATGATGACTTCAATGCGTTATTAAGAACAAAAACCAAAAAAAATATATAATCGTAAATTCTATGACCGAGGTTACTGCACCTATGTTTTATTTATTTTTTGTAATTTGTAATAAAACCTGTCTGCATGAATGTCAAATAAATCGCAATTAAGTGCGTCCAATGTGTTCTAGAAAATCCCAGTATTAAATACGAGACTAAAAAATAAGGCATAAATAATAAATGAATAAATAAATACATTTTAATCGGAGGTACTATGATTTACATAAACAAAAAACGTATGTTTTTTTATCGCTGGTATAATCTATGCAAGGTTTTTTTTTTCTTGTAATATATCAAGTAATTAGCAAAGTAGGTAGGTATAAAATTATTTTACGCATTATAACGCTCTGATAGCAGTCAATATTATTGTTTTATTTTTTTTTTATTAGATTTATGAGTGTCATTTACTTTGCTAAAACATTGAATGTCTGTTCCTGCAATATTGAAGGATTAAAACATTTTGATTTTGAACTCACAAGATGTCGCTTGTGAGTATATATGTCATGTTAATCTTAATTCAGTCAGTTCAGCTGTAATAAGTTTGCAGTGTAATGACAAGGTTAACTTTATCAAATATTGTACCCAGTGGCTACTTGACTACCACGCGAAATCCTTAATCATCTCATTATATGACATCCCTAATATTTGTACCAGTGTTGTACCTAATATTTTACTTTAATATTATGTTCCTAAGATGTTTGTAGTTGCTGAGCTGATAAGATTTCTAAATAAATGCCAAATATGCACTCCAAATTTTGAGTTTTATTTCTTTGTTTTGCTTCTTTTGATATTCTTAGCTACCTACCTACGTTAAAACGTTCTTTTTTCAACGTTTAACGCAGCTGGTCCTTTAAGATGCAATCTGGTCAATGATCTTATTGCGAATTCAAGTTCAAATGTGTCAAATAATACACCGAAATGTTTGTAAACTTATTTAATTACAAAAACAAATATAGATACAAGTTTTATGACCAACAGTGATAAGTTAGGATGTAGGTAAGTACAGTACCTACTGAGCAACTGAGTTTATTTTTTCACAACTGTGGACTTGATACGTCGGTACCTACCTCTTTTGTTGAGGGTGAAGGTCATCGAATGACTTTTCACGCCATGGGCGAGAGGGAGTTTCAGACTGACTAAAATCCACACCATTCCTTCTCTAACCTAAGAATTAAGCAAGTACCTAGGTATAGGTATATTTTGGAACAGATTACATCATATATAAATTTGACACCTACTCACATGTGCTTAACACTAAAATAGCCTATGACTACTTAAAATGTCATTAAAAATAAAAATAAACTTGTTTAAACAATTGATAGTAGGCGATTCTTCACAGCCTAGGTAAAGATTATACTTAAATATAAATGCGAAAAAACCTTAAAAATAACTTGATAGCTTTGCTTTGAAATTATGCTGTGCTTGATGACTGTGGGTCGATGTAAACTTGGTTCGCCTCAGTCTGCTGTTTTTCTTCGGCTTGTCGGGCCACGATAACCCTTTCTCGGACTCTCCACGCAAGCAACACTCTAGCACTCTTCAGCTTGCGTATACAACGAGCCAGGAGCAGAGCAAATATTATGCCGAGGAGCTGAAAATAAAAAAAATGCATTATGTACTTATCTCACAAAACACTGTAAAATTTTATTTGGGAAAGTAATATAATATTTAAATTCTTTTTGTTCTTTCTGGGACGTGTAAATAGTTAAGTTTGTTGAACCTAATTTGATATTACCTAGATACCTATCTAGATATGTTAGTTTTTACCACTTATCTCCGTGACATTAAATAATAATTAGATTAATTTGATACGCGTGCAAGTAATGTTATCTATGCACGAAGTCATAGGAAGTAGGACACGGGTGTTTCCCTCAAAGAGTATACGCCTAATGACTAAATCTAGGTCGTTCTGAATATACTTCTCCACAGTAACCAAAACCCAGATTCAAAAAAATTAGAACTAAGATAAGAAACTAATATACACTTTGAAATACTGATTAAATAACCGTATGCATAACAAGACTATCTACTATACTATAAGGAAAATTAATCATATCTTTTGAACTTTGAAAGAAATATTGCCTTTAGATATCTAGCTGTTTTTCTTTAACTGTTAGAAAATCATTTCATGACTTCTCCGGCCCTGAGTGATTTGGATGGGAGTGTCTGACTCTAACTGACTAAAATCCACACCGTCACCTCCGTGCCGAGTCGTGGTATATTATTAGGTACCAACGCTTGCATCCGCAACCTCGGCAAACATCCACCGATGTCACATAGGTCAATAAATTGTCTTGCTATCAATTTAAGGCCAACCAGCGGTTAACAAATAAACAAAGAACTAATTAATACTCACATTGATAAACATCACGGATATTCCGAGGACACCGATGACAGTGGAGTTCTGCACCATAGCGTTTACTAATGCGTCCTTGCATCCGATCCCTGATACTCGTTGACAGAAATCTCCAGTGATGGAGAGGCAGCACGTTCTGGGTAAAGTCATGGAGACTAAGTCTCCATCAATAACCATCGTGGCCTGCAGCGTAGGCTGGTTGGGCCCAAACATCACGTCCAAGTAGTCCATGTAGGAATAACTGCCGCAGCAGCTGAACTGCGAAAAAAAAAAAATATCATTTATTCTTTTTATGAAAGCTGATGGATGAGGGCAATCAGAAGTGGATGATTTAGGATTGAATAACAGATGGTGTTCTGTCTAATCGTCGTGGCCCCGAGGTTAAGGCGCCCGCTTCTCATGCATGTGGGTGTGGGTTCGAAACCAGTCAAGTACCAATGTGACTTTTTCCGAGTTATATGTACTTTCTATGATTATTAAGACACCACTGACACACGGTGAACGTCAACATCGTGAGGAAACCTGGACTTATAATTTCTTATTATAAGTTTAAAATCGCCAACCCGCATTGAGCAAGCTTGGTGATTAATGCTCAAACCTTGTCCGTGTGAGAAGAGGCCTTTGCTCAGCAGTGGGCACTTATATGCTGATGATGATGTTCTGGCTTGGAATCGAATTGTATCCAAAACCAAGGTGATAATCTAATTATAGGTAGGTATACTTATATCTATATCCTCAAAATACGTCATAAGATTATACTTATTGGTAGGGCAATCTAGCAAACCTTACCCTACCTGTATAGGTATGTAGGTACTTATATCTACCAAGTGAAATAAACATCTTGTTACATATAGGTAACTAGTTAGATATGTAGGTACATGCGAAAGTCAGTAGACATACCTACATAGCTTATCTGTACAAAGATAAGACGCACTAACACACTGGGATTTGAATATGAAAGGGCTCTTAAGCCGCCTTGAAGGTTGCTTAGCTCTTTCTCATAAACGCTACGTTACAATTTTGTTACGATTCACCTACAAGTTATTTCATTCATTAATTCAATAAGCCAAAGGCCAATTGATTATTTTGGAGACTCTTTCATTAATTACATATCTATTCCTGTTTGCGTTTCGGGGACAATTGGTGTTAATTTCGGATTGTTTATAATTTTTAGTGCAAACAAGTTTGATCGATTATATTAATTTCTTCTAGCGACCGGCCGTACAAAGTTTGCTTACACGCTTCTATCGGGATCATATTTTAATGGATGTTCTGTTCACTCTGTATTTTCAAAAACACCGCAACATTTTACTGATTTACGTACATTTAGGTACAGTAGTTTTAAAGATTAAAGCATGCATAAGGATATAGATAGGGACAGACAAAGGGAGTTTGTTTTGTAATAAGTATGTATTGATTAGCTTCTGCCAAAAAAGCAGGCTATGTGCTATCAAATTACATCTTATCTAACTTTGTGCCCAATTTACAGTAGGAACCTACTTTCTACGTGAAAGGGTGCCAAACATCCATCCTTACTTACAAACTTTCGCATTTATTTTAACAGTAGAATGAAAGTGTTTTTTGTGATCGCTCGCTTCTCATGCATAGATAAAGGTGCGGGTACGAAACCTTACAAGTATCAATGTAACTTTTTTCTGAGTTATATGCACTTTCTAAGCACGTATAGGCTAATGGATATGATGCTGTGATGTGTGTTTGATAGAGAAGTGTGGGAGAGCCAAGCTTCGGCACGAATGGGTCGGCTCTACCGGAGTGATACCACGGCCTCACAGAATACCGACGTGAAACAACCACAGCGTTGTGTTTCGCCGTGTGAGTGAGGTTACCGGAGGCCCAATCCGTCCCCTACCCCGATCCCTCCCAATCCCTAAATCTCCAAAACCCTAATCCCTAAAAGGTCGGCAACGCACTCGTAACTCCTCCGTTGCCCATGGGCGGCGCTGATTACTTACCATCAGGTAATCCGTATGCTCGTTTGCCGACCTATTCCATAAAAAAAACTGATACAGCGATACTCACGCTAGATTGCAGCATATCTATTTCTTGTTGAACCTCAGGATCGTTGTACATTGCTACGGGCACGTTAATGTGTCTCCATATATCATATCCAGTTGTGGTGAAGGCGAGTATTACAACAACTAACTTGACGATGAACACCAGCATCAAGATGAACGCATACTGAAACCAAGACAAGGATTTTATTAATTCAAAAAGTAGTATTTAAGTAGTTCTAGTTGTGATTGTTTTTAGGTGAAGTTTCTCTAGAGGATCACATCCGAATCGAAGTGTTCCGATGGAGAGTTAATGTTGTTGAAATAGGTAGTAGGTATCTATTACATGGTAATCATGGAAAGACAAGCTGAAGTAGCAGGGCCTCTCTCATTATTAGTGCATTATTATGAAAATATCCGCAAAAGTGGCGCCACAGTGGTTTCCAGCAGCAGACAAAAAAGGGCTTAAGTATGCTACATCATATCTACCTTCTTTTAAACCATATCATATGATTTTTGACGTCGCAGTCGATTTGTAGATAAAATCCATATTCGAAGAATCTTCGATAAAGTTTCAGTACGTAGGTACTATGAAGAATTGCGAGGAGTTATGGTCGGCAATTAATGCCATTCGCTCTCCCTGACCTGAACCTCATCGTTGACATCGTCAAGCTAAGCTAACAGAATACGTACCACGTTGACCATGCAGGTGCTTAGCTTCAAACTGCCGAAGAAACCGAAGATGGATATGATCAGTAGTGCCAACCCAATGAATACGCTGAGGGTGGATGGCGTCATGCGGATCATTCCACTTTCGTAGAATGAGGAGAAGCTGTGGAAGTGGGAGTATACTGATATACCCAGCACTATCATCAATCCTCCTACCACCTGAAATAGAAATGAAAGAAGCAATTATTTTATTGTTTTGTTAAGAAATTCAGAATCAGTTACTTTATCTTTATTGCTGACGTGACGTGATCAAGGATACTGGATTTGAAATGTTTTGAGTTCATTTTCTGAGGACAAGGCAATTTGTTGTTAAAATACTTAGTCGGGTCATAAGTTCTGTCAAAACCTTATATTTTTAATTTTCGATTACTGGCCAGAAATTCTTCGACTTATTTTAAAAATAGAACTTTCGCGCTTGTAGAAAATAAAAAAGAAATTATTTTTTATTCATTTTTAAATATGGAGTGGTCGAATAAAGAAGAGAGAATCGCGGTTATCGCGTTGCACCGCTGTGGTTACGCGCCAAAAGACATTTTCAATATTCTTCAAAATTTGAAAATAACGTTACGGTTTGTTTATCGTACTATCAAACGATACACCGAAGAGTCAAGCTTCGAAGATCGTAAGAGAAGCGGCCGACCTCGCACAGTTCGGACACATAAGGTCATCAAAGCAGTGAAGGCGCGAATCGAACGAAATCCCGTACGTAAACAAAAAATCCTAGCTCTGCAGATGGGGCTAAGCAGAACCACTGTTAAAAGAGTACTAAATGAAGACCTGGGACTACGAGCTTATCGTAAAAAGACAGGACATTTTTTGAACGAGCGTTTAAAAAAAATTAGGCTAGACAGATCCCGCGCTTTGCTACGACGGTACGCGGGAAAAAAATACCGCGAAATTCTTTTTTCGGATGAAAAAATTTTTACTATTGAAGAAAGTTTTAACAAACAAAATGATAAGGTGTATGCCCACAGCAGTGAAGAAGCAAGCGCGCGTATTGCGAGGGTCCAGCGTGGGCATTACCCTTCCTCATTCATGGTTTGGCTTGGAGTCTCATATTCAGGCGTAACTGAGGTGTTTTTCTGTGAAAAAGGTGTGAGAACTAGTGCCGAAGTTTATCAAAATACTGTCCTAACAAACATAGTGGAACCTCTTTCTCAGACAATGTTCAGGAACAGGCATTGGATATTCCAACAGGACTCTGCACCGGCTCATAAGGCACGAAGTACGCAAGACTGGTTGATCGCTCGTGGAATTGACTTCATCCGGCATGAAGACTGGCCCTCTTCTAGTCCAGATTTAAACCCACTGGACTACAAGATATGGCAATATTTGGAGGAAAAAGTCTGTGCTAAACCTCACCCGAATTTGGAGTCTCTCCGAGCATCTCTGGTTAAAGCAGCGGCAGACATAGATATGAATGTGGTGCGTGCAGCGATCGATGACTGGCCGCGTAGATTAAGGGCATGTGTTCAAAATGGGGGAGGGCATTTCGAATAATGTAAATAAAATTATATTGTACATTTAATGACCTTTCATTTCATATATAATTTTTAAATAATTGTCAAAAGGCGTATAAGTTATTACATCAAAAGTTTGTGACAGAACTTATGACCCGACTAAGTATATATAACAAGATAGGTAATTAGGTACCTAGTATGATTTTTAAGAACTACATATTATTTGCTTTTGCCCGCGTTCTTGTACTGCGTGCGGATAATTGTTTTTCTTTACAATTACGGTCAATTTTCGGACGCCTAGGTACCGCTCAATAGTTTGGTGGTGAGCCATTACATTTTGTATCAGGCAGGATAATGGCTATTAGGAACAAAAGTTAGTTGGAGATTTCTGAAAACGTTCTATATCGTGCATCTTGCAATTATTATCCAAAAATGTGCATATATCAACGATCACGGCATATTAACTGCCGATATTGTTAATTAGGTCTTTAGGAGTGAGAGCAGGGTTTCTTCTTATTAGTAAACTCGAGGCTGTCGTGGTTTGGAATGATTTATTCGGCACAATGTCTCTACTAATATTTACAATTCTTATGGCTAACTTATACACTATCACACATACGTATATGTAATTGACCAATAGCAGCGCGCGTTTATCGTAAGGCTCGACGGAGCGGCTGCGCGCATGCGCCGTCGCGGTCGCCGTTCGTCGCGATGTCGCGAGCACAGCGCGGAGCTATAATAGGGCGCGTGCCGCGAGGCGCGTCCTTTCGCTCCGGTGCCGCCGACGACGACAGACGTGTCCGTGCCGTGGACCGCAACTTCGTGCCTCCGTGTTCTTCGGGCTTCGCTTCTGCTTGCTTGCCTGCTTATTTGCTTGCTCATTATATTTCGTTTCTGAGCAGAAGTCAAAAACGTTTAAAACGTCTTTTTCAAGACGAGTTTCTGTTAGCAGAAGTCAAAAACGTTACAAGCGTCTTTTTCAAGACGAGTTTCTGGCAGAAGTCTAAAACGTTTGCAACGCCTTTTTCAAGGCGGCCTGTTTCACTGTTTCTGATCACAGAAAGTCAAAAACGTTGGTATTGGTTTGTTGGTTACGGAGGTAAAGGTAATCTGGTTCTTGAAGGAGGTACGGTAATGGTTATCTGGTAATAGGTATGAGGTGTGGTGGTTATGCCATAGAATGTAGGTAGGTATGTATGTATGCCGCTATAGGTCATTTAAAGCTCGCCTATAATATCGGTTACAATTAGAACAACACAAAAAGCCAGTACTCCTTGTTCGAAATTTAATTTTTTTATTTAAATATAGAATGTATGCAAATAGATATATTATGAATACTTAGACAACAAATTAGCAGCGACTTTTTGTTTTTCAATTCACAATCGTGTCCCTAATCTTGAAAATGAATCATTTCCATAAATTTATACCGACACTGATAGAGTATAATGAAGATAATTATTGAATTGAATATAAGTGAAATATTTTGCGTTTGATAATGGAATAATTGTTGCTGATAAATAATAAGCGATGCTTGTGTTTTTTACCGGATTGTAGATCCAAGTAAGACACAATGTTAATATTTCTATTGTGTTTCACTGTCATAAGCGACAGTCGAGCCTTGTGAGGTTAATAAAGGGCACAAATTACCTGCAATTATAAGCTGCCTAGATATCTATATGAAACCTAGATAACCGTGGGAAAGCCATGCTTCGGCATGAATAGGTCGGTAATACCATAGCCTCACAGAAAAACCGCATAAAACAACCAAAGCGTTGTTTCACCATGTCAGTGAGGTTACTGGAGACCCAATTCTTCCTCTCCCCTTATCCATCCTCAATCCCTAAGTCTCTGAAAACCCTAAAATACCCAAAAAACCGGTAACACACACTCGTAACTCCTATATGGACTCCTACCTCTTATGGTGTTGCGGGTGTCAATGGGCGGCGGTGATTGCTTAACTTCACTACTAAAATAATGAAGTTTTGTCTACTCTACCTGGCAGAAATTACACCAAGGACGGTTGGGGTCATGAAAGATAACCGATAAGAGTATGAGAACAACAAGATAATAATGTTAGGTTGAAATGTCAGATCTAAACATAGTTTAATTACAGACTCCAGGTGGTAATCCCGTATCTACTTTAGGTAGGCACTTCGTTCAGTTAAAACTGATTCATAATATCTTAGGAATAAGTCATATTTTATTAGAACCTGGTGTTAGCATCGATAGTGTAATGAATCAATGGCTTAGAGTAAAACCATTCTTCAGCACTCAATCGTTCACAGGTTACCGGAGGCCCAATCCTTCCCCTACCCCAATCCGTTCCCTTTCCTAAAATCTCCAAATCCCTAATCCCCAAAAGGTCGACAACGCACTCGTTTGCTCGTTTGCTGACCTATCACAAAAAAAAACAGTTTATAAGTACCTAAGTAGGTTACAATACATTGACATTATGTTCAACTAGGCATATTTACAAGATAATGATAAAAAAATCTTATGAGATCTATATAATAATACCTACTTATAATTTACTAGCGACCCGGCCCGGCTTTGCACGGGTGTAATGGTGATATTAAATTTCTGCTTAACCTTCCTCTTCAATTACTCTACCTATGTATTAAAAAACCGCTTCACAATCCATTGCGTAGTTTTAAACATTTCACCTTACATAGGAATTTAAGGACAGAGAAAGCGAATTTGTTTTATACTATGCAAATAGTGATACAATATGAAAATAAATATAATAACAGTTTATAAGTGTAGCTTTATTGTAGCTTTATATTCTAAATGTTTGCGTTTGACTAACATTTATTTAAGGATCTGCACAGGATAGGTATTGGATTAAGGTTAGATCAGTATGTAGATATATTTCTGCTTGTCCCCAACGAACCAAGGTACGTATACCTATTTTTTTTATAGCTCGGCAAACGAGCTATTTATCCTGATGGTAAGCAATCAGCGTCGCCCATGGACACCCGCAATACCAAAGGAGTTACGAGTGCCTTGCCGGTCTTTTAGGGATAAGGGTTTCGGATAGTTATAGATTGGGAAAGAATGGGGGCAGGGGAGGTATTGGGCCTCCGGTAACCTCACTCATACGGCAAAACACAATGTTGTGGTTGTTCCACGCCGGTTTTATGTAAAGCCGTGGTATCACTCCAGTTGTGACCCATTCGAAACTGTTTTATGCTACATCGATTTGGAGAGCCTAGTCCGAATTTGCTTTACTTTAAGGTGATGACACTTTTATGACGTTCGGCGCTCTGATTGGCCTGCTCCAGGTTAACCAACCAATCAGAGGGCTAAATGCGGAAACGGTTCGTTTGTGTTAACGTAAAGCAAAATCGCACTTGGTACTTTGATGGTAGATTTCAGTAATTAGACTAAAATACTTGCACGAGAACCATCACAAATGCGTTGCCAACTATTTATGATATTGCCTAATTCCAATAGGCACTTTCGATCAGCCTTCCTTGCCGAAATATATATAAACCTAGGTACTAAGTTATCTAGGTACATTTAAATTTGGCTAATATGAAAAGTTTTAGCAAGGATTGTCAAAAATCTACTGTGCGTTCAATTTCACAGTTGAATAATATACAAACTCTATAACTGAAGTATTTTCAATAAGCAATAATGTCTTTGGGTATCTATTATCTTTACTTTCTTTATCTTAGTCTACTTCTCTTTAAATGATAAGAAATAAAGAAATACATACTTATAATATTATACTAGATATTAATAATATTTACTTACTTATATTTATTTTGTTTCAAAACGGCAGGTGACAATTAATTCAACTCTTTAAAGTAAAGTGTGGGAGAGCCATGCCTCGCCACGAATGGGTCGGCTCGACCGGAGTTATACCACGGCCTCACAGAAAACCGGCGTGAAACAACCACAACTTTGTGTTTCGACGTGTAAGTAAGGTTACCGGAGGCCCAATCCCTTCCCAATCCCTTAATCCCCAAAATCCCAATCCCTAAAAGGTCGGCAACGCACTCCTTCTTTGTTGTGGGTGTCCATGGGCGGCGCTGATTGCTTACCATCAGGTAATCCGTCTGCTCGTTTGCCGTCCTATCACATAAAAAAAAACTCTTAGTAATACGTAACTTTTACTTAGGACTGCCCCACCAGTGCTGAGAGTTCCTGTCCACCCAAAGGTTTTCAGGAAGACATCGTAAAATGTGAAATGAACGCCCATTGTATGTATATTTTCAATTTTTGTAGAATTTAAACCATTAAAGATCATCTTATATGTATGAATCGCATATTTCACCAAACTTTTCTTATTGCACAGTACTTACTGATCAATTTTAAAATTTTCTTCCATAGCATGGTTATTATGTTCTTATAGAATTTTCAAAATACATTTGTTTTATTTTGTAGATACACATCTAACTAATATTATAAAGAGGTAAAATTTGTAAGTTTGTATGTTTGTAAGTTTGTATGTAGGGGGTAATCTTTGGAACCGCTGATTCGATTGTCAAAATTCTTTCACTGTTAGATAGCTACAATGTTCCTGAGTGCTATAGGTTATAAACCATCACGCTACGATCAAATGGAGCCGAGCAGCGGGTGAAACCGCGTGGGAGTCGCTTGTCCTACACACATATAAACTCAACAAACAACCACAGCGTTGTATTCCGCTGTGTGAGTGAGGTAATCAGAGGGCCAATCCTGCACATCTCCCCATCCTGTCTCATTGCTTAAATATCTGAAACCCTTATCCCTAAAAGGTCGGCAACGCACTCGTAAGACCTATGGTGATACGGGCGATGGTTATGGATTTCTGCCGATTGCTTGCCGGTAATCCACCAGCTCGTTTACCGACCAACCCAAAAAAAAAATGCATCAGATATCCTGTACAGATGTCTACAGATGTCTACAGGTGTTTTATGCCAATGAAATGTTATTATTATTAAACAATAAAGAAAAATAAATAAAATTAAAAATAATAAATACTATATATTAGTAATAAATAGACGCGAATAAATACTTTTTGTTTGTTTCTTTGTTTGTGCTCTCTGTTCTGTTGCTGTAATAAAACATTAGACGAGAGAATATGAACAATACTTAGTCAACAATCATCAATCATTTTTTTTATCTACACCTACGTGTTGGAGCACAAGGGATTTCACCGTTAGTACATTATATTAAAAATATTTCCACACCAGACAAGCTATGGAAATGTTTTTATAAACACAAAAAAATTGAGAACAAGATTTACCTACTAATAAATAGGATCTATCATTAGATACCTAATATCTACATTTTGTACCTAACTATCTTTCTTCAACAACAGTAAATATAATAACTGATTTAATACCGAATATTAGCAAAAGAAACAAATTTTGAGACTGTATCCACATTCAAAATTTTCAAGTTACTGAAGTTATTGAGTCAATCATCATCATCAGCCTACAAGTGCCCACTGCTGAGCAAAGGCCTCTTCTCATACGGAGAAGGTTAGGGCATTAATCACCAAACTTGTTCAATGCGGGTTGGCAATTTCAAACTTATAATTATAAATTATAGGTTTCCTCACGATTTTCACCTTCAACGTATATCAGTGGTGTCTAAATAATCATAGAAAGTACATATAACTCGGAAAAAGTCACATTGGTACTTGCCAGGTTTCGAATCCACAACTTCATGCATGAGAATCGGGTTCCGAAACCTCCGGGCCACCACGACAAACGTCAATGATTTCCAGGATATATTCAATAAATATTCAAAATTCTATTCTTTATAATGGATCACGCAATCAATCGAACAAATAAAATTGCGCAATAAATCAATACGATTCATAAATAAGTGTCTTTTATCTTGAAGTACTTCGTGTGCATAGTTTAAAAGCAACAAAAGTGTGTACTTACAATAAACATGGCTGTTATGATCATCAGGAGACACCTGATGGACTTCATATTGTACTCCGTCTCCGTTTTAGCGGACCCATCGCCCGGGGTCACAGCCACCGGCGTCACACTCCTCATCTTGAGAACCCTCATATATAATTCTTGTTAAACAAAAGGAAAACCAAAAAAACAACCGCACGATTCCTTAGCCCGTGGCCTACAGTACTGATAACTTAAGTGGAATCTGATAACGTTGTTTTACACACATTAGTGGACACAGTGTGTTTTCCTACAACACATTCACAGATTACACGCGTCTTTTAAAAACAGCACTGTGTCGCCCTGAAGTGACTAATAGCCAATCATGAGTGCAAAAAGCAATAAGTAGATAATTATAAATAAAGAAAGAATAACTTTATATTGTGATTGTTACGTATAAAGGCTTTTTATTGGTGAAAAACGATGTTATCTCAAATAATCGTTTCAATATCAGCCATTAATGCATTTAGATCGGTCGGAATAAATTATCTTTGATAAAATAAAAATGTATAATTATCATAATTACTGTGAGAATGCGCGAATGATGGTAAATTTTGTGTAAGAATTTTCAGGAATTCTTTTTTTTGTTGAAGGAAAATCATCACATGACTTCTTTCGCTCAGGGTATGGCGACAGGAAGTGTCAGACTCTTACTGACTAAAAACCCCCGTCCCTTCTCCTGCTCCAGGCCGAGGCCGCGGTACAGTACGGCTGCCGTATTTTGGCGAGTGTGAAGTTAGCCGTTTGTCTGCGCAATGGATCTCTTAGAAACAAAATTGTGTTCTGCGCAGCTAATCGGCTAACTTCAGACTCGCCAAGATACGTCGGCGGTATTGTACCTTTTTACACTTGTCTATTGGCCCTTTGAGGCACGCGCGGAACACTACGCGCCGTACGCTCGAGTCTAGTTCTGGTCGGGCAGCGAGCTACCCTTACCCGCCGTTGCAGACCCACGCTTATGGTGGCCCGAGAGGCTGAGATTGTGACATTTGTAGATTTAAGAATACGATACTTACATAAAAAAAAATGCGTTTTACGGATAACCGCTTTGAAGCCATCGTTATGCCATTGTCTGTGTACCGTCGCCGGACGTCGTGCAAGTCCATGTATTGTCCTAGAATGCTATACATACAGTCATTCAGTCATACAGCTTACGATCACGTGACCAAGAGAAAAACCCCTTTACGTAATATTTATTCTGTATAATCCGCTCGATACTTGTTACAGAAGATCTTGAGTTGTGTTCTAGTCACGATATCGTTCCCAACAGTTAACCACTCAAGCGTCCTAGGTGACTACAGTCACCAAAAAAACTCTTGCCTTAAGCGTCCATGGTGACTACAGAAATAATGAAATAATACTTATTTATTTATTTAGAAAAATATTTGTATAATTGCTTACGCTATTACATGCTACAGTCATACGTGATACAAAGTATACATACATAAACCTTTCTCTTTAATCACTCTTTCAAAAACAAATCAAAATTTGAACGGGTATTTTTTTATGTCGTATCAGAAAGAAAACAATTCGTAGATATTATGCAGATAAAATGAATTTAAGTTAAAGTCACCAATAGTAGAAAAATACTGAGTCGTGACGTGACATGATATTTCATTTCAATATATTATTGTAGGTAATGTTGGAGTGTTTGATTTTCAGTTTTAAAAGAAAAAATAGGTATGTGTCTAAATATTCAGGGTTTTTTGTTGTCAGGGGAAAATCATCAAATGACTTCTCCCGCCCAGGGTAAGGCGAGAGAGAGTGTCAGACTCTTACTGAATAAAAACCCCCCGTTCCTTTATATTCAGGGGTTGTAGTATATACTTGCCTCAAGATATTATTATAATACATAATATGGACATGCTATATATCCATAGCAAGCTTCTGTCGCGCGGTTTCACTCGGTGCTCGGCTCCTATAAATCGTAGCGTTTAATCGTAGCCTTCCTCGATAAATGAACTAACAAACACAAAACAAATTACTCAATTCAAACCAGTAGTTTTGGAGATTGGCGCGTTCAAACAAACAAACAAACTCTCTAGCATTACAATATTAGTACCTAGTTGTGTGGGAAGTACCGGAGAAAGTTATCTGATTATTTGCTTCGTTTTTTTTCAATACTATCGCTGTATTCTCTAATTATTGATGAATGATATATTTAACTATCTAAGATAATTATTGATTGATAATTTCGTTCTACGCCCAGTCATACAGGATACTAGCTTCTGATTGGTCGTTGCGTGCGGTCAATGCGTTGTGAACATACGGACTCCAGCAGGAGAAGGAACAAGGTGGCTTAAGACCGCAAGAGTCTGACAATCCCCCCCCTCCTCTCCACCCCTCTCTCACTCTCTCTATATCTCATTCATGGTCTTCCACAGGCCCCAGTGTACATGGACATGAGATAAAGAAAGAAATAACCCTGTCCAAAGGTCATTTCTTAACAATAAGGGACAAAATACGGCGTAATTATAAATATATAGATATATTTGTACATACTGTTTTCTTTCACCATTACCTAATTCTGGCTGCGTGACGTAACACCGTTTTTCACCTTTAACACAAATTCTTCTAAATTTTTAAACAAAATATCTCAATAAATATAAAGATCTTGGCATATCCATATTATCCTGCACGTTTGACGTCACTGACCTTAAATCAATCGACCTACCTCTACTAATGTTATAAACTAAAGAGTCTAAAAGACATTTAAAAAAATATATAGACAAAGATTGCTTTTTATTTAAGAACTTTCATCATTATCAGCCTATAAGTGCCCACTGCTGAGCAAAGGCCTCTTCTCTCACGGAGAAGGTTTGAGCATTAATCACCACGCTTGCTCAATGTGGGTTTGCGATTTTAAACTTATAATTAAAAATTATAAGTCCAGGTTTCCTCACGATGTTTACCTTGAAGTTACTACTCATTAGAATTTTCTCCTGTGCCGTGGGTGCGTTTACAAACATATATATTATCATGCACAAGCCACCCAGCCCCAAAACAACAATTTGTAAACCACACAAAATGATAAACCATATGTGGCATGCCCAGTCTCCGCAATGCATCCAGGTCGTTAAAAAATAATTTGAATAATAAGAAGTATTTAAAACCATGAATGGGTCTAATAATCATCGATCACTAATAAAGAACTCACTAATAAAGTTCTTTATTAGTGATCGATGCTAATAATACAAAACAAATATTTTAAAATTATTTATTTACAAAACAAGCGATATTTTACAACAGTTGGCGTCGACAGTGCTTAGTAGGTAAGCTACATAATTCTATTACTACAACTTGCCGATTGCGGTAATTAATCATAGTTATTTCACAGGATATGTTTGTAAAAGTTTGATAAGTTTTTAGTTCTAATTTCTAACATCATATAGATACATCAACTTTTGATATAGGGCTTATATATTTCTTCTTATTATTCTTCTTCTTCTTGACTTGGCCTCTTGATCTATGTATAATGCATTTTTTTTAAGTCGCTTAGACTTAGTAACATATGGACCCGGCCTGTGTCTATATTAGGTCCGACTCACGACCCGCATCTCTGGCTTCGCACTGGTTCAGTGCTTATATTAAATTTCTCCACTATCCAATTGATGTTATTACACATACAAACCTTCCTCATCAATTACTCTATCCATAAGATCCATTTCGTATTTTTAAAGGACTAAGGATGCATAGGGACTGATAAAGCGACAATTGTTTCAAACTATGTTGTGGTGCTTATAAATGGAATAGATACAAATATATTATTCTAAAAAAAACCGTCTATAAAATGTAAATGGTTACTTTATCGTAATTTGAATATTAACCAGGACTACAACTTAGAACTACTTACAAAAGTCCTTAACGTCCAGTAGATAAAAACATATGGTTTGGTGGTTAATTTGCGCTATGATTCTTCAGAATCTCTATAAGCTTATAAAGGATTTATCTTTCGTCAATTTTGATTTAAGGACTTATAAGTCAAATACAATTCTACTTCTTTTCAATTTCTGCCACGCTTGATAATTGTGGTTCGATGTGGACTTGGTTTTCCTGAGTCTGCTGTTTTTCTTTAGCTTGTCGCATTACGATAGCGCTTTCTCGAAGTTTCCACGCGAGCAAAGTTTTTGTACTCTTTAGTTTGCGAATATTACGGGCCAGAAGCAGAGCAAATATTATATTCATGACCTGTAGAAGATTAAAACCTGTTTATTATTAGCCCATCTATACTAAAGGAGGTAAAATTTGTAAGTTTGTATGTAGGGGGTAATCTTTGGAACCGCTGATCGGATTGCCAAAATTCTTTCACTGATACATAGCTACAATGTTCCTGAGTGCTATAGGCTATAAAACATCACGCTACAATTCATCACGAAACCGCTTGAGAGCTAGTAATTAATATTGTGCACTGGATTAGGAACTGCTTCCACATGGTTTCTCCCGCTGCTCCATTAGTCGTAACATAATGCGTTATATCCTATAGCCTTTCTTGATAAATGGGTTATATGACACAATTATTATTCAATTTTACTACCTACTTGGTCCAATATAGACGGACTGTACAAATTCTCAGGAATTGCCAAATTCCTGTAATTTGGTATTTGGCAATTTCCGAGAATTTGTGCTTTATAATATCAACATTAATATGTAGAGCATCAATTTTTAATTCGATTCATTTGGTTACAGAAACTGTTAAATACTTTAATAAAACTTCATTCTATTTCGAGATGCTCTCAAAAACCTTCCCAAACAATGAACTATACTCACGTTGACAACAATCACACATATTCCAAATATACCGATGATTGTGGAATCCTGAAGCAAAGAGTTGTACAGTGCGAATTTGCATCCCGTCCCTCGGACACGGTCACAATGTCCATTCTCGACTGAGGAACAGCATGATTTTGGCAAAGTCATAGTGAGGTAGTCCCCGTTAAATAAAAAAGTCGTTTCCACTACCGGCTGATTGCTCCCGAACTTCACATCATAGTAGTCTGCGAAGCTAGAATCACCACAGCAAGCTAACTGAAAAAGAAAGTTGAGAAAAATTAACGACTAAGTTTTGGAACTAAGTGAGACTGACAACGTTGAAGGAAAACACCGTGTGATAATAAGCTCGAAATTGCCAATCCGCCTTGATCAAAGCTCAACTCTATTGTAAGTAGGTATAAATATAGGTATACCTATTAGGTTATATGTACATATAGTACGGAGCGAGAGGAAGCCGTGTCCTGTTTCTGCGAATCAGTGATCTTGAAAAGGAGGCGGCAGAACGCGCAACTTAATAGTTAGATCGATGCTCGACCAGAACCAACCCCAGGAAAACCCAAGCAACCGACGCGTAGAAGAAGCGAAAGTGATTTTACCTCTTTAAGACAGTTTTATTTTAATCATTTAGTCATTGGCTTTCGTATTGGATAATTTAATTTATTAATGAAAAAAATACTTGAACACTGTCTAACTAAGTATGAATCTAGATACTTACGTTATTTTGCAACATGTCTATTTTCCGTTGGATTTGAGGGTCTCTGTATATTTGTACTGGAACATCAATATGAGACCATATTTGATCTCCAACTGTAGTGAAAGCTAGTATCACCACGACTATTTGAAGGAAGAATAACAACATCAAAGTGAATGCACACTGAAAAGTAAAACCAAGCATTTGATTAATTCATATTTAAGGATTGTGTGTCCAATCCATTCAATGTATGCTATCATGAACTATGTCCTTTATAGCTCGTACCAGACCAGCGAACGTTTCGTTATTGTTATAAAATAAAAATTCAATATTTAAACGCCGACAAGCTTGTAACATAAATGCTGATGTTTTATTTTCTGTAATGCGATAAGTTATTTCTATTTTCATGCCAAATTAAGTTGTTTTTGTCAGCTATTGGTCATTTTAAATTAGGAAAATACTTTATTTGAAAATAAAAATTAAAAGAATATGTTTTTTTTTTCTTTTAAGTAGGAATCAGGTGTAGTATGTACATACCAGATTGACCATAAAAGTGCTGAGTTTCCAACTGCCAACGAAGCCAAAGATGGATACAATTATTAACACAGATCCTATGAATGCAGTCAATATGGATGGCGTCATGGTCATCCTACTACTTCCTAAGAATAAGAAGAAGCTTTTGTAGTGGGAGTACACTGAGATACCCAGCAGCATCATCATAGTACCAAGGACCTGGAATTGAGAATTTATTAAAAATTAAACAAACAAAAATATTAAGTGTGGGAGAGCCATGCTTCGGCACGAATGGGTCGGCTCGACCGGAGTGATACCACGGCCTCACAGAAAACCGGCGTGAAACAACCACAGCGTTGTGTTTCGCCGTGTCATTGTGTTTCGCCGTGTCATTGAGGTTACCAGAGGCCCAATCCTTCCCCTCACCCAATTCCTCCTCAATCCCTAAACCTCCAAAACCTTAATCCCTAAAGGGTCGTCAACGCACTCGTAACTCCTCTGTTGCGGGTGTCCATGGGCGGCGCTGATTGCTTACCATCAGGTAATCCGTCTGCTAGTTTGCCGACCTATTACATTAATCTCCCTCCATTCTCCATACGTCCAGAGTTACTAATCTCAGTAGTAACTCTAATACAAACAGTGTCATTTTTCGCCAATTTTTAATACAAACTGATGCTAAGCAATCCAAGTAATTTACTTGTGACATGAAATTATGTATGTAAGTATTTGGTCACTTGAGTAATGGCTGTTTTTGCTGCAGCAGTCATCATAACTTCTTCGTGTATATCCATCGATCACTAATAAAGAACTAGATACACAATCAGTGGCAAAAAAATGTCCCAACTGAAAGTCCACCAAACTCAACATCGCGGTGTAGTTTTAGTTTAGTACCACTCGAATGCTCCGACAGTAAACACGCCTCAGTGCTCGTTAAAAAACTGCAAAAACACACACATCTAAGATGCAAAAAAGGATGGAATTTCATATTTTCGTTAAGTAATAATATTATCATTATGTAATGGTCATCATTCTATTTTAAATATTGATATTTTATTAAGAAATCAACTTTAAAACTTTTTCCAAATGAAATCGTATTCAAAAACCGGGGTTATAATGCACACAGTTTATAAAGACATTTATACTAAACTTAAAATCATTCTCTAGCATGACCACTTAAGTTGTTCGGTTTACGTGGATTGATTCTGTTCCGTTTAGTGGAGACGCAATTGTTTCTAATTTTATTTATTGTTTTTTTTTTATTAAAAAATAGTTTTCATTTAATATTATACTTCTTTACTGTGTTTATTAAAATATGGAATAGGCAGATGTAATGGATTTAATTTTAACTGCAGTAAAGAAATTTTTTTTTTAGCTTTCATCAAGACCCGTTCGATATGTATAATTGACAACAATAACGCCAACATTTTCAGTACTTACTTTAGATATATATTCTTTTTATTATTTTACATCTTTTTTATTTGACTTCGAATAGAAAGGATTAAGGAGGACGAAAATAAAAAAAAAGAATTATAACTATATGCATTAGTTTCATTGGTAAATAAACGAACAAACCTATAGAAAAGAATACTATAAGTAATGCGTTTTAATTTGCGTATTTTCTTTTTTTGATAAATTATAAAATACGAAAGAAATATATTTCTTACGACACATTTCGACTCCAATCATTCTTTGTCCTAGCGGTGAGCCGAAGTCGTTAAATTTTATTGCTTATTTTTGACACTTTGTAAATTCGACTTAAAAACATGCGAATATGGTTCAATTTCTTATGATTTGTGTTTGTCAAGAGCTTCGGTCGCAAAAAGTATTAAGATTTTGTACATCACTTTGTAAAAACAACTCTATGAGTTGCATTTAAGGTTTAATTTACATTAATGGATTTTTATTTCAAGTATAAGTACCTAAATACAGTTGGCGACAGTTTTGAAGCGAACTTTTGTATGGGATTGTGTATCTAGTTTTTTATTAGTGATCGATGTGTATATCCAAAAATATATTCTGCATAAAACACATTTTTATATATTTAAAAATAAATCTCAAAATGTATAATAACGCCTGGACCAATTTTGCCAATTCTTTTTTTGTTGTATTTGTTATGTCAGGAAAAGGGTCAGATCAAAGAAAATATTAGAAAAGTAGAGGGGAAATCTGGGCAAAGTTACCCTTTCGTTGTTAGCGAGATAGTTAGACCCGTGCGAAGTGGGGACGGGCCGCTAGTACCTACTTAATGAAAATGAAGCGTGCAAAACTAGGTAATTCAGTAGCTGCATACAAGTTAAAATTATATAGGTAAAAAATTAATAATACAAATGTTTTAATTAAAAATAAAATTTATCGACTAATCTAGGATCAACATGCATTTAATACTTAGATTTTACAAAATAATTATTACTACATTTATATTCTTTCTATACAGGTAGCTTTTAACAATGAGTCAGCAGTTTTCATTTTCATTCTTATTTTTAATTTGTAAATATGGAACGAAGCCATGTAAAAGTAAATAAATATTTATGACAACTATAAGCATATGAGACTGTGTTTAAACATGCACAACAATCAGAATAACTTTGATCGCAGATATACATATAAAAATATGTAATAAAATATATGTCAACTTTATACTTACTATATACAAACAAGAAGTTAAATAGATTGAGCAATCAACTAAAAAAGTATGCAACAATATGCACTTTTCCATGCTTTGTTGATACATAGCATAAACTGCCGTATATACTGCTCACTTTAAATAATTTTAAGGAGAATATATATAGGTACTTACCACAAGCGTAGCGGTAATAATCAGCAGGAGCAACCTGATAGTCCTCGTGTTAGATTCCGTCTTCTTTCTAATGGCATCATCCACATCCGTCTTCACAGCCACGGGGACCGCCTTCTTTGTTTTGGACGGAACAAAAATCCCCATCGTTACGTTGGCAAAAAACGGAATAGCTAAAATAACGACCGCACGATTACTTAGAGCTGAACCTTCTGATAACTAAAATTGAATCTAGTAAAACAATGTTTTTCCCCGTGCATCGGAGAAGTCAAAATATTAAAAAAAATACGTTATAAACACTTCCAAATAAAGCGATGCGTAAATGAAAAGTTTTTCTTTGATATTGTTTTTGTTATCTCTTTCCAATATTTATCATTAATGCACTAGGATTATTATCTTCATTTAATTATGCTTGCACGTATCGAAAAATAATTTATGGCATTTTCTTTTTTTGAATTTGTAAGCAGTACCTACATAAAAGGATAAATGTCACGACTACTGTAACATACTGACTGTAAAATACTGCTCGCTTTTATTTTAATATTGATTTACCTCGACGTTGAATGGCGCACTAACCTTCAGTCGATCAGTCACTGAAATTTTAATGTCTTAGCCGTGGACCATGGTTGTGTTAACCTCTGCATCGAGCGGTTTCCCATGCAGCAGAAAATCGTTAACTTTTTTTTTTGTTTTTTTTTGCCATATCTCGGCAAGCATGAAGACGGATTACCTGATGGTAAGTAATCAGCGCAGCTCATGAACATGCGTAATATAAAAGGAGTTACTACAACCGTGGTATCACTTCGGTTGAACTGGCCCATTCGTGCCTAAACAACATGGAGCATGGCTCTCCCACACTTACGAATCATGACTCTCGCTCATTTTATGTGATACACCGGAAAATCAGCACCGTCCATGAACGCCCGTTAAGCCAAGGTAGTCGCATTACTTGGCTTTTGGAGATAAAGGGTTTTGGGATTTAGGGAGGTAAAGCCCTAATGAATAAATTACCGGGTACCGGGTAGACCTCTTTACTGGACTAATAACATTGATTGGATACTTTACCACCAACAAACCAATTTACTCGCGATCGCTCAGTAGTTATCGTGGTGGCCCGGAGGATAAGGCGCCCGGTTCTTATGGATGAGAGTGCGGTTTCGAAACCTGGCAAGTGCCAATGTGACTTTATTCGAGTTACATGTACTTTCCATGATTATTTAGACACCAATAACATGCGGTGAATGAAAACATCGTGAGAAAACCTGGACTTACAATTTCTAATTATAAGTTTGAAATCGCCAATCCGCTTTGAGCAAGCGTGGTGCTTAATGCTCAAACCTTTTCCGTATGAGAAGAGGCCTTTGCTCAGCAGTGAGCACTTAGAGGCTGATGAGGTGATCGCTCAGTTTATCTAAGTACTATCTCTCTCTATATGTATATTCATAATGTATCTATTCGTCTCCTTTTAATTATAACACATTCTTTTTCTTAGTTCCTTTCTCAATAAATGGACAACTCAACAGAGAAAAGATTTGTTCCATCCGAACCATCCGTTCTGGAGAATATAGACCGAGTAGTTTAAAATGTTTAGTATAGATTTGATTTCATTGTCTTACTAACCCATTGTGTATTTTACCCTCTATAACAGAAAAAGGACATACAAGTACCTACACAGTAAATAATACTTCAGGATATCAGGGTGATAACAGCCAGCCAAGCGCTTATCATTATCACTTGAGCCTTATCGCTTATCGCTGCGATACCTAGCATGAACTGAAATATATCTGAATATTGTAGGAAACATGTTTTTGTTTTTAGATTGTTATTATAAATCATAATAATTGATAAGACCTGCCATATTTAGGTGTGTAAATTACATTGTTTCGACAAGTGTTGTAGTCCTTCCATAGTTCCCGTTATTATAGGAACTAGTCCATAGCTACCCACACCCATAGCCTTATCTCTTGTTTCCACTATCCGCAATAGTTTTACACTAAGCTAGGACTATCCTTAGGTTCATTTCGATAGTGCATGCAGGGATAGTCGCCGGTTTGTAGGCTCATTCAATTTAGATTAAAGTCTTCTAAAGGGCTCTGCGAGACGAGAGACGAGACGAGGGCCGAAGCTCATTATCTTCGGCCCTCGTCTCGCCTCCCAAATGACTTTCGGTCCCGTAATTGGCAAAGTAATACACAACATCAAAACTGAAATAACCAATTGTTGTAATTGTCAAAATAGAGAAAGTTATATAGGTTCCATTAGCATTAGGTATTAGGCTATTACGTTTAGGCTATGTGATATGTTTATATGGTATATTTATGTATATAAAACACTAGTTCTCTGTCGGATCAACTCGTTTTAAATTCAAACTTTATATTTTCAAATCCTTGAATTGGTCTTTGTGTTGCATAAAATGTAAGTATGTTTACGATAAAAACAACATGTAAGTATACGAAATAAAAACGCAAAACAATTGTTTAAATAAAAATATTTCTTTACAATACTCTTCATAATACTTAATATTAATATTAATATAAGTGACAACATATAGGTAATATTATTTGGAATCTCTATAAAATAATTAAGTAGCGTAAGGTACAGATTTATTGAATGGCAAACAAAGTGATTTTGAAGGAAAAATAGTTTAAAGGACAAAGGACAAATTACAATAGATAGGTTACTCAGTAGCGGTTTATATAAGTTAATCACAATATTTCCAATAGGTACGTAATCAAATGAATAAGGCAGATGGTATAAACAATATAGTTATAACTTATTAAGTATGTAGTAATTTGAAAAATCACATAAATTTTTAATAGGTCCATACAATGATATTATAAGTAAAATGGTATAGATAGGTTACATGAACAACATTCGATTTTCAAAAACGGCACACTTATGCACACATGAATAAATCGTATGATTAACGTTAAAGTGGGATGGCACGATTCAATAATCGGGAGTGAAAAAGAGACAAATATAAAAAGTGTGGCTAGTTAGCATTTAATGTATCACTTGCTGAGCGCTTGTAACCTATCTACACCTTTTTTCCTTATAATATCATTGGGTCCATACTTTACTCCTATTCACAAACCGATATGTGTTTGCGCCGTCCATCTCATGGCACGTGCATTCCTTGCTCATTTACTTATAGAAAAATGTTTAATTACTTACTGTGATGTTTTCCTAAATTATAACAAAATTCCTGAACATACAAATATTGTTTACACTCTATGTACATCGATCATATCACATAAAACTTTTTAAGTATCACAATTTGTTGCACCCTAATTGTAATTAACTTCAAAATGTGTTTTTGATAATAAAATAATATTGTACATTTCAAATAAACGCTTTTGATAAATTAACTGATTTAATTACATTACATTTCAAAAGTAATCATTACGCAATTTGGGCGCGAAATTTAGAAAGTCTATTTTTAAATATTTGTAGGATCAGGACAAGGTAACACTCTTACAGCCTCTTAAGCCGTAGTTTGTCCATGGAACGGGACATAGACAACGGGTGCTTTTTTCTCATCGCTAGGGTTGAGCGAGGTGTAAGCATTGATCATTCGTTCCTGGATTTCCCACCGTCTGCGTTCGCGTTCGGACTTCGCTTTACGGATGGAACTGGCCAGCGAGAATGAGAACACAATGCCGATAATCTGAAATTTGATAAGATAAACGTTATTAGGTATTTATGGTGATTAGCCAAATTCGTATCTACTTGATTTCTGCTGTACTTACTTATCAAACAAAGTACCGTGTGGTTATAATCGATATTTTATGGTAAATACTACGTCATACCGAAACGACTGTTAACAACATAACTAGAACTTGTTAACGCAATTAAATGTTAACATGGCAATTTAAATTTTTGTGAGCCATCAGTATTTTAAAATACGCTAAAAAACTACACTAATTAAACTACAAAATTAAGTGTAATAAAATAAAATAAGATATCTATCCAGTTAAAAAACTTACCTGAATGAAAGCAATAGTCATGGCTCCGGCGCCCAAAAGTCCAGCGCTCTGGTAGACCAAGTAGAACATTCTTGGGAGGCATCCGTTGACATAGACCTTCGTGCAGACATCGACCTCAATGCCATCGACGATGTCGTAACGGGACTCGGCACAGCAGGAGTTGGGGACGGTGATGTTGTTAATGGAAATGGCTGACACTCCAGTGGGGGGAGACACTACGCTCCAGTCAACGTAGCTGTCTACACCGCAGCAGCTCAGCTGTGAAATGGAGAGGAAGATGATAAATACTAAGTACTTTATGGCCCCCAACATTTCCCATTTCTAGCCCATGTTACGGAATATAAGACACAATTAGTTATGTTCCTTATTTAATTTTTTTTCAACTTTTCAATACATCAAAATTTTCTATCTTCATTTTCAGGAATAAGTGTGTTATTTGACACCAATATTATGATGATGTCACAAGCTTGTAGATACTCAATCAGTAACTACACAAAAAAATTATAAAGTTTTGATACTTCAGTAAAAATATGGAATTCGTTTCATTGGAAACTGACCTATTCAAAATTTATGTTAGAACTTCAACAACTACGACCGTTGTGGTCCTGATGAACTGTCAATTTAAAATAGGAACATTCATCCATAATTTTACTTTGTTGGTTAAGCCATGGAAGAATTTACATAAGATTATGTCTATGTTCATCGGAAAAGAAAACATTGACCATTGAGCACGCAATTATATGATGGGCAGTGTACCCTTGTATTCCATTAACCCTTTAACTTTCGTTGTAAGTGAAAGGAGGTTGAATTAAATTCTACATGTTGTGGCCAGCATTAAAATTTTAAAAATTCTTAATGTTGGACGTGGAATTCTAGAATGCCGTCAATGTATTTTCCATCAGCTCAAATATCCAATATTTTCATGACGACGATGACAATGAAGACGACAGAAAAATTAGTGGCTCATAGTTAATAGATATTGATCTCCCAGAATCAAATGATGAAAAATGATTTAAGTATGAAAAACTCAGGATTAAAAACAAATCATGATGGGCATAAACAGTAAGTTTTCTGCACTGCAAATGGCTATTTTTATGAAATCGAACCGAACGCTCGTGCTTCTCAATAGAATTTGCTATGCACATCCTAAATCAGCCACTAGATGTAAATATTCAATTTACCCTGCTCTGAATGAAGTCATAGGACCCTCGGACTTCTTCGTTGTAGTAGTAGGATGGCAGTGTGGACCTCAGATTCTCGTCCAGCATACCGGTCACCTGTGACCGGAGGCTGTACGCTGCGATGGCTGCTGCGATCTCCAGGACGAATACCAGACTGAGGATGACTGCAAACTGGAGAAAATATAAAGGAAGGTAATTTTATAGGTGGGTACTATGTAAGTATTAAATTGGTACGCCGTTCTACACTAATTAAGTAATATTTGAGTTCTAGATTTTCAAAATCAATAAGAACATGCCATACATCAATGTCTATGGCACCTTTATTTTTTTAGAAGAGCAATTGGTCTCATATTTTTGCAATAGTTAGAGACAAATTAGCGTGGCATGTCGTGTCACGTGCTGACTAATGTATGAAACCTGGGAATTCTGTCACGACACGACACGTTATAGTTATAAGTAAGTATATTTTGAACTTTACTTTATTGTGCGACGGATTAATGTTCTATATCTTCCTTAACCATTTGACTGCCGACAAAAACTGTAGCAGGCTAACCCTCCCCTAGCGTCGGACACCATTGTCTGACGTGGCGTTCTAAGTGTTAAAAATACAATCCTGACATATCTTCTTCTATGTATATTTATCTAAACACGCTTTAGCTGTAAACAAGAAGTAAACTGTTTTTTGGTTTTAAGTCGACCACGTGACAGTCAACTTTATAATTTGAAATAATCCGTACCATAAATAAACAATGACTGTAACTAAATCGAATATCATACTTAAATAAGTTATTTATGTTCGGTAATCTTACACACATAACAAGGTCAATCAAAATGTGATTTTCTTTCTCTACTAAAGTACCTTCATTAAAAATTAGATGGTACATATAATGTTATAATACATACAATAATAATATATACCTACAATTTAAGTTAATTGCAAGTAAAAAAAAAACATCGAGTAAAATTTTAATGTTCCTTACAGAGAAATTGTTTTTATTCCTTTCTCTAGGATAAGTACCTGTTTTATGAGAGGGGAATAGAATTAGTCAGCTTCAAGATGACCAGAGGGTTGAACGCGTTACCAATCTGACCACATTAAAGTAAAGAAAACTTGTAATAAGCAGCAAGTATCCTGAAAACTGTAACGGGTAGTACACACTTTCCAATACTCTTATGAATTGAAAAAATGGTGACTAGTACATACTAGAACGAAGAGTGATAAGCTATTTTACGTAATATAACTTTAAGAATAACTATATGTAGGTACTTATAACAAATAACTGACTATGCAAATTTCTTTTCTTCTTTCTTTCTTTCTTTCTTTCGTTGTGTTTCACCATGTGAGTGAGGTTACTGAAGACCGGATCCTTCCCCTTTCACTATCCCTAAATCCCCAAAAGCCCTAATCCAGCTCTTTGCAGGCAGCAGCGTCTGACCTGCCACATGAGCTTCCAGACAAAGCCAAAAGACATTATCTTCCAAAAGACCATGTAGCCTCACGAAAAAATAATAAAGATACTTTTACTTACAATATTGACCAAGCAGGTGCTCTCCTTCAGTGCACCGATGCATCCGAATAAGGAGACGAACAGCATGATGATCCCGATGGCGATGACGAAGCTGGCCGGAGAGAAGAACCGGTCTTCAAGGAAGAAGGAGACATCGTGGTAGATCGCGTAGATTGTTGTGCCCACTGAGATTATTAGCGCGGAAGTTAACTAGAAAGATAAGAAGAATGGAATTATTAGTCAGTGATATAAATTGATCTTTTGAAATGCTTTCTTTTGTATTTTACTTTTATTGGTTTACGTTCGAGCCTACAGAACAGACCATAAATTACGAAACGACGTAAATCGTTTTTTAACATTGCCCCATTCTAGAATCTTCTAATGCGTTGTGGGTGCGTACTTACAACTTCACATACACATGAAACAGAGACGTGGAACAACAATTTGTGGTACCTACACACAAAGAGTTGTTCCGCGCGGGGAAGTGAATCCTCGGTACGTGCAACAACTAATGGTTGTCCAGCCATCGCGCTTCATACTATGCAAACGATTTTCTTGCGTTTTTTTTTAATAGATAGAGTTATTGAAGAAGCATATAGAATATATAGATAAATTGGTAATAACATCAATTTAATAGTGGAGAAATTTTGGACCAGCATTGCACCCGTGACGGTTTGACCCCTGTAGACGGTGCGGGTTATTACTACTACGACTTACGACTAGATACATAATTATGTTATAGATACAAAATTATGTATCTACAATCATCATCTTATTCGGTTCTACATTCTACGAGAACTTGGTGGAAACGAAGATACGCAATATTCCAAGTTCCAAGTGTTTGACTGACTCACACACACACACACACATATTTACAATTGACCAGCCTTTCAAATGATTCATAGATATCGTGTGATAAGAACGCCTTTATGATTAAAAATATTGTATCATAATAACGCAAGCAAGTCCGTTTGTTATGAAACGCTAGTGTTTAGTCAGTCATTTTTTATTTGTGAAGGTGTGACAAAGTACTGGTGTAGGCAAGCCAATTGATAAGACATGGGCTGGCTCGGATCAGGAGAAGGAATCGGGTTCTGGTTTCTGATACTTACTTCCTCTCGCCATACTTATCTACAAATCCTCTTTCCTTAAATGCCTAACTATCCGTAGCAACCCACAACGCACGTGTAGTAACTCCTTTAGAACTACTAGTGTCCATGGGCGGCGTTAATTGCTTGCCGTCAGGTACGTAATACGTCAGCTCGTTTTCTGACTTACTTCACAAAAAAAACCCTAAAAAAACTCAAGCCTGGAGAAGTCTTTAGACAAAGGTTAGAAAAAGGAGACCAATTGAATTTTCGGTACTCAAGTTTTTCACAGTGCATTATTAAAAAGATAATTTAAAAACAATCATTTTCAGTTGACAATCAATTTTAAAACTATTTAGTATAGTTACATTATTTTTTATTACCTACATAGGTTAGAGTACACCTGGAATATCCTATTGAATACTAACCAACGATATAAGATATGGTATACATATAACATATATTATATTTTACAAGTCATAGGTAACTCAGTTATGTTCATATTTATGTAACATACGCTAAGTGCACATAGAACTACATATTATATTGATTGAATGAATAATGGCGGCCAAGTGACCATAGACGTAACCTTGACATTTTAATGGACGCTGAAAATCGATACGTAGTGTGGCGACCAACCGCTAAAGACTTGATGCAGAGGTCGGCTTACTTGTATTATTAATATTCATAACTATCAATAATAATATTGTAATGTTGAAGGGTTTGTTTGACCGCGCTAATCTACAATACTACTGGTATGAATTGAATTATTCTTTTTGTGTCGGATAGTCCATTTATCGATAAAGGCTGTCATGCTACGACCAACAGTTCAACATAAGCTGGTGCATGAAATACTATATAAAACAACTTTAAAATCTTTAGTCAAAAAGTGTGATCTTTTCGACTAGCACAGTTCGTGATGTCTGGGATCTGTCTGTGTCGCGGGTTCATTTCCTAAACGGATTGATTGTTTTGGCCCTGGATCTTATAAGTATCTGTGAAATTGTAGGTTTGTAAACACATACACAGACACAGAAAATATTAATGGTGGGGCAATGTATCTATTATAACTACATAATAAAACAATAACTCTATCGTACTTTAAATACTCCATATCCTGAAAAACGTTTTCTCTATTCTCTGAGAAAAATAATTAAATAATCAATTTGCCAATAAATGCTATGATTAATCTGTATCTAATTTACCTACCCAATTTTAGACTGTTATTGAAGTATAAAAGCATTGTCGACGATAAGGACAACGTTCTGTTATTACCAACTGAAAATCGCATTAGTCCAAAATTACTTCGCATCAATTTCATACAGACACATCTAAATATTTACAAAAACACAAATGTACAAGATCAAAACGTGACGCAAGACGCAAACCAATGAAAACAGAAGTTTTTCTTCAAGTTAAACGTTGAATTGTACTTCAAACGTGACTTGTAATATTTAAACAACAGAAAACCATGCGACTATAGCAGTTGTACCTATTTTACTATTGACGACTTCAGTACTTATTCTTAACGACAACACTCGAAATTGTCATGCAAAAATGATCTTTAAAACGTAACTGTTAGATATGTTTATTGCATCGCGGATATTGCGTACATTGATATACATACCTAACCTATAAATAGTTTGAAATCAATTAAAGAAAAACAGCGGGAAACAATGAGAGGATGACCTCGGTTGGCAGTTTTGTTGTTGGACAATTAAAATGTCAATAGTCTGTGGGTATTACGAAGAATCAGGTTCTTATAGTCATAATATTGAAGTAATACTTGTAAAACTTTACCTTTATAAGTCATATTATCATCTATTATTTAGGCATCTACGCCATGTTAAATATTTAATTTTAATTCATAAAACGAACGCGTTCTTTTAGACACGTTCAATTTGGACAAAAAATAATATTATTCTAAAAGTTTTTTTTAAATGCTTTATCATTTTAGGCATTTTTTAATATTTTCGTGGGTAGTAAGTATAGACACGATCTAACTGCCTAGGTAGACTGCATGATAAATGAGTCCTTTTTGCAGTTCACCCGTCTCTAATCATAGGTAATTTCTCAGTTGGTTTAAATTTATCTGTCATTTGAGAAATACTTTCTGATTTTCGTTTTCATTAATAATGAAACACAATGGAAAATACTAGATATGTAACTATCTTTAAGAAAAATTAACAAGTTACATTTAGCATCATCAATTGACGTTACCGTATCCGGTTGATTCAATTTTAACTGTACTAATTTTAGCAGTTTGCAAACCATTTTGCGGTTTGCATTTATGTCGATGAGAATCTGTTTAGTTATAAAATTTAAGAACGTGCCTATAAATTGGTATAGAAACCCAATTTAATTTGTATAGAAACAATTTCTAAACAAAATCATTAAAAATACTGAACGGATTTTGAACTACATAATCTTGGTAAGTACCTACGTATAAGTACCCAGTAGGCAGTTTTAGGTTTTAATTTCAGAATTTCATACATTTATATAATCGCGCATAATAACTCAATTAAAGAGTAGATATTCCAAAAATGTATTTAATTAGATTTTCCTGCATATACTGCGTATGTCTACCTACTAAAAGTTTTATTAAAATCGATTCAGTAGTTTCCATTATTTTTGACTTGAAATGTGTGAAAACCAAAGAGGATATAAATTCCTCTATGATAAAAACCAAAGACCACCCGTCGTCATCAACGCTATTTAACGCATTTCAGCAATTCAGCCTCAAATTTGCGGTCACTTATTTAGAATTTGATATCATGTTTGCATTTTCCCTATAAACACTGGAACTACTAAAACTTAAGTGTGGGAGAGCCATTCTTCATCACGATTGTGTGGTGGGCTCGACCAGATTGATACTACTATACTAATGCGTTGTGTTTCACCGTGTGAGTGTGGTAACTGGAGGCCCAATCCTTCCCCTTCTCCAATCTCTAAATCCCCAAAATCCTAATCTCAAAAGTTCGCAACGCAGTCGTAACTCTTTCATTGTTGCGGGTGGCTATGGGCGGCACTGATTGCTTACCATCAGGTAATCGCTATGCTCGTTTGCCATCGTATCACAAAACAACCAATTTAATAAATATTTCAAGGAAAACAAGACAAGCGTAATTTAAGTATGTGTGTATAGTGTATATTGAATGATATAAATAGTATATCAACGTTTCAAAGTAAATACATAGTTTATCAATCGAACTGATCGATAACATCATCAGAATTGTGTCAAGATATGTACGCAAAACAAAGTAGAACAGATCAGAATCCATATCGATGAGGATATCAATATCTAATACCTACTAAATTGTCCATTGTTCCTCAATCCTATCTTATCGTTTCTTATTTTTTTATCGTTTATTTTTCTTATAAAATATCTTTTAAATCATTAATTTTTAATCCAAGAAGGACGACTCACAGACCTCTTTGCTAATTTATAATTCTTTGTTATCATATTTTGTGATTGGATATAAAACGACAGTGCTGCCACTAGTTTTCGGTTTCAATGCGAGTATGCGATTATTGCAATTCTGCTTCTTCAAAAAATATTTATTTTTCATATTTCTTTCTTTATTGTTTATTCTTGTCTACGACCAATTTACCACTTCGAAACCAATCTTTGAATTATTAGTCAGACATACAAGAAAACAAATTAACAAATATTGTGACCGTTGCGGTTGACTGGTAGAGAATACCTTTGGACATTAGATAAGTCCGCGTTTGGATTCAGAATATACAGTTAAATAAATATATAAACCTAAATCCAGTAATAAAAAACTGACCTATTGGTAATCTTGAAATGAAAGCCACCATTTTGTAATACAATTATCTAGAAGTAAAATTATATGCAAGTACTTGTCTTATCATGAACAATGGAACTATGACTAAATTTTGATCACGTTGAAATATATAAGTGAACAATATCGCATAGTATTCATTGTTTTTATTGCACGGCTATTGAATTAAAAGTAAACTTAGCCCTTTGGTTGCGTAATAGAAGAGAAAATGATATGCCTTTGTCTTGTATATAGGTTATGTCTTGTATATATTCCTATGATTGATAGTTTCTTTCAAGTGTGGGAGAGCCAAGCTTCGGCACGAATAGGTCGGCTCGAGCAGAGTGATACCACGGCCTCACAGAAAACCGGCGTAAAACAACAACAGCGTTGTGTTCGCCGCGTGAGTGAGGTTACCGGAGGCCCAATATTTCACATCGCCCGATCTCTCTCCAATCCCTAAATCTCCAAAATTGTAATCCCTAAAAGGACGGCAACGCACTCGTAACTCTTTCGTTACGAGTGTCCATGGGCGGCGCTGATTGCTTACCATCAGGTAATCCGCCCGCTCGTTTGCCAACCTATTACATAAAAAAAGGTGTAAAGTAAAACTTTTTATAGGTCTGCAAGCGTGCAGATGGGTCACGCGGTGATAAGCAATCGGTACGGCCCATAGAAACTCACAAAATCAAGAAGTTAAAGCTAATTGATTTCAATTAATTTTACGCTTGCATATAGGTAGGTACCTATATAATATGTTATCATAGTTTAGACCATGCAATACAATTATTGTTTTAATTAATTGTATGAAACAGGCAAAAAACTACATCGTTTTAAATAATTAAATATACGTTGCCGACCTTGCGTGTGTTATGAGGTATTTATGGATAGGGGATCTAGGGATTGAGAATGGGGGGAAGAATTAGACCTCCTATAACCTCACTCATACGACGACGAAGTTTTGTTTCACGCTGTATTCTACGAGGCCATGGTATCACTCCAATTGAACCAGCACCATTCGTGATGACGAAGCATGGATGTCCCACTTTTGGCATGCATCTTTCCATTTCACTCATGTCAGTGAGTCAGAGGCAAAGAATTCTTAAAGTTTCCACAGTAACCTTTCGAAACATTCACCAATAACCAATAAACTACTACCTAGGTAATAGCTGCCACATCATACCATTACCTATATATACTTAGGTAATACATTCTAGATATGTTAATAGTTACAGGGATTTAGTTAATCCAATAAGTGGATAGTAAACATTAGCCTGTTTGCGTGTATTGTGACGTCATAGCACACAAAACAAGTAACTTTTATCGTAAGTTATTTACTCGACAGGAAATTGGAAAGGAAAATACTTAGATTGCCCTTTTCGTCCTCTGTTTAAAATGTGACGTTCGCTGACGTTTCTTCAATTCTTATTTTTATTTTTAGGTATTTGGTACTGTGATTGATCTTATCTATATCCGTATCGTTTGAAATATTTTAAACTTAATTGCGAGGAATTTATTTGATTACCTACTTGAGTAGGTATGACTAATTAATTTGTCACTGGCTGCAAATGAATGAAATACTGTAAACAAAACCAGACACAAAACACAAAAACGACTGGACTCACAGAAAACCAGCGTGAAACAATCACAGCGTTGTATTTCGCCATGTTTTCAAGAACATTGTAGGTATCTATCAGTAAAAGAATTTTGGAAATCCGACCAGCGAGTCCAAAGATCTCCCCCCTACATACAAACTTACAAATTACAAATTTTACCTCTTTATGAAATTAGTCTAGGTTATTTCTGTTATAATTGCCTAATTATGTATAAAATAGTATGTATGCCTAGGCCTACTGTACAGTCGAGAGGTAAAACCTCTTTTTTTAAAAGTCGATTAATAACAGTATTATCATAAGTATCGAGAGAGTTCAGAAATCTCCTTTTTGGAAGTCGGATAAAAACAGTTCGTATCATAGATGTACGCACCATAGACGTACCCACGTTATTACACACATAATCCAAATCCAAACTATATATAATATTATAAATGCGAAAGTAACTCTGTATGTCTTTTCTTCACGCCTAAACTACTGAACCTATTTGTGTGAAATTCGGTACAGACGTATATAGTTTGGAACTCGAGAAAGGACATAGGATGATAGTTTTATGTAGTAGTAGTAGTAGTATGTAGTCGAAAATCTGCAGGATTACACTATTCCACGCGAACAAAGTCGCGAGCAAAAGATGGTTTAATTATAAATGTTAAACAATGTAATTATATCATAACTAAAGCGCTGGTCAGTAACAAAATCCTTTTGATGAGAAACACTGGCGTCATGGCTGCGGAATCGCACCGCACCGCGCATGGTATTCAAGGTCAACGATTTGAAGGTCTGTAAACTCATATACGTCATATCAAACTAGGTTTTGACTCATGAGTCTAATGACTGACATGACATTACAATTTTTTCACGAAATACCAATTTCTGCCACACTCCTGGATGTGCCTGGACTTCAAGCTTTAAAAAACGTTTTTATAAGTGAAACCCTTGTTGAATTGTTTAGTTACCCTTATGAATCCTGGAAAACCCGATAAAATTTAGTTCAATGATTTTCGAGTTTGATATTACGCGTATAAACCTATGTAATCATTGTGTGTGTGTGTGTCTTTAATAATACACATGTCTGTAATGATTTGTAGGTATGTATGATAACGATAAATATCATGATATTGTGACTGAAACTTATTGGTATCTAATTGAAAGCAACGTCTCTGGCGTCATTTTCAAGGAAACTTTCATACACTTTTTCTATTTCATGAAAATGACGCATTATAAGTAAATGTACCTACTTTAACAAACGCCAGCTCATCAAAATGACCTCACTATCTATCGTCTCACTTGTAATTCTTTATTGAAATACAAACTTTATTGCCCTTTATTTACAATTGAAAATGTATTAAATCATTATTTGTCAAGCTTATTAGATACAATCCTAATTGGATTGTATTTAAATAAATGCTTTATTGTTGAATAATCTTATGTGCAACTAAGGACTTTGAGAAATTTCAGGATGCCTGGCTCAAGATGTGATAGACGCGACAAATCATATTCGCTAAACTTAATAGATCCCATGAGCGTCATAATAAATACTTCTTGGAATCAAGCTGTGATATTGTGCTTACACAGCGATCACACTACTTACAACATAGGTGCTGGCAAAAAGTATGATATAATTTTTAACTCGTGCATAAGTATCCACTTCTACTTTCCCCTTAAGAAAAACTAACCTAATAATGTAGATATAACCATACGCTGCGTCATATTATCAATTATGAACGTTGAATAGGAACGAGGGCCGTTGTAAACGTGCCAACACATGTAATCGATATTCGAAATTCAAAAGATGCCTTAAAAATGTTGCTAGCCTTGCAGATAAGCCGCTTAAACGTAACTGGCAACATTATACCTATGTAGATACTTGACTTATCACCTCTATTTAGTAAAACAGGTAAGCGTAGATGTTGATTAGCCTTCATCCTTATCATTTGTTAATTGTCACACTTTAGTTCTGTTATCATTGTTAAATCCTACAAACAGTATGGATATTTCATAAATGTCGATTTATTGTGCTATTTGTGTAAGTAAACTATAGAATAAACTGAATAAAAAAACAACTAAATAAGTATTTATTTACTGTAAATAAAAAGCAGAGCCAATGAACTAAGAAAACTGCTTCGCACCCATCTAAAATAAACACGAAAACGCTAGTTCAACAGAAACAAAACAGTAGGAATGTAGACCTTTGCCGATATGAAAAAAAAAGTTACACAGATACTCATGTATCATCCAATACAAGAGTTGTCATAGATAACGCAGCGTTGCGCAAATAAAATGGCGCAATTCAAACGCAAAGAACGAAACAGAACGCCATTTAAATTAAATAAAAAAAAACTCACCACAAATATAGCTGTTATACACAACAGCATGTATTTTATGCACCTCATTCCCACTTCTAAATTAGTACTCGCCATTTTGAACACAAAATGCGCGAAACAAACTTTCCACTAGCGTTCTCGATACACAACTGAAATATTTTACTTCGTTATCGTTTCTGATAAGGTAACACTCGAGCTCTAAGGCTGGTTGTCGACTGCAGGCATTTAGCTGGAAAATACGACGTTTTTCTTTTAGCCTATTAGCTAGTACAGTTTAATATAATAGTATAGTACACGTCACGCGAGCAGCGGTGCTAAATATTATGTGAACAGACGTATGTTATATAGGTAGTGGCCGCTTTGTATCCATACTTTTTGGTATTGATTTGTATACAAAACGTTGTGTGTTTAACTATCTTTAATTTTTTTTTGTTTTTTTTTTATTATAATAACAATACATTATGGCTTTCAGGATTTGTTTTGCTAAGCCTTCATTGTATTTTTTTTATGTGAAAGGACGACAAATGAGCTGTCGTATTACCTGATGGTGAGCAATCAGCGCCGCGCCGCCCAGGAATACTCGCAACAGCGGAGGAGTTACGAGTGCGTTGCCGACCTTTTGGGGATTCGTAGATTTTTGGGATTGGGGAAGGGGAAAGATTGGGATTTAGGATTGTATACTTATTTAAGTAGGTACTATCATTCCAACGACTGTGCCTTAACTTCGACTTTGTGTAAGTTATTTAAATTTCATCTCTAGTCCGTTGGTCACAAGAGGGACTATCGTGTTCGTGATAATTAAAAAAAAACAGAAGTTTTTCTTTATATATTTATTTTTCATTGACAAAACAACAACAAACTTATTTTAATAAATAAACAACAATTTTGTATTATTAATGTACTTAGCAGGAAATGGAAGGAAGGAAATGTGTACAATGTACAGCGTGCTCGCAGTGTGTAGGTTTTTCCGCATTTAGCTTGCTTTAATATATTTTTGTCCGACTATGCAAAATTATAGCTCAATTGTCGCTCGTTCCTAATAAGGCGTAGAAACAATTTAATAATAACTGAATTGCTTGCTGTGAAAATTAGTAAGAATCCAAAAATGACACATTGAAATATGTATAAAACCAGTATTTGTCATAGTTAAATATATATTCAATATAATTTGATACTAGTAACGCCATCTAGTTTAATAATGGCGAACTCTTAATGTACGGAGTAAAACAGTAAAATATGAACAAAAAAAAACAAAGAAACTGGCAGACATTTTAAAACGAATAAAAAATAAAGCTTCATTGTTAAGCACAAATGGTCATCTAAATTATAAAAATTAACACATTTAAAAAATAAAGGTGCCTTTTAGTCAAGTCTATATCTATAAATTATATTTTCATTTAATTACGATTTAAGTATGTAATTAAGTAATTAATATGGATACAGAATAAATATAACATTGGACATAAATATATCGTCTACAAATTGTACTTAGGAGGACTATGAAATAGTTGATGAAATACACAAGTACGTTGGTGATTGATACGAAAGTTCTTAATCATATTTTTCATAAGCAATTTATTTTCGTGGACTATAACAATAAGGCAATTTATATTTATTTAATAATTTAATAATTATGTACACAATAAATAGCATAAATGTTAAATATTACGAATTTATAAACAAAGATTTTATTAAGTTATTAATAAATGTTGGCACAGTTCTTACATGAATATGTATGTACAGAATTAACTAAATACCTACATTTTTACATTATGTAGATGGGAATATGTATATTCATTTATGTGGATAACCTGGTAACTAAAACGACGTAAAACCTTATTAATTACCTCTCTAATTAGCTTTAAATTTTGATAAATAAATAATAAATCTACAAATGCTTCTCTGTTTACGAATGTACAGAAATGCGTCCTGTTTACGTGGTACGAGTTTCCAAATAAATTTGGTACTGTCCAAGAACTTGGAAACTACTTAACCAATCCATTAGATTAATCTTTATATATAAAAATGGATCGCAAAATGTGTTGGTAAGCGCATAACTCAACAACGCTTGTACCAATTTTGCTAATTCTTTTTTTGTTGTTTGTGTCAAGAGAGAAAATATTTGAAAAGTAGAGGGGAAGATTAGGAAAAAGTGACCTTTTGATAGCGAGATAGTTGGACCCGTGCGAAGCGAGGGCGGGCCGCTAGTAGTTGATAAGATCAAAAAATTTAAAAAAAATACAAAGAGAGGCAACTTTAAGACTCCATACAACTTTAAGGCTACCTAAACAATTTTTTTTTACTACATATGTTGGCAAACGAGCCTTCAGAATACCCGATGGTAATGGCGCCGCGCATGGACACCCGCAATACCAAAGGAATTACGAGTGCGTTGCCGGCCTTTTGGAGATAAGGGTTTCGGATATTTAAGGATTGGGAAAGAATAGGGGGGGGAGAGGAATTGGGCCTCCGGTAACCTTACTAACATGGAGAAACACAATGCTGTGGTTGTTTCACACCAGTTTTCTGTGAGGCCGTGAGGGGACCCATTCGTGCCGAAGCTTGACTCTCCCAGACTTAAGGAATATCAAGTATCATTGAAATTGGTACGTAAGTTTCAGTTTTAGGACTCAAAATAATGTACTTATAGAAACTTGATAGTACCACGTAAACATCCTTTACTGCAATGGTAACTAAAATAGTTCTTTGTTCAACTAATAGATGGTGTTATCTTCAAAAATACTTCATTGACTTGACTGCAATACGAAGAGAGGCCAACAGATCATACTACCCTACTACATAGAATGGATACTTTAGGGTAGTTTGTCCTGCAGGCTTCTTTAGGTACCTACATAATATTGCTTAAAATAAATGTAGTTAGTAAAGACTAAGCTTAAGGGTAGGCGCCGCGTTCGTCTCTGGATATTTTTGCCATCCACACCGAGCCCGCTACAGCCAAAGCCTGAAAAAAATGTAGAAATGCATGTAGGTAACTCGTAAAGTGAAAATAAATACTAGTTTTGGACATTAAGTATACTATCAGTGTCATAAGTGCATGGAAGATTCCAAATCATTTTGCCACCATTAGTACCTACATAGTAAATTTTTTTTTTTCATTCGAGCCAGACAGTTTCAGAACCTTTCAATCTTGGTACTTAGCAGGTAATTCGAGACACAATAGAAGAACAATAGGTGCGCAAACCCTTGGGGATTGATGAAATAAAATTGCAACCAAGACACAAATTAAATAAACATTTGAAAATAACAGAACAACTACCTCTTTTTCTGTTCCTATGTTGGCAAGTTCTGTACTCGAGCCTTCATGGCATGACGCGCCATTTCAAGTATTTTGGGTAACGAATTTTTGCTTTTGTAATATTATAATCATAAATACTTGTTTTGGCTGGTCGGATGCGTAAATAAATGTTTTTCTTTTCTTTTTCATATCTCGATCGAGGCTAGGGAAACGAATAACTTCTACTTCCATCGAACTTATCGCTTTTTGATGGTCTTAAATAAAACCTTTACGCCACCTATGTAGATACCTAATTCCTTGAAAGAAATAAAGTCAAATAGAAAAAAGAACATGGTCCCCATTACCAACCTGCATGAAAACTAAGAATATTCCAGCTACGCCGATAGCAGCAGCATGAGATCGAACCCAACTGCCAAAGGAGTCAGAACAGCCTGTTGTGTAGGCTGACTGCATACCGATGTTGCAGTTGAGGACGGACACTAAGCCATAGTTCTGACTGCAGCAGCTGACTGGCAAGCCTTGGGTCTCAACTGTGTTCAGTGGTATTAACCACTGGCTGGCGTTAATGACGCCACAGCACTGAAACTGGAAGGTAAAATAAATTAGATCATTATTTTTGCGCATCTAGCTTCACTGACGAACAGACTGGCAGACTACTATTCTATTTTTACGTTTCAAAAGTCCCTATTTATGGTTAAGTTGGAATACTTGGAATAAATGATTTTGAATTTGACTTTGACCGCTTTCAAAGTGAAGGTGTCTTAGAATGTATTAGAGTTTGTAGATGTAAGGACTATTTGTTGTTTTTTTCAAGCGTTTTTGTCAGTCCAAATTTTCTCTTAGTTCAACAACATTTTGTTCTGGTAGGAAACTATTTATATCAAGTATTTTATGAATTTTAATCTATGCAAAAAGTTAGTTTATTGATTTAAGTGATTCAAGCTTTAAGGAGGTTACATAAAAGGACGATGCTGTGCCAGGATTGACGAAATAAAGATATTTCTTATCCAGTTTAATTAGGAGACTCCTTTAGGTAATACTTTCAAATTTCACTAGCGAATCATGGACACAGCATCACTAGGGTTTTGTTGAGTAAGACTTTGACAGACATCTTCGTCTATTTACACGAAAAGAACTCAAATATAATTTCTTTAATCTTCCTTCCTTCCTTTTTTTGAGGAGGGAAAATCATCAAATCACTTCTCTCGCCTAGGGTATGGCGAGAGGTAGTGTCAGACTCTTACTGATTAAAACCCCTGTTCCTACTTTTGCTCTAGGCTGAAGGCCGCGATACCTTATTATGCTTGACCCGCAACCCCGGTTACAAAAAGGTGTAGGTCGCATCGTATGAAGCAATTCTCTTTTTGAAGAGTTTATAGAATTATACACTATTGATCATTAATGAAGAGATAAAAATAAACTAAGTTGTAGGTGATTACGATATGTATTAAATTCTAAAGATTATAAAATAAAAAAAATGATTTGATTTAGCACGAATTTACTGCCGAAGGCCATCTAACTAACTGCACGTAAATTCGATCCATTTATAAAATGTATTTACCTAAAATTATGAGCTAAATGTTCTGAAGTAATACTCACATCTTGTTGCACAGTGTCCCACAGCTTAGTAACTTCGATGCTTTTGTTGAGACCGTACATGTCCATAGTCTCTAGCAGTTTGTGCTGGACCAAGGAAACGGCGTTGCCCTTTAGAGCGTACCCAGCAATACAGGCAGACAGTTGGAAGATGAACATCAGGATCATGGCACCCGCGAACTGGAATTTACAAGTTTTATTTCAGTGTGTAAGTTATGAGTTTAATTTTCTCTTTAAGGGTCTCAGATAAAACTCAAACAAAACATTGATATGATTATATAAGTTGATAAGTTGATATCCTATTCAATAGTCGTGGTGGTCCGGAGTTTAAGTTGTCCGCTTCTCATGAATGGAGATGCGGATTCGAAACACGTGGCAAGTACCAATGAGGCTTTATCCAAGTTGCATTGAGATTATTTAGACACCACTAATATAAGGTAGAGAAAAACATCGTGAGGAAACTTCTATATTTTTTATATCTATATTTTTTAACTATAAATTTATAATCGCCAAAACGTCTTGAGCAAGTTGGCGATTACTGCTCAAACCTTCGCCATTTGAGACAGGGCCTTTGCTCAGCAGTTGGCACTTATAGGCTGATCATGATGATTCTAAAGTGTCCAGTGTGGAATACTAATAATATCTGAAAAACAGACAGTAGTTCTCTCTTGAACTCTTGTGAGTTAGTCAAAGAAATTGCGATGTTAGACCCGGCCGGTTTAGGGTAGAAAGCAATCCAATCTCTCTTTACAGTGCCGGATTAGCCACGTAGCAAGAGTAGCAAATGCTACGGGCCCCGCGGATTGGAGGGCCCCGCGCTCAAATAGGTATTTCATAATTACACCACTTCAACAGAAAGACATATGTAGAAAATGTTTTGTTTACAAAACTACTACCAAACTGCAAGTAACTTGATTTTTTTCTTAACGAAATAAACGAAAAAAGACAAGTAGTCGGTATTTTGTATGTGTAAGAAAAGGAAAGCGAGTATTTGTCCGCTCGGTTGGTGCCATTGGCGGGCGAACCGAGCCGACGCGAACTGCGCCCACGGCTATTTCCGCCTTACCTCTAGGTACAATATCTGTCACGAAAAACGTTGGTATCAAAATGAACAACAATAAATTGAGCGCTAGCCACACACAAGTTATGTGTTGTACTACTTGCACTGCACTAAACACAAGTCGGCAACACTGCAAAACCATTTGGGGAATAACCTGATATTGTCATCGATCGAGCTAGCCGTAACTCGAACAAATAAATTAGGAATTCTATTGACTATCAAACAATAAGAAATTGATATAGGTACACTTTCCTTTGACTCAATATAAAAAACAACTAAGCACTTTAAATGTGAACTATTAGTGAGAAAAGTTGTCTTGACATTGCTTCAAGTACTGTTTTCGTGATTGACGTAGCGATGTGTCGAATAATTCAATTATCTTTTTCCTGACTTCAAAAAAAGGAGGGGGTACTATGTTCGACTGTTTTTTTTTGTATATTCACCTATTACTCCGCCATTTATAAACCAATTTCCAAAATTCTTGTTTTGTTTGAAAGGTTATACTCCCAAGAGGGTCCCATTTTAATGAGGTCGGGATCTGATGATGGAATCCTAGGGAAACCGAGGGGAACTTTCGAAAATTGTTGGGTCGAGTAGTGCTACAACTTGCCGATAGTCGAACTTGACCTGATGATGGAGCCGGAAGACAGTTGAAGGATCTCCTTGATTATTTGAAGTAGTTATCTTGTGTTTGGGCTTGAATTATTCTTATTGGTGAGCACTTTGCACCAAGATTGGTCGTGACTGCCATTAGGGGTCTGATGATGAGAACGAAGGACAGCTTAGGGAACTCCTGAACGGTTCACAGTAACTACCTCGTGTTTGGACTTAATTCATTTATATCGATAAAAACTTCGCACCTATATGGGTTACAATGAAGTTATGGAGTAAATCTGATGATGGAGCACGAAGACTGTCGTAAGATCTCTTTGACTATTAGGAGTAATTATTTTGTGCTTGGATTTAATTCATTTATATTGATGAGAACTTTGCACCTATACGGATTACGTAAGTATATTGAAGGTCTGCAGTATAAATGATGATGGAGACCATTGACAGTCGAGGGAATTCCTCAGCGATTTACAGCACTGAACAGTGACTAACTCAGGACTACTACTATTATCGTGTTTTTGGTCTCAAGTAGTCGTCGTCTTCTCATTCGAAAACCATTATCCTTGCTTGCTCTATCATCCAAGTCATATCAAACAGCAACAGTTTTAGAAAAATATTGATCGGTACCTCCTAATCATCAAACTAACAATAGCTATATAGGTAAAGATTACACTATTTTTGTTTTGCTTGGCACCGAATTCAAAATTATAAAATGGTTATTAATATTATTTTCTATTTAACTAAATGAAAACATGTATTAATTTCTACAAAGAAAAAATATTTTTTGCTTTTTAGCTTACTTTTTGAAGTCGGAATATTTTTGTTAAAAATCATTTATTTCAAAATCGTCTGATCAAGACCTTAATACGTGATACGCCCTTTATGAATCATTATATGGCTACGTCCAAGCAATGCGATCCTAATTTTCAGATATTAGAGGCAAGAGCCAAAGATTTGACTAACTGTGAAGAATACCAGCAACAGACATCACGACGAATCAAGCGAAATACAAAGTACGACCTTTTCAGCGGCTCTAATACACTCGACGACTATGTTGAAAATCAAACACCTGGACAACGTTTCGAATTTGAGGTGTTTGTTGTCATAATTGATAACGTACTGTCTGATATAACAAAACATATAAAAGCATATCATAAAATTACTAGTGTTTTTGAAGTATTTCGACTGATAAAATCTCTTGCAACAGAAGAGATTTTAGGGCCCCTTGACAGAATTTGCTACAGGCCCCGCGCTGGCTTAATCCGGCACTGTCTCTTTACCATCAATTAATCCAATCTTGTAAACCACAAAAAAGTTGGTCTGGAAATCCAATACAGCACTAAAGTACTTTATGGGAGACATTTAATTGATGATACAAAGCTTTGTTCTCCTGATATTAGGTATACGTTACAAGGAACCACATATCATATACAAAATACTTATAAGTGTTTCACTGATAAAGGATATAACTATTTTGTTATTTTTACAAATCGGATCAAGACTGACGTGTCGTAGGGACTTAAAGCCTACTGAGAGCCTAGATTCAGCACGAATGGGTTTGGTTAGACCGAAGTGATAACACGGCCTGAGGAAACACAACCATAGCGCTGTTTCGCCTTGTCAGTGAGTTTACTTGAGGCCTAATCCTATGAGGCCCATGTACACCCTCAACACCAGAGGAGTAGGAGGAGGCCCAATCCTTCCCCTCCCCCAATCCCTCCTAAATCCCTAAATCTCCAAATTCCTAATCCCTAAAAGGTCGGCAACGCATTCGTAACTCCTTCGTTGCGAGTGTCCATGGGCGGCGCTGATTGCTTACCATCAGGTAATCCGTCTGCTCGTTTGCCGACCTATTAAATAAAAAAAAATAAAAAAAGGAGTAACGAGTGCAATAAAGGCCGAAGGAAGAAAAAGATTGGGTCTCCGGTGACCTCACTCACACGGCGAAATAGAACGCTATATGCTATATTAACTATTTCCCACATCTACCTATGTGAAATTTTGTAAAACCTTCCCTTTCTCTTGGGAAACGCCAAACAATATTTTCAGTTATTTAATTACAAGCCAAAAACTGCACATTCGTTTAAAACAAAAGAAATCTAAGCGTGGGAGAGCCAAGCTTCGGCACAGAATACCGGCGTGAAACAACCCGCAGCGTTGTGTTTCTCCGTGTGAGTGAGGTTACCGGAGGCCCAATCCCTTCCCTTCCCGATCCTTATATCCGCAACCCCTATCCCAAAACGCCGGCAACGCGCTCGTAACTCCTTTGGTGTTCTGTTTGGTGTCTCCATGGACACCCGTCCATGGGGGGCGCCGATTGCTTACCATCAGGTAATCCGTCTGCTCGTTTGCCGACGTATACCATAAAAAAAAAGAATAAGGTACATCCAAAAACTAAAATAAATATCTTATCTATATTTAACACAGCCATTATGCCGTAACGCATCGCTTCATAAATGCCATAGACAATGGTAGGTGCGTTACGAATTTTTTGATGATGAATTAGGTATACAATATACATACCTATATATTGTTGTATATTTTTATGTTTATAAGAGCCACTCAGACTGATTCTCAGTTCGTCCATGCTATCCATCTATAATACTGCACTTTAATTAGAAAATTATTAATATCCCTTCCCTTATCATAGTTCTTCAAACTGATACGTAAAAGTTTAATTTGAACGAGTAGATATATACTTAGATATTGTGTTATGAACATGAAATACTTACATGAAAATGATAAGGGCTTCGTGAAACTGGTACAAAGGAAATATTTTATGTAAATAGGTACGTTTTCGCACTTACGTTACCTAAGTCTTTAAGATAGTGATTCTGAGTCATCGTGTCGGAGAGCCATGCTTCAGCACGAATGGGCTAGCTCAACCGGAGTGTTACCACGGCCGCAGAGAAAAACGACGGGAATCCATACTTGCTTAGTGATTTTCCGTGTTAGTAAGGCCACTGGAGGCCTAAACATTAAATCCTCAAATTAATAAAATTACTACCCAAAACGCCGACAACACACTTAATAGTACCTACAGTGTAATGGGCGGTACCCGAATCGTTAATTATCGAGAGGGTTTGTCAGACTCTTACTGACTAAAAACTACCTTTTTCATCTCCTGCTCCGAGCTGGGACCGTGGAAATTAATCTCGGAAAGCTATCATCATCATCAGCCTATCAGTGCCCACTGCTGAACAAAGGCCGCTTCTCATACGGGGAAGGTTAGAGCATTAATCACCACACTTGCTCAATGCGGGTTGGCGATTTAAAACTTATTATTATTAAAAAATTATAAGTCCAGGTTTCCTCACGATGTTTTCCTTCACCGTATGTCAGTGGTGTCTAAATAATCATATAGAGTACATAGGTATAACTCGGAAAAATTCACTTTGGTACTTGCCAGGTTTCGAACCCACACTCTCATGCATGAGAAGCGAATTCCTTAACCTCCGGGCCACCACGCCGATTGGATATAGAATCCGATGTTCAAAACGCATTCGTCCAGAGGGCACATACTTAAGACGCCATAGACAGTTCTAGATGCATTTAAAAAAAACAAACATTTATCTATTATAGAAAATTCAACATTCATGCTCCTTAATTAAGAGTCATTTTACACCTAGCACTGGAACAGTCACAGTGTCATTTTATTAGTCCTAATTGGTATTAGCGCTGGGGCATTTGAAAACAAAACTTAATTTAGCACACTTGTACATAATAATATGTACCTACAATCGCAAGATGTTTGTAGATCATGAACATTTAGGTACCTATACGAGTATGTATGTATTTTATCTCGTTATTATATTGCTAGGTACTGCAGCCGCTATCAAGAAAAATACCATCTGTTCCAATGATTCATCGATACTAAATACCTCTGTGTGTGAACGATATCGGTAGAGCAAAAGAAAATAAACTTGATTTATTTTAAATAAAATGTGTTATGAAATGTATAAGTAATTGAAAAAAGTATACCTAATATTATCAAAATATTGTTTTTTAATTAATTAAAACTAAAAAGGTTATGGAGCAATAAGTTCTTAGGAGGTGCAACACATATAACTAACTAGATCTTAAGGGTCTCCTTAAAAAGAGTAACCATAGAGTTTCTTACTCGTTCATTTCCATTCGAATATACTCTTTGGAACGAGCACCTAGCTTCATTGACGGACAGACTGACAAACTATTATTCTATTTTGTAGGTATATTTAACGATTTTTTTGCAAAAGTACCTGATTATGGTTTAATTGGAATAAATTATTTTAATTTTGACACTTAATGGTAACCTAGCTTGCAAGAATACATGCAATAAAAACACACACAGGTAGGCATTTTAAATCTACTATATACCTAATAGTACCTAATATTATAAAGCTGAAGATTTTGTTTGTTTGATTAAACGCGCTAATCTCCATAACTACTGAATACGGATTGAACAATTATTACTACCCATTTCGTGTTAAAAGAAAATATAGTTTTCACGGCTAACTTTTCATGTCACATAGAGGATGACAAACACATTCAACCTTATCAGTCCTTCTGATTTAGCGTTTCTCGTATTTGATTCAAAAAACTAAACAATCAACTGCGTTATTTGTTTTAATTATCTGTGGAGATTAAGTGGCTACGTTATAATTTATCACTGCTGACATTTCTGTTAGACGTTCCTCCTCATCTCGACTCGAATATAGGGCACAGAGTACAAAAGGTAAACATCGAGCTAATTTTGTCTCCCAGGCCGGACTAGTATTAACACGGTTATTTTATGACAAAACCGTTATACACCGACAAATAATGATGTAATTATCTCATGAACATCGTTGCCATCACGATAATTATGTTTACTTTCAAGCAGTGACGTAGCCTCGCAGAATATTAGCATTTCAATGATAATGGAGCCTCTAGCACAGAACAATATAATGTTGACATTGGTATCATCATGATTTATGACCTAAATCTAAGTATACGCAGCTACTACATACATTCTCGCAAATATAATTACGAAACACAATCAACACGAAACATTTCCGCGATATTTACAGCGGAAGATCAATTAATATCATCAATTATCAGACATGAATCATGGAATTACAAATCACAATAGTATAGACAATGAGATAACAGGTTTCCACGGCCATCGAGTGATGTTTAGATAGTATGTGTAAGTACTTACAGTCATAATCACTATGTAATTCTCCATGTAGGCTCCATAGAATCCGAGGAACGCGACCAGGAAGATGATGATACCGGTCGCAATGCAGAAAGACGGTAGAGAGAAGAATCTCTCTGATAGGAACTGGTGGTATCCATTGTAAGCTGACTGCACAGATGCGCCAACCGACAGAATTATAATACCAGTGATCTGTAAATATCACAAGCACTAATAATATCGAACTCTTCTCATACATATTTATAAATTTAAGATAATACACACACTTTTATAAAGGTTTACTTACCAAGAATATGAAATTCACAATCACTAATAAATATTTGACCGTTGTAAACAATTTCGACCACATTTTGTTGTAATTTAATCAAACAGTTACGTGGGTGTTCGCGTGACAACTTCTCTTCACAAGATTTTTAACTCGCTACAGATATTTTTATCACTATAGGTACGTACATTAATCTTGATAAGGAAAATAAACGGATTTATCTCATCTGAGACGAACGAACGTCGCGGCGTCGTTCACTCAGGCGCGATGTATCAAACTGAATTACGTACGGTTAAAAATTTTATTGAGAATTGTTCTTTTACGTTTTACGATTATTGTGTTTATTTTTAGACACTCTTGAATATATTAAATTTGTTACTTTTGTAAATTTTAGAGAAACTACGCAACTATTGGATGCGCACAATAGGTTCGGTGATAATTTACAAGTGGTAATGACAATAATGTTATAATTTTAACTCGGCGCTGAGGAGCGCTTACGTTACTAACACTTACCGATACGATAAGAAACACATAGGTACAGCAATTTACAATTTACTTTTCCTACGTCATACACTAAACATTTTATTTGAACCATGTAGGCGGGAAATGGTTAAAAGATAACAAATTACTATTCGTTACTTTCTAAACTATTATTTTCGTACATGTATCTAGAGTCGTATGCAAGTTCGTGAGACAATTAAATCAAGATGACGCTTAGGTTTTGTCGTCTCTCTACAGTCAATGAAGCGCAAATATCTAAGTAGATTATAAATCAGATTTTACTCTACGCTCTATATTTTCCTTTTTGTGTCGGCAAAGGATCAGACACCTTCAGCACTAGAGGAGAAATAATGAAACAATGAATTTATTTTTGCAAATAGGCCATAAAACGGCACTTTTACGCGTCAAAAACGAGTGCATTGCCATACGTTTGGGGGTAAGGGATTCGGAGATTAAGGGATTGATGAGGAATAGGGCAAGGCTTGGGCCTCCTTATTCACATGGTGAAACACAACGCTGTTGTTTCGCGCCGGTTGTTGTGTTGTTGTTGTTTACAATACCTTTCGCCGCGTTACTAAGGTTATCGGAAGACCAATCTTCCCCCTCCCTATCCCCAACACTGAAATCCTTAAGTATCTACAAGGCGGGCAACTTCATCATCATCATCAGCCTATAAGTGCCCACTGCTGAGTAAAGGTCTCTTTTCATACAGAGAAGGTTAGAGCATTAATCACCACGCTTGCTCAATGTGAGTTGGCTATTTCAAACTTATACCTAATTATAAATAAATAAGTCCAGGTTTCATCACGATGTTTACCTTCACCGTATGTCAGTGGTGTCTAAATAATCTTAGAAAGTACATATAACTCGGAAAAAGTCACATTGGTACTTGCAAGGTTTCGAACCCACGCTCTCTTGCATGAGAAGCGGGCTCCTTAACCTCTGGGCCACCACGACACTACGCGGGCAACATGTCGCGTACATATGTCCATGGGCGACTAAAAGATCCACCAACAAAGAAGCGTTAACTCAAAAAAAATATAGTATCTGTCCTGGCTTGTCCCAAGCTCTACTGTGATATGTACCTAAAATTACTAATTTTTGTTCCACTTCCTCAAGGACCACACAAAACGTCTTAACCTTCGCAATATAACTATCTTACTCTCTTCCGCTTTTTGCCGCTGCGCTCTACTGCTATTTTGCTACTCTTCATGTGAATTTGATCTGTAACATTAAGTATAACACACAAACCTTGTCCTGATAATAATAAAAACAGGAAGCATCCAATTTGTTGCAGTCATTCGGGAATTATTCTGCGCACATACTTACATACATTTTGGAGATCTATTTTTATTTACATATTTTAGTACAATCTCTATTGATACACCTCTTTATTGTTAATTATAAATTTCCTTTCTCTTCTTTAAAAAAAATCTCTTGTATCGTGGCTGCGTTTACAAACATACAATGTTTGCAGATCACACATAGACTTAGTTTCGTGTGTCACGCGACACGTTGCGCTGCACTAGGTTGCCATAGTGCAGCGCAACGTGTCGCGCGTCAGCTGCCATAAAGAAAGAAAAAAAAAATGGTGGTCCCCACGTCAAGAACAAACCAAACACTGGCGTTCTATCGTTCGCTGGAATATTTGATTATTTTCGTCGTATGTTAAAGCTTTGAAATTTCTTTTCATGAGAGATAAAATGCAGTAAGGCGTCCTAGATTTGACTCCAGTTTATCTAGAAATTTCATTATTTTTATTTAACTTCCAATGTATGTATGTATACCTATTATACAAATTTATGTTGAAGCAGATATCTTCAAACGATTTAGCTGTTGTGTTCACGTTTAGTAGCATGCACCTTGAGAAAATAAGAAAAAAAAATAACAAAACCTCTTTTTTATTTTCTTTATTTTTTTATGAATAACATTCTTACTTAAATTCTATACTAATAAAGTATTGCACAATGTTTCATTAATTATTATCCATAATTATTATAAAATGAATAATATTTAAATAGTAGGTACACTAACACGCTGATTTGATAGACTTGGATGCTGCCTTGTAATTAAAAAAATGTTCCTTATAGTTTGTAAGGTGTACGTTTTTTTTACAAAAGAGTTTTTTTTTGAATTATACCTTCAAAATTCTTTAAAACAGAGATATTTAAACAGATTTTAAAACTGGATGTTTTAAAATCTGTTTAAATATCTCTGTTTTAATTTCTCGTCTCGAATTATAGATAATAATATCTTATCACTTATCGTAGGTACATTGTATTTATAAATAAAATTATTTCTTAAAAAACGAATCCTTAAATAATTTACTTAATTAAGACTCCAATTCGACAACTTCAAACTTCGATCTATAAGCCAAGTAGCCTCCCATTAGTGAAAGTAGTACCTGAAAAAAATATGAAAAATAACACTTAATTTACCAATGTTTTTAAATAGTCTTAATTTAAAGAAATATGGTTTCACAGATTCCAATAAATATAAAGGGTTTCACGTAGGTACATTGCTCACTATTTTCAGCAAATACTACCTAAATAGGTAAGTAGGTTTCGCAAACATAATAGGATATTGGATAAGATCCTTTACACATTTTTGTGACTTCAGAAATTAAGAATATCATAGTTATCATTTAATAACAAGAAGAGCTTTTTTTTATTATAAAGAAAATCTTAATCTCTTTCTGAGAATTAAGAAGAGCGTTGATTTTAAACCACCTAACATTCTTTAGTATTGAAAAACGAACGCGGGACGGAAATTCTTATACCTACTCGTATTGGGTTTATTGTTTCACAAAATTACTCGGTTCAAACGCCCTATCACGGCCAGGCCCTAAGCCCAGTCCAGCTAAATTACTCGAATAAGTATTCGTCAAAAAAATAGAGGTTAGTTCCGTTCCGTCATTCACAACTACCTAATCAGACGTCACGAATTTTGTGACAAGTGACGTCATGCGATGATTTCATAAAAAAACAATATCTTTGTCTACCTAACAATTTTATTATCTTTTTATAAGTACGGTAGCTTAATTTACCAGACGTCATAAACACCAAAACATATTTTTAGTTGTCATCCTTAATAACGTTGTTCGGCCTTCACACAGAAGTCATTGTTTGTATTAAAATGAGATATTATGGGATGAAATTGCCGTAATTTTTCAAGAGCAACTTATCATTTGTTTAATGATATGACGGTAGCGGCAAAGGAGCCGACCGCTTACCTGATGATAAGCAATCGGCGGCGCCGCCCATGGACGTAAGACCAGATGAGTTACGAGTGCTTAGTCAGCCCCTAGAGATCAGGGGTGGGGGTGGAGAAAGGATTAAGCCTCCGGTAAGCCACCGATACCACGGCCTCATAGAAAACCGGCGTGACGCAACCACAGCGTTGTGTTACGCCGTGTGAGTGAGGTTACCGGAGGCCCAATCTTTCCCCATCTCCTTAATATCCAAAACCCTAATCCCTAAGAGGTCGGCAACGCACTCGTAACTCCTCCTTTGCGGGTGTCCATTGGCGGCGCCGATTGCTTACCATCAGGTAATCCGTCTGCTCGTTTGCCGACCTATTACATAAAAAAAGACCGTGGTATCACTTCGGTCGAGCCAACCCATTCGTGCATGGCTCTCCCACAGTTGTCACTGACACTGACACTGTATCATATCGTGAAACTCAGGAATTCACACTGCAGATTGGTAGGTACCAAGCTACTCGTAAATCTTGTCAATTGAATTAATTAAGATCATTTCGAACAGATTCGCCGTAGAAGTGTCGAGTCTAAATTATTATCATTGCCTGTCTACCTACGTCGTCTTGCTTTAATACTGTGAGAAATTCATCTACAAGTGCATATTAAAGCATCTGAACCTATGGAAGAAATTTCGAAAATCGCATTTTGTTAACGAGTTAGTTATTTCTATACTAATATTATAAAGCTGAAGAGATTGTTTACTTGTTTGAACGCGTTAATCCCAGGGACTACCTACTGGTACGAATTAAAAAAGATTTTGTTTTGAATAGACTATTTATCGAGGAAGGCTTTAAGCTATATAAAGTCACGCTCCAATCTGTAGGAACCGAGCAGCGGTTGAAACCGCGTGAGAGTAGCTAGTCTTAGAATAAATATCTTGCAAAATCTTTGTTCCATTTAAGTATGAATATACCTACTTAGTTGGGAGCCAAAATATGTTTGGCACAAATAACAATCGGCAAACAGAAAATCGGCGAGAAACAATCCATGCGTTGTGTTTCGCCATGTAAGTGAGGTTACCTAATCCTTCTCCTTAACCCATATCTCCAAAAGGCCAGCAACGCAGCTGCAACTCTTTTGGTGTTGCGGTCCTTGGGCAGCGCCCGATTGCCTGCCATAAGTCTTTCGCTCATTTGCCGAAAGAAAAAGAAAACAAAAGCTACTTACCCCGACCTAGGAATCAGTACTTATATAGGCAACATATCTATATATAGGTAAAGTTAGGTACCTATATAGGTAGATAAACAAAAATTATTTCATTATGTACCTATTACATTTAGAGGTATCCTGCTCAAGCCCTTGTCCGGAAAATCCTTGTAAAATCGTCCTACTTAACAAAAGTATTCAAAACAAACACACTGCTCATGAAAACAACATAATAAAGTACTAACATTACTGACCTGCACACAACAGAGTACCACGGCAGTCACAGCTATAACATTAGTCTTGAAGGACAGCCATTCGGCCAGGGGAACCGCACAGCCATCCTTGTACGCATTGGCTCCACATTCGAAAGGAGATACCGTGCCGTACTCTATGTAGCAACATGAGACTGGTATCTGAGTCAATTGGTAGTCTCCTGGTCCACCAACGCCACAGCATTTGAACTGAAATTAAAAAACATGAGTACATTAGGATACAAGTGTGTAAAGTTGGCGATTACTGCAGAGGCGCATTGAGGAGCGAGCTGTCAAGCGAGGGTCTTAAGGAGCCGAGGACGGTTATCATCAATACACATGTATCATACGATGTTTTTCAACACACTTCTTAATAAAATAATACTTCAAAAGATTAAACGAGGCGAGTTATGAAAAATGTTACATAATGGCGGGAAAAAATAATCAATTTTCATGCGCGTGCATCGGCCTTAGACTAAAAAATGATGTTTCTTTTTTTTTGCTTGGTGATGTTGATTTGTGATATTGTGTGACGTCACGACCTAGTAAATTTTGTACTTACTAGGTGGTGACCACAGATTAATAAACTAGTCAGGCGGCCACATAGCGCCTTCCCGCTTCTAAATTTGAATTTGTTTCATTTACGTAAGTAGTATTGTTTGGTTTTATACACGACAAAATAAAAAAAATGGTGTCTTATATTTTTTAAATAGGTTTTACACAAGAAACCCTATCACTCCTATTCATAAAGAAAGTTAAATACAGAATGATATGGTATACTTTTTTCTTGTCAGGGGAAAATCGTCAAATGACTTCTCCCGCCCAGGGTAAGGCGAGAGAGAGTGTCAGACTCTTACTGACTAAAAACCCCCCCGTTCCTTCTCCTGCTCTGGGCCGAGGCCGCGGTGACTCATGATATGGTATACTTAAGGTGCAGTTTGGCGTTAACTGCATTTTTATTTTCATTAAAAAACTATAATTAAATAGAAAAGATAAAATACACTTACATCCATTTGAAGATTGTCCCACAACATGTTGACGTTGATATTGGTTCCGTATGTCAATCGGGACTGAGCCATAACAGGGCGGATCTCAGACAGCACATGCTTGGTGAGGTTGAAGGCAGTGATGATCATGGAGATCTCGAAGATCAGCACCACCAGTAGAAGCACCACATACTGTAAGATGGACTGGACTCATAATATTGAGGATATGCTGCAGTCAAGCTGATCTAGCTTGATTTAAATAGCAATGAAATTGGTTGAAATATGACACAGTAAAAAATAGGTATATCTTTCACAGTCACCAGTGGTAACTTTAAAAGCGTTTTCAGTGTGATAAATTAGGTAGTTATTGCACTGTTGCGTCTAGTCACAGTAATTGTCCATGTCAATCCATATCTACTCAAACAAGACCAGCGTTTCACCGTATTCCCATAGACCTAATGTCCTAAACCCAATTTCCCCCAATCCACAAATCCTTAGCAACCCCCAAAAAGCAGGTAACGGTCTAGAAATTAATATGTTCTGATTTATTTCATTGCGGGATCCAAGACAGTCGTCCATGTCCCTGGGACGCACCAGACTTCAGTGATCCGGTGTTTTCATGTCGTTACATACGATATGTAGATTCTGGCATATAGGAGTTGCAGCGGTTATGGGAGGTTGCGGCGGTATTGTCAACCCAAAAAAGAAAACGCCCGAGAACTCATCTGGTGTTGTGTTTAGATTGTCTATGGTGAATACAGATTGTTTACCATCGGGAGATTAGTCTTGTTTACTTACTGCCAAATATTCGAATTTAGCAAAGTAGTGGGTACCTACTATTAAATACTCAGTACATCTATTTTTATGTTTAAATTGCCTTAATTTTTTTTTTTGGATCTTTTAAACCTTCCCTGGACTTCCACGAATATTTCAAGACCAAACTTAACCAAATCGGTCCAGACATTCGCAAGTTTTAACGAGACTAACGAACAGCAATCCATTTTTATGTGTATATAAGAAGATGGGATCATTATCAATTTCTTAACTTTGACTTTGACTTTTCCATCTCTTGCTCTGGGCGGGGTGAGAGGGAGTGACACTCTTATTGGCTAAAAACCACCAAGTTCCTTCTCCTGCCCGAGGCCGCGATACAATATTGCGCTTGATCCGCAACCCTGGCTACCAATTCCACCTTTATATGTATAAGTTACCTCTATATAAAGATAGTAAGGATAAGGTATAGTTAATGCTTACCCCAGCAACAAAATAAAACTTTTGTGATATAGCACTATAGAATCCGAGCGCTGATCCCAGGATTATGATCACTCCGGTGGATATCACAAAGCTTGGTACGTTGAAGAACCTGTACGTGAGAAGTGGTTCATATTGGGAGAATGACACCAATGATGTTATGCCCACGATGATCAGCACGAAACCAGTCAGCTGGAAAGGAATATGTTAGAATCATTAGCAGAAATCCAATATTGCCTTTACCTTCATGACTGCCAATCTAAAATTATCATGATCACAGCCCACTTGAAACACAGACGAAACTTGTACGTCATTTGTATCTTGTGTATTTTTTCTATGGGTAGGTATGTCAATAAAATGGGTTTGTACTTTTGTAGATAATATGTATGTATAATAATATATAATATATAGAAATTTTTCATTCATTTGCATTGTATACCTACTTATATAGTGCCTATTTCACCTTTTAATTAGTAGTTCCCGATAAATGTGTCACAGTCTGCATACAAAATTTAATTAAGATTTATGTTCGAATTTATTTGGTAACATAATGGTTTTTCAAACTTCGTGGAACAGGCCCTTAAACTAAGACTCTGTTAAAGGTAAATAAATATCTACTTTTGTTTTTTTTACTATTCGTTCCCCGTCAGTTAAATCAGATGACCTTGTAAATATCTTACGGTCTTACTTACGATTCATAATAATATAATACCTATGTACCTACATCTACAAGATATCTACGCAATTAGCATTTGAATGAGGAACATCTAGTGGGGTTGCCATTGAAGAAAAACACATGAAACGTCTGATGTCCTGCTAATGAAGTACCCACTTTAGCGTGCTACTTAGTTAGGTATTTGTTTGTGGATGTGTCTAGGTAAGAATAGTGTCTAAACTTAGTCAATGCAAACATCAGGTAAAACTTTAGACAAACAAACATGTTGGTTTGCGATTTCCATCTGCTTTCTCAACGATATTGGTAGGATAATTTTATAAATTAGACTTTGTTAACTATTTCGAACTCCAAGTACCTAAAAGAAAATGGTAGTCGTATGCCTATCAGTAGTTACATTATCACAAGGCAACCAAAACCAGTTCTCTACATAAGATAAAACAACATGGTCTATAGTTAGGTATTTTCGCGGCAAAGTGACAATGACAGAGCTCGAGGCCAACCCGTCAAGTTCAAACTCACTCACCAAAAACACTCCATTTACAGCCGCCAACGAGTATTTCACAGACTTCAAAACTTTGGGAACTTTAAAATCAAAATCAAAAGTCATTTTTACGAACTAGAAAACTTTTTAAAACCTATATACATGTAGACATCAACCGGATCGAGTGAGTAAACTGAAAAATGAGATGCATTATCAATCATACACTAGCCAATATCATTCGTTATCTTGACATATTCATCTTATCTCCGAAAATAGAAACTGTAAGTGTCAATATTCGAGGTATAATACATGTTATGGGGCAAGGAGATTAGGCGAAAAACACTCTGTGTATCATTGGGCGTAACCAAGATTACGTTCAGGGTGAAGCGAAACTTAGTAAAACAATGATAATGATTTACATAGGCATATAATATGTACAAAGTTTCTACTGGGACTATTCTACATTTTTTCTATGTATTACGATGGCAAACGAGAAGATTACCTGATGGTAAGCAATCAGCGCCACCCATACATATCCGCAACAACGGCGAAGTTTCGAGTGCGTTGCTAACTTTTTGGGGATTAGGGATTTGAAGATTTGTTAATTGGGGAGGGATTAAGGAAGTGGAAGGATTAAGCCTCCATTAACCTCACCCAGGTTGAAGGTTCAAATTTAGGTGAAACAGAATGCTGCGGTTGTTTCGCGTCGGTTTTCTGTGAGACGTGGTATCAATCCGGCCGAAGCATGGCTCTCCCACACCTAAGCATAAGTATAGGTAAATAGCAATCTATATACTACGGATCTTAAGGAATTATTATTTCGGGTCTTCTTGTGCCTATTTTGGCGTTAATAAGATTCATTGCTAATGCATTTAGATGGTTATAATAGAATACTTACATGAGTTGATCCTTTCTTAAATGTATTCTGTTATTGTCTTGATAAGGAGATGACGATGTAATTGGCCATTTGAAACCACCAGGTCGCAGTTGTTATCATTCTTAGCATTTTACATTTGAATTGAACTACCACTTTCAGTTTGAGATTTTGCTGCTGATTCCGACAGTAAAATTATACTTAGTTCATTATTGAACGCATATGCCTTAGCCACGTAACTATATTTACAACGTTTTTGATTCTAATCAAACCTGCTATGTGGGGCAGACCTCCTGCTAGGTGGACCGACGACCTCGTCAGAGTCGCGGGGAGCCAATAGATGCGAGTGGCGACTTGTCTCACGGCGTAGAGAAGAAAGGGAAGGCCTTTGTCCAGCAGTTGACACCTTCTTTTGGAATGATGATGAAGATGATGATATATTACCCAACAACCCAGCGTTCATTACGCCAGTTTTGTCAAAAAATCTTTTGCTCTCTTAATGTAATCTTAATCTTGAAAGTAGAAGTATTCTTTCAATAAGGTACATACCTAAAACCGGTGACTACATTTGACTGAAAAAATTAGTATTTACTCCAGATACCCACTCATTTTACTTTTACTCGTACTGATCTTCTTTTTTTTTCCAACTTTCGTTTTATTTTATAAAGCGATTCACTCCGCCCGATCAATTCTCATATTGCAGATGCCTGATATAGTTATTCTAGTTAGGTTTTTACATATTTTTTGCAAAACTAAAAATCTTAAATGTATGTAGGTAATGTACCTAGTTTTCTTCAAAAAAATCGAAACACCTTCGTTTTAATTTATAAAAATCTTAATTCACTACAAAAGAGCTTTCATTCCATGAAAAACAAGCAATTCCATGAATTGTATCTGGCAATCTGGCCATGAATGGTAAGCGAAAATTTAAAATTTGAAATTAGAATTTCATTTGTTATTCTTCCAAATGAAAAAAAACTGTAGGTACCAGCTAGGTACCTAAAGTTCTCATCAAAAAATTTAAATTATGCATTACAAGTTTTTGTTTTGTAGGATTATCTGTTTTTATTATTATTTACAGATAAATATCAAATGTTTTATAAGGTTTTCAAAATTTTAATTGTTACAACTTTAAGGTTTCGTGTTTTCTACAATTTATTTTGTATGGATAACAAAGGAAATAAGTGAAACAACACAAACAGGTGAAAAAAAAGTCCCACCCTATTCCCTCCTCGACACTGAAAATAAAATTTAATTTTCACTCACACGGTGAAACACAACGCTTAGCTTGATTCACGCCGGTTTTCTGTGAGGCCGTGGTATCACTCCGGTCGAGCCAACCCACTCGTGCTGCCTATATAGACATAAATTAAACACAAATCCAGAGCCAACCAATTTTGGTATTTACATTAAACTTTTTAAACACGTTATCAAGATTTAACTTAAGCATTCTTACTATCTGGGAAATGTAATAAAAGAGCGCCTGGTAGATAACGCACCGCAAACAAAAGTCGCTGTGTTTTTGTCCATTGTTGCTATTAGTTATCTGATATTGCAAAGCTCACACGCTAGATCTTTAGTGCTCACAAACTTACAAACGAAGTAAAATACAGTTCTTATTATGTAGGAATACATAATAAGAACTATTTAACGTAATCTACCTAACATATTTAAATATATACCTAAACTCTTTTTTTAATAGTTAGCTCAAATGGAGTTATACCGGACCGGTGGATAAAAAAATTATTAATTTTTATATTTATTTTCATAGTATTAATATAAATAAACTAAATCAATAAATAAATTCTCCAATTTAAAAATAATTCACTCGATTAACAATCGAATAATCGATTGTTAATCGAGTGAACATTTTTTAGTATGGCGCGTTGTGTGACTTTTTGTGCAGCTCATAGCTGGCACGTTGGCAACTGGCAACACAGATATTCGCTATTCTCGGCGTAATCGGACGACGTTTCTGTTGTATTGTTTTATCGCTCAAGATAAATTTTGGCGGTAAGCTTTGTTTTTATATTGTCAGTTTATAAATAAACGAGAAGCGTTATAATAGCTATTTATAAACATAATATAAAGTATACGAAAAGATTGCGTTGTGTTTGCGATCCACCTGTCCTGTGCCGTGACAACAAAAACTTCAATCGATGTTTACCTTGCGGGACCGTATGGAGAGAAAGGAATTGAAATAAGTGTATTTTGTTGCAGGTCTATTTTTTTAAACTAGACTAGAAGACAAGTTTTGAAAATGGCTATCGGCGCAGGAATGTCGTGTGTGAAATATCTGCTGTTTTGCTTCAATCTTTTGTTCGCGGTAAGCATTTTTTTCTCTTGAAGGCTGTATCTGTGCCCGTGTTGTTCACCTTCGATTTTTTTAAGTTGAACGCTTGGGAAGGCCTATGCTGCAATGATAATGAATATAATGATACACTGAGCAATACAGTAATTATGCTGTAGTTTTAACTTAGTGAAATGTATGAAAATATATGGTGCGAAAAATAGCACGCATTTCACAGTGTACCCTCAAACCGTTATGTTATGATGACTCATTGAGTTCCAAGCAAAGATTTGATCTATTGCACAACTTTATTTATTTTGCGAAATATTAAGTAAATAAACACAATAAAATGCACCATAACTTTATTTCTATACATACACATAATGTATGAATTTCTTTATTAAAGGTATTTCAACTGCTACCCTTTTAAAAAAGATAGTTAATGTAATGTATTATAAAGGTATAAAGTTAGTATTTCTAGTAAATTTTTGATATTCAGATTAAGCAAATTGTTAATATATCTTTATTTATAAAAACATCAGCACAGAATCAACAAGCCTACAACAGCAGCCTAAAAAAAACAATGTTCCAGATTTGAAATAACTTTATGATAACCATTAATATTTTTCTAAGCAGCCAGTATTAAAATAACATTTCTTTTGTAGATCACCGGTCTTATAATCCTGATTGTTGGCATCAAATCAGAGATTAACTCTTCTCCGTACATCAACCTCACTGATGAGAACTTCTACACATCAGGACCCATTGTCCTGATCATAGTCGGAGTGATTGTGTTCATTGTGGCCTTCTTTGGATGCTGTGGTGCTGTCAAAGAAAATCACTGTATGATTGTCACTGTAAGTACCTACATTCATATTTTATCAACATACCTCTTTTTGTGGTGTTTTTTTTTTGTCTGTGGTTGGGAGGTATGAAACCTTTTTGTCAAGATCTTGTATGTTCTAAAATAAGTTGTAAAGTCAATTGTTGTTCTATACATAAAACTCTTATCAATAGAAATCTTTCAAACTCTTTAATCAACCATGATTTACATCTACTTTTGAAAAGTTAGATAAAAGCCTAATATTTTAAATGTTCAATAAATGTTAGTAAATTCGTCTTGTGTCACAATATATTTTCATATTTAATGTGGAGAATTAAATAATATTAAGCCCTTCAGTGTGGTAATTAGAGACAATAGTAAGACAACCTTCGCTTGGGTTCCGATAAATTAAAATGTTACCTTTTACAACATTAAAATAATGAAAGTTTCAACACAATTTTACAAGAAAAACGGCAAAAATTTTAGATTATCTAAATTTTATATGTCTCACTACTTAGCATACACATTCAAAGATTATGTCTATATCAAATTAAGATTTTTCGACATGAAATGCGAGTCATTTAGCATAGCTTTACATTATTTGTTTTTTTACTACACTACTTCGCTTAAAGATTCCACCATGAGTAGCAGTTCATCGATCGAGCGGTACCAACGCACCTATTGTTCTGCCAATACCATTAGCGGAACGAAAGGCGTGAAGGACAGCTCATATCTGCCCACTTCCTACTCATGCAACCGGATTCCGCGTTATACAACGTTTTCTCCGCGTCTCGATTCTCGATTACTTGTAATTGATACTATCCTTGAACTATGATATGATACAGTTCGATCTCGAAAGATCTTAATAAGATTTAAATTTAATAGTTAAGATATATCTCTGTATGATCTATCGGTTCAGTTAATTACCTAACTAAATATAAACAATCTTAACATGTCTTTTACCTAAAAGTTTTCTAAAAATTGGATGAAAGATGTTAGCAATTAGGTAGGTATATATTTACCTAAATAGATTTTAGCTAATAAACATAATTTAAATAATCTTGGTATGTATGTATTTCATACGACCTCTTTAATATAAAAAGACATACCAAGATTGTTTATCTTCAGTTAACCAACTACACCGATACCATATTTTTCCTTATGGCCAGTATTAAAAACCAGATTCGTGTACCATAGGCAAAATTTTCACGTAAGCCGCATACAAAATATCAATGGCTGTTGTACATATTAACGGATTGGGAACCTCAGATGCGTGTCCCTTTTAAACTGAACGGACCTACAAATGTATATTAGTGACATTTATGTTGAAGTTACTTAAAATTCAAATCGTGATTCACGTACATACGTCGCTTACTTGGCACGATACATACATCAAACTTCTACTACTTTTTCAATGACAGTACGCCCGCATTTTTTTGCAGGATGTAGGTACTATCACAAAATACATAAGTACCTACGTTATCTATAAAGTTTCATTGATCTTTACCAGTTTTATGTATAAAAGAACTGTAAATAAACTTTAAAATAGTACCGAGAAAAGAAAAGGTTGTTGATCTTATAGTTAAGATTTTCTTAGTAAAAGTTATACTTAGGAATTTAGTTAGTTTTATCAGAATGGACGCTATCGAAAAATCTGAGTGTTGTTCGCCTCTCAGCCAACTTAAAATAACAATTACATTTTATCTAATTCTGTATAGATACCTACATAACATATAATAAACCAACACTGCTACTGCTCCACATTAGAACTTCCTTTTTAGTCACAGTCACAGTAAAAAATCTCAACATTCAAAATTCTAAACCTAGAATACTAATTAATCAGCCGGGGTTGCGGGTACAAGCGTTATAATAGGTATACTGCGGAACCCGTCCGGAAAAGGAATAGTAACGACGTGGTTATTAGTCAGTAAGAGTTTAGCACTCCTTCACGCTGTGTCCAGGGCGGGAAAGGGGATTTGATGTCTTCCCTCCTTAAAAAATTACCAATTAGTGGAACACACTAATATTTCTATTTAATATTGAGCAATAATCAATCAACAAGTAGTTAATGTTCATTATTGATTACTAATAGGTAATCACGAGGTTAAAATGTGCAATGTCTCGAATGAGTAATTAAGAACTGCAATATACTTAAGTACTTTCGTAGTTAGTCAACAAATAATGCGTGCAGTGACTCTGAGATATAAGTTTTATTTAACTGACCGTTGTTTTTACCGATATATTCAGTTCACCGTTTAATTGAGACATGTTTTATCACAAAATCTCTATTCTGAGTTTATGCCTAAGGCATTCCATCCCAGTTGACAGTTAGATAATACAGAGTTGAAAGTAGTAGGTGATTAAGTTCATTTTATAAATTACTGTTATGCTACTTAAGTTTGATTAAGGATCCCTAATCTTTTCTAGCAATGAAAATAGGTTAAGTTATTCAGTGTGAATAGAGATTTTCAATCGTTAAAGATTTTTCATAAATCGGCACTGTTTTCAACGTACACAAAATACAAAATTGTCCACTTTATAATACATATATTGGTATGATTATAAATTCATTTTGTAAGTTTTCTACCGCCTTGAAACAAACAAGTTCTACTTTTCGAGATTAAGCGTAAACAATATACTTGATTACTGAGAAATGATATGTAAACTAGTCAAAACAAGTTCAATGTATTGGGAAATATTATGATGATTCACAAGTTCATATCAATTATTTCCAGGGCAATGTCAAAGCAGTATAATATAATTAGCTTCGGTGGCTTTACCCGCAGTAAAGAGTAGATTATCTGTCTTATTTCAGAATATCATCTATCTGTTAATTTTTATTTCATTTTCCGCAAAATAGTAGGTATCAAAAAATCATCCATGTTTAAAAATTGTCGCATTTACAATATCTACCAGCTTCTATCTGAGACTTCGCCCGCGAGGTATATTGATAAAAAGCCTATGTGTAAATCTTGGGTACAACTTATATACATACTAAATTTCAATGAAATCGGTTTAGCCGTTTCCGCGTCAAAGATTGACAAACATACATTAATACATCCATACATTCTCACAAACTTTTCACATTAATAATATTATAAGTAGGATAGTAGGAGGTAATTATAATATTAGTAGGATAACAGACGTTGTTCACCTGTAAGTATATCAAATAAAACTTTGTTTACTAAATTCTCGTTCCTCGAAATACTCAAGTTCTCAATATCTCGTTCTTCAAGCGTGGGAGAGCCATGCTTCACCACGAATTGGTCGACTCGACCGGAGTGATATCACGGCCTCACAGAAAACCGGCATGAAATAACCAAAGAGTTGTGTTTCGTGAGGTTACCGGAGGCCCAATTCTTCCCCTACCCCAATCCGTTCCCTTTCCCAAAATTTCCAAATCCCTAATCCCCGAAAGGTCGACAACGCACTCGTAACTCCTCCGTCGTTGCGGGTGTCCATGGGCGACGCTGATTACTTACCATCAGGTAATCCGTTTGCTCGTTTGCCGACCTATTACATACAAAAAAAAAACATTTACGGAAACTGTACCTACCCACCTAAAATGTTTCACCAAATTAACACGTCTACAAATTTAGGTCCCGAGAGAGCAACTAAACTAAACTAACGAACAATTTACTCGTTTAGCAAACATTCACAACACAATGCATTATAGATTGCGTTTTTATTGCATAACTAGTTGCCGTCATGTGAGTGCAGCGCGAAATCAACAAGTATGGACAGCTAGAATTGTGGGCGTAACTTTGATATGGAATTTTCTAGAAGTACATATAATGTTTTTAACTGATGTAAAAACTATGCAAAGGTTACAAAAATATTCGGTATTGATTGGATTAATTAAATACTTGATTCTTTTTCAACTAATTTCATACATACGGATACATTCGTTACACGAATATATAGGGTTTTTTTAAATACAAATCCAGTTTTTAAATACGTCGTTTGTTATTTGACAGTACTTTTGTTTAGAGTCTATGATGGGACTGACATACGCTATGCGTATAAGCACCTAGAAATAAATAAAGAAAAAGAAACATACGTAGAAAAACTAGATTTTATAAAATGCATCATTTTAAATTCGAGTATTAGGAACTTCATGACGTTTCTTGCAAATTATCACGCCTCTCCTATTACTATAGATATATGTATGTTTCAAATTAGCTACGCGCGTGCTTGACCTACATAGGCTATATGTAGGTAAATAATCTCTATACTACTACGTATCAAGCATCACAGGTATACCATCTTCGTTCTATTTAGTCCATAAGCATTGCGTGCAAGACTAATAAATAATGAATCAATCAGCATTCATTATAAACGTATTGAAATCGTAACGTTCCAATGTCCAAACAATAAAAGCACGTACTAATTTATAATGGGCAGCCCTGTGACTGCGGTCAATTGACCAAGATGAAGTCAACCTGCGACCTTTGACACAACTGTCGCGATGTCGTCTCATCCAGTTAAATGGCTACATCCTTTTCTACTTATACAACCAGCTATTATATCCCCGTTCCTAATAGACCAAGATTTTTCTACTAAATCGTGTAGGTTGGTGTTTTTGTAGGCGGCCAACGCAAAGGTCATCACCCCAAAATATAGGCTGATCTATTAATAATACACTTTGTTTAATAGCCAATGTTTTGTGTTTTGGCTCATTGTCGGCTTTGTCGTTGTTGTTCATATTTTCCGGGTCATTCTTTTTGCTTGCGAAGTTGTTGGAGCACACCAATACTTTATCTTTTACTCTTGTCTTAAGGCATAATTTGCCTATTTTTATTAGAATGTTTCCAAACCACAAGCCGCTTTATAAACCTGTCAGCCAGGATCTACAGTTGATTAAAATAAAACACTGAACTGACCGCACAACAGGAGAAGCCCACGGAAAGAATACAATAAGCTTATAACTAACTACTTACAATAATTGTCAACTACTTACAAAAAAATCAATGATTTTACCACAAAGAATGAATTCATAAAATTCTAGTACATATTTATAATCGACCAAACAAA